TGCTGCGAGTGCCAAACTCCTGATTGTGTCGGGAAGCGTCAAGCTGTCCGCAGTCGGCGCGCTAATACGTTGTTCCGGTATACTTGGTATAATAGTTACTTTGCCTTCAAAAAGATCTACCATGGAGAAAAGAGAATATTACGTGATGATACTGATTAAAGTGTAGTAAGACAAGGAATGAAGATTAGCTAATGTACGGGTTAGACATGTAACAAGGCATGGTGATTGAGAAGAGTCATCAACGTTGGAGGCCAAAATTCCATAAAAGAGCCGAATACATGCCTCGTATTTGCGTCAGAGATATGCAGGGAAAGGAACAGGTAGAAATATCGTGGAAGGGGTATGTATGTATGTATCGTGGACCAACGCTTATCTCAGACGTTTCGTCTTTAGTAAACAATACATGAGACACCAGAACAAGCAGGCAAGAAAGAACAGGGAGAAAGAAGATAGACAATCTGTCCAGGGGAGAGAGAGAAAAAAAATAGGCAGAGTCAGATGGAGATATTTAACACGGCCATGGTGATCCAATACATCATAGAAGAATGGGACAAATAGCATTCATATCCACATTATCTCGGGGAGAGAGAGAGAGAGGAGGGCATTTATGCCATCTCCTCAGTGTTGGAGCGATTGAACCAGCCAGGCATCCAGCTGGCGCGGTTGGCCTTCTTCCGGGCGGCTTCATCTTCCAGCGCCGCTTCGTTGTTTTCCTGGACCAGCCGGAGCGGGCGCAACTTGCTTTGCGTCATTACCGCACCGGTGTAGTTGGTCATCCCGCTGCTGGAGCGCGGGGGACTGGACGTGGCGCCCGTAGACACGGTGTCGCCGTGGAGATCGCTGCTGACACTATTGGAGCTGCTGAACCGGCCGGGGTCCTGATGGCTGGACAGGGACGCCGCCCGGTGGCTGGCGCCCATGCTGGAGATATAGCTGGGGGTTCCGGAGAAGACGCTCTGGCGGGAACCAGGCCCCATGGTGGTCGGACTGATGGGCCCGCCGGAGTTCCTGCCACGGTACATCTGACCGATGACAGCCGCTGCGGCTCCATCTGTTTGCTCGGACCTTGTTCGGCGATGGCCAGCCCGGACAGACGTGGCTCGGCTGATAGGGATGCTGGGCGCCGTGTCGGGATTCTCATGGGCCGTGGGAGCGGGGTTACTGGTGGGAGGCATGAAGCTCATGGGCCGCGGGCGCGGCTTGGATGCCAGGGGTTGGCCCGAGACGACGGACTTGGCCCGCTGCAGGAATGATTGACCGGCCAAATCTTCCTTCTCTGGCGGAGTGGGCGGCAAGTCCTTGTCGGCACTACTGACGCTGCTCGGGGCCGGTTTCTTCGCCGGCGGATCGCTTTCATTGCGATCGAGAATCGCCTCGAACCCATCGTGTTGCAGGAGACGGCTGATGATGCGCTCGATGTAGAGGGTCAGGGCCTTGTTCTGGTCTTTGAGGGTGCGGACCTCGGTTTCGAGCTTGCGGGAGGGGCTGTCTGTTTCGGCATTCTCATCAACCGACTGCAGCTCATCTGCGAGCGACCCCAGCCCGCTGCTGCTCGCCTCCTGAGAGTCTGGGTGAATCTCACGCATGAAGTCGCCCTTGGCGAAGTCCCCGTTCAAGGTCCGCTCGCTCAGCAACAGTTGGTAGCTCTCATTGTCTTCCATCAGCCGAGCGTTGGCCATGCGAGCCTCCAGAAGCTCCTTTTCGAGTTCCCGCTGGCGGCCGCCGCCCATATTCTCCATCTCCACGAGCTTGATCTGGGACTCGGCCAACTCCAGCCGAAGCGACTCGATGAGCTTGTCCTTCTGCAGCAGCAACTTGGAGTTGTTGCGCGACGGGCTGCGTTCCAGCTGGGCTGACGAGGGGGCAAATTGTGCATCCAGTTCCGGGGAGGAACGATTCCGAAAGCTTGCTGTAGAGGCAAATGGGTCATCATTAGTGGTGACGTCTGGAACGGGGGAGAAGGAAGAGGGGGAGGGGAAGGAGGAAGAGGAGGGTCCATGGTGGGTATCCTTACATGAACGGGAAACGTTGCGCTCGCCGTCAGCCACGATACGCATTTCCTTTTGCGCTAGGGATTCCTTGAGGCGCTGGACTGTAGCCTGCATCTCTTCCTCGCGGCTTGCCTGTTGTTCCTTCTCCTGGAGCATGGCGTTGCGTTCCATCTCATGGGTCTGTTCCAGATCACGGATCTGCCGCACATGCTCGCGGATCTCCGAATTCAACGCTTCGATCTTGCTGTCCTTCTCATGGGCTTGGTCCTCCAGCTTTCCCTGTTCACTCACGGCCTCGTCAAGGCGCATCTGCAGCACACCGAGCTGTTTGCGATATTGTTCCGACGCGGTCTCGGCCTTCTGTAGTTGTTCCTTGAGGTCCGCAATCAGCGCGGCATTCTGGGCGCGCGCCTCCTCCTCCTCGGAGGCATCATCAGTGATCTTGGGCACGTTCGACATGCTCAGATTGGAGCGACCGGGTTTTCTGGCGGCCGCACGTGCAGACACGGGAGTCGACCCGCGGGTCGACGGGCTGCGACTCAGTCCGTTCGTAGTCGCACTCGGGGACCGTGTATGGCCTCGAAGAGTCGACCCATTGACCGCGTTGTTATTATCACCCGACATCGACGACCTGTTGGACCCAACGGGCGTTCCAGGTTTCCGAGGCGTCGCAGACATCTTACACCGCAAGTACAGCGTATCAGACGGATCGCAAACGAGGTATTATTTTCCTTTTTTCTTTTTTTTTTCTTCAAGGAGAGAATTCGAATGAAAAGGGTTCTGTATCGCAGGGCAACCAGGCGGGCGGGAAATTAAAAAAGATAAATAATCAATCCCAGGCAACGAACGTATAGTAGCGGTCAAACGTGGACGCACGGGGTGGAGCAGGAGCAGGAGCAGGAGCAGTAGCAGTAGCAGAATCTAGGCTGTCTGGAGATGATGCACGAGGCAGAGGGGACGAGAGAACGAGAAGACATCAACCGGATAGCCAGAAGAAGGTCCCCTCGATGCAAGATGGGACGAGACGGGGTTCCTGGAGGGTTGATAAGGAGAAAAAGGCCTGGAGATTTAATTTCGAGGAGAGACGTTGGAGGGGGGCTGCCTCTGGAAGGTTGGCTGTATGGAAACGGCTGGTCTCGAAACACGCACGGGGCAGAGCTGGACTGATTGTTGTCTAGGCAAGTTGTCTTGTCTTTCACTCTCCTTTTCTGTCTTTGCCCCCCCTACTTTATGCCCAAGTCAGTTGCTACAGCCTAGTTGCTACATACAGGGTGCTAAAAATACCAAAAGTACGAGTCCCTGGGACGACTGCTTTCATAAGGTGGCTGATAAAGATAGAAAACGCCCTGCTGGTGGCTCGCTGGGCTGTCATTGTGAGATAATTAGTAGGCCCGCCACGGTTGACAGCAGAGGGGAGGCCTTTCAGACTGCGCCACGTCTGATGCTCGAGTGATTGACCTAGGCAACAAAGCCAGCACATTTGAGTCTTCCATCTTGTTTGTTTGATGCTGGAGGGAGATGATGATAATCTGCTGAGGAGGTACTAGAGGTACCTCCTAGGTATAGCGTATTGTAACTGCATTACAGGGTTTATTACATGACGACTGCCCAAACAAGCAGGAGCCGTCTGAATCGGGTCTAGCGCGGCGCATTTGATATTCGGAGCGGAAGAAGTATCTTTCCGTACGTTTCGAGCTTTACCGCAAACGGTCATGCCGAAGTCAAGTAGAATCGTGATTACGTGATCCAGCTTAGTCATAGTCGGGATAGACACTCTGCAATGACAGTAGCCAGTAAAGGCCTTCTCAGTGCCTACTATCTAGTGTAACTCTATGACTACCTACCTTACTAGTGATCTAGTACATACCTAGGTAATAGCTAATCATTAACTAATACCCCGTATTGCTATCGTATAGTGAGTCAACTGATATCATGCTGACTCAGTCGGAGGGCGATTCTGCCGCGCTGCGCACGCGGATTGGCGGGCGGCACGTTAGGGCTTAGGGCTCCTTGCCACAGTGCGGGTCGTTAGCGGACTTGCTTGGAAATCAAGGTCGAGGGCCTCCTTTTATCTCTCGACACCACCCTCATCGACAACCCACCCCAAGTTCGCAGGAAGTGCAGTCAGTACATTTCCAGCACTCAAAATGGCCCGCCGTCCCGCGAGATGCTACCGCTACTGCAAGAACAAGGTGCGTTGACAGACCCGACGTGGGAGCTGCGCGAGATATTTTTTTGTGTGGGATTTTGCCGGTCGTGATGCGCTTGTGGGGGGCTGGCACAGCTGTTAAGAACTGGATGAAAAGAGAAGAAAAAAAAGATGACGACAAATTCAACACGAGCGCTCTCTGGATGGATGGATTTTGACATGGGTCATCGGATGATACTAGAAAGTCGCATGCTGACTGACATCTCGACAGCCTTACCCCAAGTCCCGGTTCAACCGTGGTGTTCCCGACGCTAAGATCCGTATCTACGATCTTGGACGTAAGAAGGCCTCTGTCGATGACTTCCCTCTCTGCGTGCACATGGTCTCCAACGAGTACGAGCAGCTTTCCTCGGAAGCTCTTGAAGCCGCCCGTATTTGCGCCAACAAGTATGTCGAAACCCCCCCCTCCCCTCCCTTACTTGACTACCTCATATCACCATCCAATACTAATGATTCGTGATAGGTACCTCGTCAAGATCGCCGGTAAGGAAGGTTTCCACCTCCGTGTCCGCGTCCACCCCTTCCACGTCATCCGTATCAACAAGATGTTGTCGTGCGCCGGTGCCGATCGTCTTCAGACCGGTATGCGTGGTGCCTTCGGCAAGCCCCAGGGTACCGTTGCCCGTGTGAACATCGGCCAGATCATTCTGTCCGTGCGCACCCGTGACTCGAACCGCGCTGCCGCCATCGAGGCTCTCCGCCGCTCCATGTACAAGTTCCCCGGCCGCCAAAAGATCGTCGTCTCCAAGAACTGGGGCTTCACCCCCGTCCGTCGCGAGGAGTACATCGAGCTCCGCGACGCTGGCAAGCTCAAGCAGGATGGTGCCTACGTTCAGTTCCTCCGCGGCCACGGTCTGGTCGAGCAGAACATGAAGCGCTTCCCCGAGGCCTACGAGAACCTCTCCCAGGCTTAAAGAGATGGGAAATTTTGACTTTGTGCATACCAAAATTACGAGATAGCGCTTGTCATGGATAGGAATTTCAAAGGGTTTTTCTTCAAACAAGAATTCCTTTTCTTTTTTTTTTCTATTGAAACCAACCTATCACCGACCCACGGACGTTTTTGCAAATGTCCTCGCGCACTTCTCCGGAGTTGTTTCTCATGGGTTTCCCGGCTTGTTTCCTTATCTCTTGCATTCTAGTAAGGGAGTAATGAAAGAATAACACGTTCAGCAGTAGCCAGTATCTCCTGTATATCACTACGTACTCGCATGGGGCTACTAGTCACAGAGTACGGAGTACAGTAACTATCGTACAACACGAAATATCAGCGACGCTATCAGCGACGCCAAGGAGCAGATCATGCAATTCCAATGTAGGTGGTATGGTATTAATATCTAACTGATCATGTAACTACTACTCCGTACATGCATATATCCCCTATATCCCCTATATCCATCCCCTGAAGAATGAGAAGAAAAAAAAAAATAAACAAGAGAAGTGGTAAGAGGAACACCATTGGACTGAAGAGAAATGAATTATATCCATAACCAACACCATATGAGAAGGGAAGGGCTTTATCGGCCGTTGATATGTAAAGAAAATGCAATACTGTAGATGCACTGGAGATATGTATAGCCACTCCGTATGTATGTAGGTATGTATGTATGTGTACTATACATCCCACCCAGGCCCTACAGACGCCACAGCGCTGCTGCTATCCACGCTCCCGCCGATATCCCAGTAATTACGGCTCGAGCCAGTGAGGGTGCGCTTGCTTGAGAGGGCGGAGCGTTTCGCACTCTGGCTTGCGCAACTGGAGCCTGGGCGGCAGATATGGTTGGGCTGATGGTGGTGATTATGGTGGCGGAGGATCGGCGAGGCGGCAGCACTCTGATGGGGGTGATGGTGGTGGTTGTGGTGGTTGTGGTGGTTGTGCAGTTGGCGGCGGAGTTGGGCTTGGGCCTGGGAGCGCGAGTGCGCGCGGGCGACAAGCGGATGGTATTGTCTGATTATGGCTGCGCGGCGAGAAGAATCTTGCAGAGGACTTGGTGTCGGGTGGTTGTTGGCGTTATCAGTTGAGGAGATGGTGTTGGCAGTGGTAGTCTTGCTGCCCTTAAACCTGTTGCGTAGGTAGCGGAAGACCATCTTGATATCAAGCTCGCGTTCCCAGTACTCTTGTTCCTGTTGGATACGGGCTTGGGTCAAATCCGCGTCGGCACGGGAAGAGTCATCGTCTTCTTCAATGCCCCAGTGGGCTGCATGTTCTCTACTACTCGGGTCGCGCAGAGTTGGAGAGAACCGGGGCGACGCGATCGAGGCCGAGGTATTCGCACTGTTGATCAGAGACGCCGGCTCCACGGCCGCGGAGGTGGAGTGCATGCTTCGCGATACACTGCTCTCGCCACGGGGCGGGACAACAAGCATCCCTGCGTATTCGTTCGATATGCTTTTGGACATCTGCAGATAAGTGGTAAAGGCGCCCGGGTGTTCGCACAGCTGATGGACGAGAATGCCTAGCTCGCGTGAAATCCGCTGCAACAGCCTGGTCTGCCACTGTGGGTGTTGTTGCTCGTGCGGAGCGGAGTCCAGCTCCGTCTGTAGCACGGCATCCATATTAAGCAACGGGGAGGCCTCTCGTCTGTTTGTTTCCTCCGACAGGACACCGGTTAGAGATTCTCCTTCGCCTATGACTTCCAGCGGCAGCGACTCTCCAAACAGGACGGACAACATCGTGTCATCGATTCCCATCAGGTCGCGAATAACTTTCCGAGTGATGCGTTGCCAGAACGACTCGTCTAATTCAGACTCTCCGTCCCCACGCTCCGACGAAGGTTGCCGCGCCTTGTCCGCTGGCATCTCCTGGGTGCCATCTGGAGATTCCGTCGTGACGGTTCGAGGCACGGAGCTCTCGGTCACCGCGCCAGCAGGGTTGTCACGGCGCCGCCGTAGATTCTCCCGTTCAATCTCCTGCAATACCACCCGGCTCTGCTCCATCCTCCACTGCTCAATCCGCAGCCACCGTTCGCGTTCCAGGCGGGCTTCTTCATGCTCTGCCAGCGAGTCCAACTGGCGCTGCACACTCGACTGCCGCCGCGGCCGTCCGTCCGTCCTGCGGGCCGGATTATATTGTTCATGCTGCCACAGCTGCTCCAAAACAGGCTGACTCGATGCCTGGAAGCTCCCTAGTCCATCGTGAGCCGGTAACATGGCGGGGGGGCCCGCATCCCACCGGTTAGCATTCGTCGGGTCGACGGACGGCTCACGGAACGCATGGAGGCCTTCATCGAGACTATCGAGTTCGGTACCATCTTCGTCGATGCCTTCATCGTCCTCGTTCTCGTTCCCGTTATCGTCGGCAGACTGGGTGGCCACGCCAAAGGAGCCAAAATCACTCAGGCGCGAAAGGCCAGCCGTGGGTGTCCGGTCGGTAGAAGCGGTCCCCGTAAGAGTGGACGACAGGGCCTGTGACGGCGAAAAGAGCACCCATTGTGTAGACTCGTCTTCCAGGAGCTGAGCATTAGCAGATGGGATCTCCAGACGAGACGCCTGCTGGGAAGTCGAGGTCGAGTAGGAGGTCTGGCGGCGAGGGGCTTGGCTTGGGACGCGGAAGGCCATCAGCTCAACTCTCTCTCGTGCAGACAAGCGAGTCACTTCGCAACACGGGTTGCGAGTCAAAAAGGATGGAGTATGGCTGTTCAGAAATCAAAAAATTCAAAACAAAGAAAATATCAAGAGCATAAATCTGGAGGAAAGGCCAGGGAGAGAGCAAAGCTTGATGCGTTCGATCTGACGCACGCGAGTTGGGCGGAGACGATAAGAGTGACGTTGACTGATAGACCTGGTGAGTTCCGATATCGCCAGTTTGTCTCTAGCTGGCTGGCCACGAACAGTCGTTTATTCTCTCATTTTAGTGAATCCTGAAGGGCGAGAGATTTATCGAGATTTCCACTCTCGGATGGACTAAAGATTACGGATACGTAAAAGGTACCTAACGGAGTGCTGTGGCGATGATGCAAGGGTCAAGCCATCGGACAGATCAGATCCAGCGCTCGATCAGCGAACATCATCTTGAATGGCCTGGTGGGAGGTGCTGTTTGGGTCTGCATGCAGAATACTACATATCTGTGGCCAACTAAACGTAACAAGACTGCTGTCGATGGGAGAGAACGGGACGTGGTGTTTATGGGGAGGTTATTCGTGATCGCCTGATACGAATAAGTCAGGTGTTGGAAAGGAAACTTGAGACGAACAAGGTACGGAGTACAGTGCAATGTAACAATTTAGACCAAGGGGGGAAACACAAATGCTTCCATGCTGTCGTATCACCAGGCGGCTGAAAGTTGAGGGTATGAGGTTTATCCAAATCCCGGACATCCTCATCGGTCAACAAGCCATTGCAAGCAGATCGCGGCTTCGCTTCAGCCATCTCGCCGACTCGCCTAGTGTTCGATAAGTCGGGTTGACAAGCACCATACGGTGGCCACCTGCGCCATAGTGCAACCTTCCACTCGGCTGATGATCGTCGGTCGTCGGGCCGATCATAAACTCAGCGTACTCCGTATGCGTTTATTCCTGAGAGAGATTGTACTCTGTATGGGCGAGCAAGGAGGCCACGGGCCAGTAGGGACCAGGGAATGATGCCGACTCCGACGTCGCCGCAGTAAGGATGCATCTCACGCCGTCCTCTCGGTGCAGAAGTGAGTAGGCTGTTTGATGTTTGACGGGGTCAAACAGCCACAGGCCTGAAGAAACATATCATATCCCACGTGTTGATTCCCTTTCAAAGGCTCGTTTGATGAAAGGCAAGGTCTCCTTCGAAATCGCCCATGGTAGCTGTGTAGAGGTCCCAAAGGACAGAGGCCTGAGTTGACTGGGTGCCTAGCAGAGACTCATTGTTTGTATTCCAAAACCCTCGGACTCAGTTTGTCTGGTATTCTCCGATCCAGTTTCCCAGATGATTATTCTCCGTGGTGGATTCCAGTGTCTGTCTGCGTGTTCTACCCGTGTTTTTATATATTCCGCATTGCATCCAATCCGTTCGGTGACCCAACATGCCTAGAACGTCAGTGATGAGTAAAAAAAAGAATAGCCGTACTCTGCGACTGGCTCCATCGTCATCATTATTATCATTTCTAGTCCAGAGAGAAGAACAGAAAAGCTGGAGGGATCTGTCAGTGAGAGTGCTGACCACAGCAGGCAGCAGTTGATTGGATGTGCTCACCTCAGCGACCCAGCGAGGCGCCCCCGTGGACGCCTGGGGAGTTTAGAAGCAAGCGTGAGCAGCTCTGAATTCTCGTCATCCCCTAGAATCCAGACGGTTGACGATATCAAGAAAAAGAGCAAGCTTTCAAGTTGGCTTTCCGATGGCTGATGCAAACCAACCGAAGAAGCGTGCCTCTGAGCGCAGGCGGCAGCAGAACAGAGTGGCGCAGAAGAACTACAGTTAGTCTACCTTATCGGACACCAATTAATTATACACAAACCAAACCTGATCAATCGGGTAGGAGAACGACAGAAACAGCGGCTCCAAGAGCTCCAGGAACTGGCTCAAGCACGTACGGCTGACTGGCCTGGTCGGGTGAAAAGATCGAGTCAGGTCTCCTCCATACTCGCCGCTAGCAACAACCACGAGACATCACCACCTTTGAGCTTGAATAGCTTACGAGACCTGAACACCCCCGGGGGATCTTCGTTTGGCTCTATTGGAGGAGGTAGCGCTGCGTCGTACCCGTCACTGTCGGCGTCCGCCTCCAGTGAGCTGTCGGGTATTCCCCTGGAATTACAGGGCATCCTTCAGGAAGAGGGCAATAAGATTGACGAGCACACACGACGCCGAGTTTTCTCTGGCGCACTCACTATCACAGATATTCTGAGAGCTGGCCTAGAGGCGTTGTCTGCCCGGAATTCAGAGAAGAGTAGTGACGAAGAACAAGCCAGTGATGATGATGATGGAAGTGCAGGATCAGCAGAAAGTCCTGCACTCCGTACAAACGAGATTTTTGTCCTGGAGAACAGGATGCAGACAACCACCCGCACTCTTCCATGTGTGTACAGCAACCACTTACGCATCAAGCAAGTCTCCATCATCGCCGCCATCCGAGCCAACGCCGAGATGATCGGGGTCAGCTTTGCAGAACTGATCGGCTGGGACTCCGAATCTCCCTTTTACCAGGGATCTGCTGCATCAGAAATGTCGCCCGACGAGGCCTTTTCGATGAACTTCCAACACGTTACCGAGCATTTACGGCCGCTCCCATCCCAGACCCAGCATCGACATCACCCGTACATCGACACGATTCCCTTCCGGAGTATTCGACAAAGACTCATCCAGCTGTTAGCCATGGACCCGCCCATGTTCGACGAGGACGATTTTTGCGAGGATCTCGAAAAGGGCGGCTTGATCTGCTGGGGCTCCTCGCTCGGAGGAGGCAGTCGGGCAACTGGCTCCGGCGCCCCTTGGGACCCGCGCAGCTGGGAGGCACAGCCTTGGTTCCTTCAAAAGTGGTGGGTTCTGACCGGCGGCGCGGAGGGAGAGCTCTACCAGCAGAGTAAATGGTGGCATGAGATGAGGGGGGATCGATTACCGGCTCCGTGGTGAGCTATAGTAGATACTGGTTTTCTACGCGTGTTGGTGGCAGAGTTATTTCATGAATCAAGTGAAGATTCAAGAATCGATACCCACCAACTTATATAGATAAAAATAATACCTAGATAATGAATTCAAAGCCGAGGACTGCATTGACTGTGCTTTAGAAAGATATGGTCTATCATCTCTAGAATATAAGGGTATAGGTATATGGAACAAGAATGAACAAAAACAAGAGACAAATCATTCCTGCCGCGCCAGCGCTTGTCCCACCCAGTCCATCTGCACGGCACTAACACCCCGGGCATAACTGCGATTCGTAAAGACAAACTCGTTGTACATGATAGCCTCCACCTTCTTGCCGAAGAGCACACTGGAAGGATGGATCGCGACGGTCTGGTTGCCGACAACGGTCCGATAGCTGCCGTCCGGGACGATGCGGGCGGTGTTAGTCGCGAAGCCGGCAAGGAAACTCTGCAGGATGAGGATAGGAGAGGGGGCAGTACTCCCGGATGATCTGGAGGCAGTCTTGTCGTCTGGGTGCGGGAGGAGTTTGGCTTGTCGGCATTGGGTTGTAAGTTGTTTCCGGACGTCCTGACAAATTCTATAAGTACGGGTGTAGAAACGGGAGTAGGAAAGAAAAAAAAAATCTTACCATGACGGATTGCATCGCCCGATGTGAGACCATGTGCCGTGTAGCCCATGCCTTGCGGTCCGTATTCTCAGCAGCGTAGGCCTGAACGGTGGCGAGCATGGTGAGATGGTCTCCCTCGCGGCGGTACAGATCTCGCCGGGCGACTTCGGCCTCCTCTTTCTTCTCCTCGGAGGTGGTGTTCAAGAAGATATTCTCTACGCTCAAGCAGGAAATGATGTCAATCACGTCCCTCAGACAATCCGGGCCATTCTCCACGGCAGCCAGAAGCACACGGCCGAGGGTCGGCGTCAGTGGCAATTTGGCCATGTGCAGCCCGATGGAACTGATTTGGCCTGTCTCTTCTAGAGCCTGAATGTTCAGCAGCTGCAGCAATGCCTTTTCAAGTGCCTCACGTGGTGGACGGGTCAAAAATGGGAAGTTCAGGATATCGTCCACGCCACGGGCTTTCATGTTCAGCAACGCTTGGCTTAAGTCGCACCGTAGGATTTCCGGCGTGTTTGTCTCGTCAAGAGCGAGGTAATCTTTCTCTGTGTACAGCCGGTAGCACTGGCCAGGAGCCTCTCTACCTGCACGACCTTTGCGCTGAATAGCGGCCGACTTGGAGATGGGCTTCACCAGGAGCGAGTCTAGGCCGAGCCGAGTCCGAAACTGCTTGATCTTCGCTTTGCCACAGTCGACCACGTATCGGACGCCAGACACGGTGACGGACGTCTCGGCAATGTTGGTCGCAAGAATGATTTTTCGTGTGCGCGGGGGAGCAGGCAAGAAGACCCGCTGCTGGGCCGCCTGGGGGAGTGCAGCGAAAAGAGGCAGCACCAGGACCTTTGGCAGAGCAGGATCCATACCCGTGGCATAATCGTTGACGAGATACTCCAGAGCCTCGACAGTTTCCTGCCCGGTCAAGAACACCAAGATGTCCCCCGGCATGGGCTCCTTGTAGTGGATCTGGAAGATCACCTTCAGCGCCGCGTCGACAAAATCATGGACCGGCTCCGGGGAGTATATGGTCTTGACAGGGAACTGCCGGCCCTTGATATGACAGACGGAAACGCCTGCAGCCTTCTCCTGGGCTTGCTCTTTTTCTTGAGTGTTCAGGCCTTCAGAGAAAAATCCCTGCAGACTTTCCATGTCGGCTGTCGCACTCATCACCACCGCCTTGAGTGGCACACCACCACGGCCCTCACGTTTGCCGGAGACCAGATTCCTCAGGAATCCCATCACCAGATCAACGTTTACTCCCCGCTCGTGAACTTCATCCACAATGATGGCGCTGTACTTGGTCAACCATGGGTCGTGGAGCATTTCCTGCAGCAGCATTCCCTCGGTCAAGAACTTGACGCGAGTACTTGGCGAGGTCGAGGTATCAAAACGCACAGAGTACCCGACCTTGCTCGCCGGCGAGGATGACCCTAACGGGGTCCCCATCTCCTCGGCCACTCGTCTCGCTAGCGAGATGGCAGCCACTCGCCTCGGCTGGGTGATGGCAATGCAACCACCAACGGAGACAGTCTTGGTGGTACCATCTTCTTGAGTGATAACCCTGTCCACCGGTTTACACCAGGCCTCGTCGACGAGGAACTGTGGAATCTGTGTACTTTTTCCGCTACCCGTTTCACCGATCAGAAGCATCACATCGTTCTTCCGCATGTTGGACCGAATTTCCTCTGCGCTGGCGAAAATAGGCAGCTTCTTGCGGGTCTCATAAAGGAACTTTGCCCTTTCTCGCAGTGAATTGAAATTGGTCTGAGAAGCTATCGACGGCTGCTGTTTGAAGTTTTTGTGTCTCCGGGTATCGCCTTGTTGAGATTTCTTCGTCTTCACGTCTCCCTCTTTCTGGATGTCTCCATTGCTCTTCCCGACCTTTCCGTTGACGTGTTTGGAACCGACATGAGCGCTTGCACCGTCTGTAGTGTCTCTATCCACGATTTCTTCTCGTTTGCGCTTCTTGTTCTTGTGCGAATCCCCCGAGTCTGTTTTCACCTGCAGGAACCCATCTTTCAGCTCACTATCCTCAGTCTTCCCCTGCTGCTTCTTTTTCTTATTCTTCTTTTTCTCCTCCTTTAAGACCGTACTTGCAACTGCTTTCTCCTCTTTCTCCAATGTCTCCTTCTGAATCTTCTCCCCTTCAGACTCGGAGAAATAGGTGTGCACCTTCTCGGGCATGGTCGCAGCAATTCTCGAGTTGACAGCGAGGAATGAGATGATTAAAATTCAGAAAATGGCCAAGCACAGCTAGACAGAGTGAGCAGCCACTAAAACTCCCACATTATTGCGTTCCCAAAGTGTCAGCAGCGGATTCGGAGAGCTTGAATTGGAAGTCCATGTTTGAAGCCTTCCCCGATTTTTTTCGCCGACCTTCAGCTTATCGATAAGCGGTCAACCAAACAATTTCTCCTTCCTCACAACTACGTATTACTAGTACTACAAGTCACTGAGCATCAATATTATCAACAAAATAATATGGCTATAAAAATCGTCTAGATTGTACTCGTATCCTTGAAAGAGGCTGTCAAGTGAGATAGGGTGCAACTTTATGGTTAAATAGCATCACTCCATACCCCACCCGCGCACTCGCCGGAAGACAAATGTCTTGTCATTGCGCAGGCCGAATTCGGCCCAGTCATCCGTCAGTTTGTTGTAGCTCCAGAATCCTTTCCAGGCCAGCTTGGTGTTCTTGGAGGTGTTGGGGGCAGAGAGGCGCGGGTGGTGCGACTTAGGGGTTGTAGACGACCGCAGCGATAGATGCATTGTGTATATGTACTTGGGGTCGACTCCTTCAGTCTCGATGACGAGATCACGCGGGTCGGTGCTTGCGGAGACAGAGGCAGACTTGCCGGGGGCCGGGGGACAGTCAGTGGCCGACTGTTCGGCGTCTGGTCGGTCGTCTGGAGGAGAGGGTGGGGTGAGGTGCCACCGGCCGCGAAGCGTATACTTTAGGGCTGCCATGGCGGCCGGAGGAACCGGGTCAGTTAACCCAGAGAGAGATGCACCGGGGTCAGATGGATGGCGATTGTGGCCGTGGTGATGGTGGTGGTGGTGACGGTGACCGGCGACCGCGCGCGCCGCCTGCGCGTTCTCTCTGGTGAAATACGGGACGACCTCGAGGGGTTCAGTTGTGGTTAGCAGGGAGATGACCGAACCGTCGGGATAGAACCGCAGGTATCGATAGTAGGTCACGATATGGATCGGCGCACCCCAGGAAATGCTATGAAAGGAAGATGCGGCGCCAGCACGCGTATAGTTGACGGTGCTGATGTACACGCCAGTGAACCGAATCCGCGGTAAGGTCTGAAACACTTGGCTCCACGTATCCATTGGTGAAGGGATCTGCACCGACCGGTCGGAGGGAAAGGGGGTGTATTGAGGGCCCAGAGTGTAGGTCGGGTTGCCCAGCACATCACAGCCAAAGGAATAGTGCATCCCCTTGAATCCGAACTCTGCGCCCTGACATATCCGCTTCCATATGTGCTGCTCATGGGCGAAATGATACGCAAACCGCTTGCACACGAGCGACAGGCGACAGTAGGACGCGGGATCCATCATCGCGACATGCTTCAAAATCAACACCAGCACCTCCGAAGGGATGTTGGAGATCGGGCACGGCGGTGGCGGCGTATTCTCGATCAACGGTTCCGCCTGCGGAACCGGGAGATGGGCGAACGAGGCAATCAGCTCGGGCGTGGGCAGAAACTCTTTCTCTCCCTCGTCTTTTTGGATAGCTGGTGGCAACGATACCTCGGCAGGCTGAGGCTGGGGCTTCGGTTTCCACGAGTGAGCAAAGTGTTTGTTCCGGTAGGTCTTTTCAACAGCGGAATCCAGCTGTAGAGCATATTAGACAATGAAGATAAGACAACACGACTGATCAGAGGCCCTACTGACCCTATAAGCCTTGCGATAATGCGTTAAACTGTCCCCCAAGTTCCCCTCTGCCTCTTTCTGCACCGCTGTCTCAAAGTGCTCCAACGCCGAACTAGGTTCCTTCTTGATGCCTTTCATCAGAAAGGCATCGTCATCTTTGGGCTCCAAGCTTAGCTGTCCCACCTGCTGCACAACATCGCCATGATCTGACGCTCGGGGTTCCTCAGATGCCCTCTCCCCCCCCTCCTCCTCTTCCTCCTCCTCCTCATCCTCTTCTTCCTCCTCCTCTTTGCGGTCTGACGCTTCGTGCCGTGCTGGAGGGACCAGAGGCTGTGCAGTTGACGACAGTTTCGGCACTTGTGGTTGCGCAGTGACAGGCTGCTTCGTTCGACGAGCCACTTCTTCACGCCACTGGCGGCGGAACGATTGTAGCTCAGCGTTGTCGTCCATTCTCAGTCTGTGTCAAGTGAGATGCAGGCGGTCTAGTTGACTGATTGATTGATAAGCCGGCGACAGCTATAGTTATATAATATTACCACTATGCTGAGTCGGACACCTTTTTTAGTCTAGTTGGTTTGACGACCCCGAATCCAACAGCTGGCGATCAGCCAGACACCCTGGTATGCAAGGGCTGGAAAGAAAAAAGAAAGAGGAGAATTATTGACAGCACCAAGAGATTATCGTAGAATACCAGGCAGATCCATCTCTTCCACGCGGAGTCTCTGAGAAATTGTATCAGCCACAGACGATCGACAAGAGGAGGAGGGGAACAGTCAGAGCCTCTTCACTTTCTTATCTCCGAGCCGAAACTTCCAACGCCACTGAGGAGAGCCAACAGAGTTATCTCTGACGCACCCGGACGGTTCTCAACGCAAGAAGAATTCCTGCTACGTAAATATTCACTGCCATCTGGTTTCTCTGGCTTTCAGACGCGGACTGGATCTGTACACCTGGTCGAGTCAGTTATTGCTCTGCAGTCCGCCTGGCGCGAATGTCCGACCGTGAAGGCCGGTATTTTGCGAACGACCTTGGGACTGGCCTGGCAGACTCGCCCTCAAGCGTCGAGTCATGGACCGATCTTAACGCTGTGAACATGGCTGCAACCGCTGGAACGAGTGTGGTGCCTGCTACAGGCGCCAGTGCCGGCAGCGATGACCCCTCGCTCGGTCAACGGATCGTGTCCGCGGCATGCGGCAATATCCTGACTTCGCTCCTCGGTATGAATGAGTGACTGTGGGAATCGATATAAAATTGCAGGAGATAGGCTAACAGCTGGTTGGATAGTGACACCTCTTGATGTGGTCCGGGTTCGTCTGCAATCGCAGTCGACGCAGGTCCTGAATCTCTCGCCCTTCAACTCCCACACAACCCAAACCCTCAAAAATTTCCCGCCAAACCTCGGTGTGACTGCGTGCTGTCGAGAAGTCTTCTGGGTTGGAGATAATGCTCAAATGTGCATGGTCGGCCATAACGCGGGGACTCTGGGCAGCGGCCCGGCTGCAGCGGCCGAGTGCGCTGTCGAGGAGACGCAGCGCAGGACATTCACGTCAACCCTGGATGGACTACGAAAGATCGCCCGTAATGAAGGGACCTTGACGCTGTGGCGTGGGTTAAGCCCGACGCTGATGATGGGGATCCCGGGGAATATCATTTATTTTGCCGGGTACGACTGGCTACGCTCCGATGACCGTAGCCCACTGAAGCAACATGTGCCCGAGGTGTACGCCCCCTTAATTGCCGGATCTGTTGCTCGAGTGGTCGCTGCGACGGCCATCAGTCCGATTGAGATGTTTCGTACCCGACTCCAGGCAACTCCGGGCCATGGAGCAGGTCACTTCCGTGCGACACTGCAAGGCCTCCACCAGATGACCCAGACGGGGGGTTACAGTTCTCTCTGGCGCGGGCTGACGCTGACCATGTGGCGCGATGTCCCCTTTTCGGGGATGTACTGGTGGGGGTATGAGGAAGTGAAGAAGGCTCTTACCGAAGTCCGCACGCGATCCCACGGTCACATTCTCGTCGAACCAGAGAACCGGACCAATACCTCCGCCTGGCTGGACAGCTTCATTGCCGGAGCTGCCTCGGGCTCCCTGGCCGCCTTCGTGACAACACCCTTTGACGTGGGCAAAACACGCCAACAGGTCTTCCGACACATGGGCGACGGCCTACCGCAGTCGTCCGCCGCCGCCGCCGCAGAAGCAGTCACCCACCCGGAACAGCTCTCGCTGCCCCGATTCCTCATGCACATCTTCCGGGAAGAAGGGATGGCCGGTCTCTTCCGCGGCTGGGTTGCTCGCTGCCTCAAAGTGGCCCCCGGTTGTGCCATCATGATCTCAACCTACGAAGCCGGCAAGATGATGGCCCGCAATGTCAACGAACGCAGAAACTCCGTCTCGGAAGACGTTTGATGTCCCACACGCAAAATAAAGAAAATCACATATCACCAACCTTTCGGCAAGTCTGCCGAGCAGAGTAACCGAATCAATTCTTGTATTAATGTCTATCTCCAAAGCAGCAGGCGTCCCCTGTTTTGTCTCTGCCCCATTTTGCATCCAGCTTGTATGTAGGTTATGCTACTACACTCTTGGCTATCTTAGATCTCTCTCTCTCTCTCTCCCTTCTCCCATTGTCTTTTCGTTCTTCTTTTCTTCTTCTTCTTTTCTCTTTCTTTGGCCCTTCTTGTTATTTTGAAATGATGCATGTACATACCCTGTAGATACGTTATAGAGCGGAAAAGGAAAGCTCATCTCACCTCTTCAAAAATACAATTCCAATCTACTACATTTGTCCAAAACGTACAAGTTTGTATAACCTGCAGGCCATATTCTCGTCTCGAAACTGTCCTCCGTCATACTCTTCCACTTTCAATTAGAACAAACACTGCAACTAAGAGTACGGGCTAGAAAAAGCCACACCATTTCAGCTTCAGATTATAAAAGGTCCAGAGTTTCCTGACCCTACTGACTCACTCACCCATGCGACAACCTACAAAAAGCATGAATTGGCACCTACAGTACGTACTACGTATGCAACTGGCTAGAAGAGAGGATTGGTATACATTTATAGACGGTGGATAGCAAACCAATCGAGTGTTGATACAAGATAGGGTATATAAAATCCCCAGGATATATCTTTTTTCCCCGTAGTAAAACAGGAACAAAGGCATGGCTTCTTAGTGAAGCTCGATAAAGGGAAATGGATATAATGTTCCGGATATCGCCCTCCCCCCCCCTCGGGAGTAGAGAAAAATGATTCATATATAAGGAGATAGTGGTAAGACGAAAAAAAGATGGTAGGCCCGAAAATAGACCGAGAAGAAAAAAAGAGGGGGGGAGGAAGAGGAAGAAGGCCAACTGTAGGGACCAGAGTAGAATCAAAGGATCGGTGAATCAACGGCAACAGGTTCGACGCTCTGCAAACCAAACTCGTTGATGGAGGCGCACTTGGTGATCATCTGCATCATCTGGTTCTGGTTCAACGGCTTGGAGAGATAGTCGTCCATGCCTGCCTGGATGCATCGCTCACGGTCCCCGATCATGGCATGAGCTGTCAGCGCGACAATTGGGGTTCGCGGTAGCCCGCTGCTCAGCTCATGCTGCCTAATCTTGGCGGTGGCTTCAAATCCTCCCATGACCGGCATCTGGACGTCCATCAGGATAACATCGTAGCGGTTCTTCTTTATCTCCTTCAAAGCACGGAGACCGTTATCGACCACTGTGACGTTATGATTGCATTTCTTCAGAATCCGGACCGCGACCTTCTGGTTAACCTCGTTGTCTTCGGCCAGGAGAACGGCCAGCGATCTTGACAGCCCTGTCGTGACGCGGGTGGGACGGATCCCTAGCGCAGGGAGAAGACCGTTCCACAGATCGACCGAGCGGCATGGGGTGGTAACATACGAGGTGATGCCCAGATGCAAAGCATCCTTGAGAGTGACGGTCACCGCGGGAGAGACCAACACCAGAGGGATAGAGCGGAAGCCATTGATTCCCCTGAGGGTCATCGCCGTCTCGAGCGAGTCGACGAGAATCGCATCGAAAATGTAGCCCCATTGATCCTGGAATTGGTGGGAAAGAAGCTGCCCTTCGCTGCTTACCAAGTGTGGCTCCAAGCCCAGATCAATCAGCATCTGGCCCATTGGTTGATCCTGGTTATGCACCTTGTCGATGAGGAGGATACGGCGGTTTCGGTAGGGGGCAACCTGCTCCATAACTCCGAGAGAGGGCTCTGCAAGCTTCGTCAGGACAGTAAAGTAGAACTGGCTGCCGTAACCGGGGGTCGACGTGACCCGGATGTCTCCGCCCATGAGATTCACGAGGCGTTTCGAGATGGCAAGGCCTAGGCCAGTGCCTCCGAACCGGCGTGTCATCGAACCATCGGCCTGTTGGAACTTGTCGAAAATGAGATTTAACTTGTCGTGGTCGATTCCAATGCCCGTGTCGGAGACGGCAAACTCAAAGGCACACTCGCCCGGCGAAGACTTATTGGAGTCTACTCTCTTGACCGAGACGCGAATCTCCCCGTTCTCGGTGAATTTGATCGCATTCCCAACCAGATTCAGGATCACTTGACGCAACCGATAGGAGTCACCAATCACATAATCTGGCACCGTACCATTCACTTCATAAACCAAGCTCAGCACTTTTTCATTTGATTCCACCGCGAGGGCTTTCAACACACTAAACACAGTGGCGCCAATGCTGAAGGGTACGTTTTCGATAATCATGTGGTTGGCCTCGATCTTTGAGATGTCCAGGATATCATCAATGATGGTCAACAGGCTGTTGGCCAAATTATGGACTAGGTTCAGAGTCTCCCGGACTGAAGGTTGTAGATCTTCGGTATCAAGAGCTAGCTGTGTCATGCCGATGATACCGTTCATCGGAGTGCGAATCTCATGGCTCATGTTCGCGAGGAATTCCGATTTGCTCCTGTTGGCCAACTCGGCAGCCTCTCTTGCCGCCGTATTGCGCTGGATGCTATCACGCAGACTGGAGATCATTTTGTTGATCTTCTGCTTCAGTTCGTCCATTTCGCCTGATGCGCTCACCGTGATCAGTTTGCTGAAATCACCACTGGTGGCTGCATCGGTAATTTCACTGAAGGCTCGGACCTGGGAGGTCAAATTCTCGGCCATAATGTTAACATCTTCGGTGATTTCGCGCCATAGACCACGCATGTCGTTCATGTTGGCTTGGCCACCCATTTTGCCTTCCACACCGACGTCACGAGCCACACGCTTTAGCTCTTTGGCAAACATGTCTAACCCATCAACCATCCGATTGATTGTTTCCTTGAGGGTGAGGATTTCGCCCTGGGCGTGGACCTCGATTTTGGTCCTCAGGTTGCCCTGGGCAATTGCTTGGGTCACGTTGGATATACCGCGGACCTGTGATGTAAGATTTTGGGCCATGGTGTTGACATTATCTGTCAAATCTCGCCATTTGCCTTCGACATTCTCCACGCGTGCCTGACCACCAAGGGTGCCATCGGTGCCCACCTCACGGGCCACTCTGCTCACCTCGAACGCAAACCGGTTCAACCGGTCAACCATGGCATTGATAGTATCTTTTAGGTCAAGAATTTCTCCCTTGACGTCGGCAGTTACTTTTTTGGTAAGATCGCCCTTGGCCACGGCTGTCGTCACGTTGGCAATCTCTCGAACCTGGGTGGTCAAGTTCATGGCCATGCCGTTGACGTTGTCGGTCAGGTCCTTCCAGGTACCCTCCACGCCATGGACTACAGCTTGCCCACCTAGCACACCATCTGTTCCCACGTCCTTGGCAATCTTGGTGACCTCTTGGGCAAATTCTCGAAGCTGATCGACCATGGAATTGATGATGGTTTTGAGGACAAGTATCTCCCCTTTGCAATCTGCCTGCACCTTGCGGGTGAGGTCTCCCTTTGCGACAGCTGTGGTGACTGTAGTGATATCCCGGACCTGGGTAGTGAGGTTATTGGCCATGGCATTCACGTTGACAGTCAATTCGTTCCAGATGCCCTGGATGCCTTCGATTTGGGCTTGGCCGCCGAGGATGCCCTCGGTACCCACATCCCGGGCCACGCGGTTCACTTCTTCGGCAAAGGCGCGCAGTTGATCGACCATTGTATTGATCGTCTGCTGCAACTGGTAGATTTCTCCCTTGGCCTGCCGTTCGATCTTCTGACTCAAGTCCCCATGGGCAACTGCCGTGGTCACGGCAGCAATCTCTCGCACCTGTAGGGTCAGATTCGACGCCATGATATTGACGTTCTCGGTGATTTCCTTCCAAATGCCATTGACGCCGGTGATCTGCGCCTGGCCCCCTAGGCTTCCCTCCAGGCCCACTTCCCGCGCAACTTTTGATACTTCTCGTGCAAAGACCTGCAGTTGGTCCATCATCGTGTTGATCGTAAGCTTGAAGGTGGAGATGTCCGTGGAAGTGTCTGAGGGATGGATATGGGCACGCCGTGACAGGTCTCCATTGGCGACTTGGGTGATGATCTCCCCAATCTCGCCGAGCTCCTTGTGGAACACCTCGTTCAGCTGCGTGTGCTTGCGCAGCTCCTGCCGCAGCATAGAGCATTCCCGCTCCAGTTGCGGAGGAACCGCCGCTATCGTCTGTCGCCGCTGGATCAGTTCGTCGACCGCCAGCACCAGGAACTCGCGCGGGACGGGAATCTCAGCATCCGTATGCTGCTTCAGCGCATCCTGGAGGTACAGAAGGTCTGCATCGCTAATCGACGGCGACGCACCGTTGAGACAATCCGCCATGTCGGGATCGTCGCGGGATCTGTCCCGTTACTAGCAGGGGCAGAAGAAGTAGATAGATAGGCACGATGTTTCTCAGAGTCTTCGGAGATTCCCCTCCTCACATATCGGTTGCCTTCTTCTTCTTCTCTTTCCTTTTCTCTCTTGGGTCCCGGGTTATTACCTTGACAGCACCCTAGACAACTAAATTCACCCAGCCTAGTCTCAGAGATCGGGCAGACGGCGAATTGACTTTGGTGCAAGGTATAGCTGGCAGAGGCAGATCAAACGTAGAACGTGGGACATACTGCAGCCACTGGCACCGTCGATAGAAACAGAAACGACACAGGGAGGGAGAGAGAGAGAGAGAGAGAGAGAGTCCACAACAACAATGCACAACACAGACGTAGATGACGCAGATTGGCGGCAGGCAAGGGCAAGACAGGCCCGACGACTCTGGACTCTGTTGTTGTCTCTGACAGCGGGGTGGGGGGGGGAGGGGGAGGGAGGGAGAAAGCCTGGGAGGAGCAGGTCAGCATCCTTGCTCCGAAACGGCGGGTCTAGACAACTTCCTGCCGACATACGACATACGTACGCCCCAACCCCACCCCTCCCTCCCTCCCAAGGCTCCATCCAGCATTGAGTCGCCTTTGGGGGCCGACAGCCTATCCGAGGCAGACGGCAGCTGTGGCGATTTTATTCGGCTGTTGGAGATATGAGAGTTCAGGTTTGTTCCCTGTCAGCTGTCTCTGCCGTCAGGGCGTTCTGCTGCCGGCAGTGGCTCTCGTGTTCACAGCCAACTAAGTTCTACCTCGTTTGTATCAGGCGATGCAGTTGTTTGTCTACAATACGCCGCCCCTCGACGCCTGATCCAGCCACAAGCTTGAAAAAATCCGGATTGCTTGCTGCGGCGGAACGCCACGGGCGTCCGCTATGAGGATTCTGGAGCGAAGGAGCACCCCTTCCTTGGTTTGATTAGCGGCCGCCATTCCCCTTCAATAATAATAATACTGCATAGTGCACGGCGCACGCTGCACAGACGGGCGGAATGGTCCAGGCGCCAGACAGGCGTCTGGGCGCTGCGGAGGCCCAGCCTGGCTGCTGGGAGGAGAGGAATTGCAAATTGCGGATCGTGGAATCTCAGAGCCGATGCTTCCTGTCAATTAATTGGATTCCCTCCAGATCGCATCACTACTTGATCTTGGATGCAGGTCAGGATCTATCGAATCGAGGTTATTTTACCAAGTGTGAGTGGAAATAACGCGAATGATGATTAACCGGGAAATGGGAGGAAGAAGAAAAAAATACACACCATGTCCAAATATACTTTATCTCCATCATTTCACTCGGTGAATGTCAACGGAATGCTGTTTGGCGCTTCATTCTTGAATCGGTTCCAGACCACTGTCAGTCACTCACAGAGGCATGTGTCACGCATTGAGATCACCTCATTGTTCGAAGACCGGGAGCTTCTTGCAAACTAAGAGGGCACTAACAGGTGACTACTAGATTAGCTAGGTAGACACGAGTTCAAGGCAGGGATGGCGCTGACCTCGGCACTGGCCTGAGAATCCAGGGATCCCCTGGTCTGAAGATTCAGAGATTCTACTCCGTATTCCATAGCACAGAGTATGGAGCCCCCTACTCGGAGTCCGCAGCCTCGTCGTCTTTATCTCTTCTTACCTATTGGGCGCCTACAATCTGTCTCCAGGAATGACCACCGCGACGCTTGCAAAATCAAGGCGCAGGCAGGGCTGGTCGATTCGTAAAGAGACCCTGGATTGAAGCACCCCATAGCTCAGGCGAGTTCAAATAATGATATTGAGAATGCCACTGGCACTGCGTTGGCTATCGATTTTAGACCAATAGATAGCGATACTGCAAAACCCAGAAAGGCCAAGAAGGCTGTCGGTTAAGAGTGTCAATGATCGACCTCTTTGAAACTTACTGACCATCCTTGAAGGCAAAGTACATCCGGAAGCTTTCCTATTGGCGTACACTTGCACGCCTCATGGACAGCGCCCAGCAGACCAAGAATGTCGTCGGAGATGGAATACGAAAGGCGTCTGAGATCCAGTATACTTGGTCGACTCTGCGACAACGACCTTGCTGAGGCCAGGTGGGTTGAGCTCCGGGTATACTCCATGGCGGCTATAGGAATATCATATTGGCAACTCTGAAGAGCTATATTTGTATGTTAGTCAGGCTCCTTAGGACATGGCCACTCGTCAATGTTAAGAGGATATAACAATCATCCTAGCTCCAGGAGTACAAGACTTATTGCTGAGAGCAGGATAGAAGATCAAAGGGAGTATATTCTAGACTAGAATTCAGAATGAAATTCACTATTGCCGTCATATAAAATTCTAGAGCCTCATGATATTGCAACATATAGCTCAGGCTTGGAAGTAATTCCTCTACAATAAACACTATTTGATGTGTTCTTTATATAAAGAGGGCTCACCTAAATCCACTTGGTATGAAGTGATTTGTACTCTGTAGCATTATGCTCCATTATGCAGCATATAAAAGGCAGAGCAGTCTTCTAGTCACTGCTCATTAAGACATCACCATGATTTGGTCTTCGACAGCTACCAGGCTGTAACCGCGTACAATATAGGATTATTGGAACGAGGAAGGATTCAGTCGTCTAAAGCGGACATGTCTTTGATCTTTGGATCGTCTTGTGTGGATTCAAGGGGCTGTCACTTGCGCGAGTCAGTCTTCTCTTTTCATAATATCTCTTGAAGCTCGGTTGACACAACTCACTAAGCGTGGATCGCTCGTCGAATACAAAACCAGCGCCGTAGCTGGGAACCCCGCAAGCAATAACTAATCAATTGCTTCAGATAGAGTATCCGTAGCACTCTGTTGTGTAGATGTTCGTTTCCTCGAGAGCGATATCGAGCAGGAGGGGAGCCCAGGGTGATCCTACTTTCTTGTTTGAGACTGGAGCTACGGGGTACACATGATCTGCTATAATCTGATCCATCACGTGGTACAAAGCCATAAATGATAAAAGACTGTTCTATGCAGGAGGGAGAGAAAGGGGGCTGTCGATAATACTTCTCTGTCAAAAGAGAAATAGGACCGAGCTCTTAGATGGCTGGGCCATCTGCACTTCAACCAAGATTTATGGATCATCCTCTAGCTAGACGAGGGCACCTACATAATGTACTTCGTATAGACAGTTACGTGGCGCACGCGAATGCCTCACCATGGACAGGCACAGAGTAATAAAAGCGTTCTAGACTACGAGCACATCTACCAATATTAGTTGGCAGCTATCGATATATTGAAGGCTTGCACCCGAGTCTATCCAGGTCTAGGCTTTCATTTAATGTGACTAGCGTACGGAGCGGACTACAGGCTCAATAGAATCGGACCAGCTACGAGGCTATAGGACAAGGAAGTCTTCATCAAACGCAAATTTGGTACCACCAGCTACAGAAGCAGCTGGTGGGCATTAACTAAAATACATATATGGTACACTGGACCTTGAGACCTTTTTCTATGCCCAAAAGGACGCCCTTAGTAGAGTGGAGATGGGGTGTGCGGAAGACGAGGGAAAAACAAGAGGGAGGATAGAGGAGGAGAGAGGTAGGTTGTTGTAGAAGACATTTGGGCGAAAAGGGAAGGGAAAAAAAAAGCAGAATATAGAAGAAGAAAAGGAAATGCTCATACTATGCAAGACACGCTCAAAAAGGCAGAATAACCCTTGGGAAGGTGAAAGGAGGAGATCATGGATGGGACAGCGGCCTAAGATCAGCTTAGAACATGCCGCCACCCATGCCGCCCATGCCGCCCATGCCGCCAGCAGGGGGGGCAGGGGGACCCTTGGGCTCGGGGGCATCGACGATGGCGACCTCGGTGGTACCCAGGAGGGAGGCCACACCGCTGGCGTCAACGAGAGCGGTGCGAACAACCTTGAGGGGATCGACAATACCGGCAGAGATCATGTCGACATACTCGCCCTTGGAGCTGTCGAAGCCACGGTTGAAGTCGGCGGCGAAATCATCGGTGAGCTTGCCGACAATGACGCTGCCCTCAAGGCCAGCGTTCTCGACAATGGTACGAGCAGGGCGGGTGATGGCGCTCTTGATGATGCTCACACCGAGCTGCTGGTCGAAGTTGGCAGGCTTGACGTTGGCAAGGCCGTTGGCGGCGGCCTTGAGCAGGGCAGTACCACCACCAGGGAGGATACCCTCCTCAACGGCGGCACGGGTGGCGTTGAGGGCATCAACGACACGGTCCTTCTTCTCACCGACCTCAACCTCGGAGGCACCGCCGACCTTGATGACGGCGACACCGCCAGAGAGCTTAGCGAGACGCTCCTGGAGCTTCTCCTTCTCGTACTCGGAGGTGGTAGGGTCAGCCATGACGCCACGGATCTGCTCGCAGCGCTGGGCAATGGAGTCCTTGCTGCCCTCACCGTTGAGGATGATGGTGTCCTCCTTGGTGATGGTGATGGAACCAGTGGAGCCGAGCATGTCGGGGGTGAGCTTCTCAAGCTTGATGTCCAGCTCGTCAGTGAAGACGGTACCGTTGGTCAGGACACCAAGGTCACCGAGGATGCTCTTGCGGTTGTCACCGAAGCCAGGGGCCTTGACAGCGGCAACCTGGAGCTGACCACGGAGCTTGTTCAGGATGCAGACGGCGAGAGCCTCACCCTCGATGTCCTCGGCAATGATGACGAGAGGACGGCGGAGAGTGGTGGAGGCCTCAAGGGCGGGGATGATATCCTGGACAGCAGAGATCTTCTTCTCGGAGAGGAGGATCAGGGGCTTCTCAAACTCGACCTTCTGGGACTTGGCGTCGGTGATGAAGTAGGGAGAGGTGTAGCCACGGTCGAAGCGCATACCCTCAGTCACCTCGAGCTCATCCTCGAGGGTCTTGCCCTCCTTGACGGTGATGACACCCTCCTTGCCAACCTTCTCCATGGCGGTGGAGATGAGCTTACCAACGTGGGTGTCACCATTGGCCGAGATGGTAGCGACCTGAGCGATCTCCTCTCCGGTGGTGATGTCGCGCTTGTTCTGCTGGAGGTAGTCAACAGCGGCGTCGACAGCGGCCTGGATACCGCGGCGGAGGTCCATGGGGTTGCATCCAGCGGCAACGTTCTTGACGGTCTCGGAGAAGATGGCACGGGCGAGGACGGTCGCGGTAGTGGTACCATCACCAGCGGTCTCATTGGTCTTGGAAGCGACCTCCTGAATGAGGCGAGCGCCGAGGTTCTCGAACTTGTCCTCGAGGGTAATGGCCTTGGCCACACTGACACCATCTACTCAAATCAGCAATGTGTCCAGACTGTTATGATCCTATTGTGAAGAAAAGAATCTTCAGATCCAAAGCAACGCACCCTTGGTGATCTTGGGGGAACCGTAGGGAGATTCGATCAGAACATTGCGGCCCTTAGGTCCGAGAGTCGAGGTAACGGCCCTGGCGAGAGTGTCGACACCCTTGAGGAGCTGGGCGCGAGCTTCAACGCCAAACTTGAGCTCCTATGGAAGCTGTTAGCTTGTGTTGTGACGCGAGTCGGGAGCTACGGAATCGCGCATTTCGCAGGAGTCCGACAGCTTGGAGCTCTCAAAAGCATTCAGAAACATACCTTGTGAGCAAAACGCTGCTGTTGAATGCTCAACGGCGATCTGGCGAAGGGGGCACGCTTGGCGGCCGAGAGGACAGAAGTCCGGGAAGAGAGAGCTCTCTGCATCTTGTGTGTAGTAAAAAGAGATAATTAAACAGAGACAAGAGAATTAGAATTGATGGAAACTGAATTCAATCAATCCTGACCGGAACTCCCAAAGCAACGACAGGTTGAGGATGGAAGCAGAGGAGGAGAGGTAGGCAGGGAAAGAGCTGGGGGAGATGAAGCCAAAGTCTCGAAAATTTTCCAGGCGCTTCTCGATCCCCGGACGTCTTGGCGGCAGAAGCGCATAGAATGTCACGTGATCGGAACCCGAGGGAAAACACCGGCTGGACGGCAAGTTGAACGTGGGCACTGGATGCAACAATAATAATGAGTCAACAACGTGGATAAAAACAGTAATAACACTTCATTTGGCCTCAATATAAGGAAGAAGCTTTATTTTATCATAATCTGTTTCCCTCCCAGCAGTCTATCTCTGCAAATTGTATAAACTATGGCCTAGCTAACCACTTATGCCTTGTCCTCTAAGACTATCTACTATTTACAGTGGATATCCATATTGTCGATAAGTTTCAACTGTCTTGCTGTCAGTATGGCTTCATTAAACGAACCGTCAGACAGCTACAATCCCCAATTTCCCCTGGTGGACTGTAGGTGTCTCCCTAGGTAGCTAAGAAAGAACGAGACCTTTGCAGAAAAGAGCCCTTTCTTCTGCCTCTTCTATCGCTCAAGTCTCCCTCCTCTGATTTGTTTCATATCAGTTCGACTGCCTTGCTGACAGATTTATATTCTCCTTGTCGTTAACACTCGCCATGTATCTTTTCATATGGACGGGACAAATGGATTTTCATAATAAAGTGGCATTCTTATCAACTGCATTTAGGTACACAATCCCTCAGAGAAAAAACAGCCAGTACATCGAAGACCAGGGCTTAGCAAGTGGCTTCGATCTGTGGAAAGTCAAATGCTGGACAACAGGAAACATCAATTTGAGACCAAAGGGGGGGGAAACACCACAAGTGAATCCAACACCAGTCCCTGTGTCATACCAGAAATAGGCAAGAAAGAAATTTTTTTTTGGGGCCAAGGTAGTAACAGTTTGGTCCCCATGATCAACAAGAAAAAAGGCAAGAAGAAATAATAAGAAAAAGAAAGGAAAGGTAAGCAAAAGTAAGAGCATTGAAAACAAGAGAATAAACACTATCTCATCATCACGATTGTGAATGCCAGCTGAATGCCAGTTAAATGCCAGTTAAAGAACCAGCTTAGGCTTGTTTGAACGCCAAGAGAACACCTTTCTGCCTTGATTTAGGAGTCATGAGCATGATTCTCCTTAGCAGCTAGTCTATCGAAGCCATCATCATCATCATCACCACCACCACCACCACCACCACCATCATCATCATCATCATCATCATCAGTCATAGGACTATTCATGACACCAATTTCAATATGAATGTCATCATAGATGGATAGTCCTTTCTTCCTAACGGTTGGCGACTTCATCATCCTCATGAAGACTGGCTTGAAGCACAGCAAACATTTCGGTTTCGGTGACGGTACCGTAATAGGGCTCTATTTTGTCATGAACTTCGTAATGAAAGTCGCCGATCTCATCATCAAGTCCGAGGAGAGGTGAGATCTGGCCTTCAGCACCAACTCTATGTTCAGCGCCAGGTAAATTTTCCTCTTTATTGATAGTTGCATCCATGTAATGCAAAGTCTCATCTAATTCATGCAGAACAGGATCAACAGCACCTTGGTTTTGTGAATAGCCAGACGGCTGACTAGGAAGCTGTGCAGACGAAAGGTGTCCAGACTCCCCATTATAGACCCCAGAGTGATTAGCAGGGACTGGGATCGCAGAATAGCCAAAAGGCTGATTGGGGAGCTGGCGAGAAAAGGGCTGAGACATCTGATTATAGTTCCCCGAGTGACTGCCAGTACCTTGGCTCTGGGAATAGTTCTGACTGGTGAACTGCTGAGACGAAGTCTGTTTATGCATCAATTCACCAGAAATATTTGCACCAAGATCAGGCACATGGCATCCAGGAGTATTGCCAAATGTTTCAAAAGCTTGACATCCAGCGCTATAATCCAACATGTTGGTGTTTGTGTTGTGCGCCAAAGCCGTCTGCTCAGTGGCTGGCATCGTCGAACCGACATAGCCATGACCCATGGAAGAAGGGTTAGTTGTGATAGATAACCCGTTGGCTAGCTCGGGACCCAAAAAGAACGGCGTGGCCATCGGATTGTTAAGATTGAAAAGGTTCCAGTCGGGCAAGGGTTGGTACTGGGTGAAGGCCAAAGTAGGATCCTGAGTCTGTTGGACAGTTTCGTCGGAAGAAGTAGACAAATGATGTCCAATCTCGTTGTCCACCTGAGGCATGACAGCAGCATTGTTGCAAGGCCCCGCAGCATATTCAGTCGTCTGGTTGGTTGCGCCGAGCTCATTTTTGATCGTCTTCTTCTGCTCCTTCTTCTTGCTGGCGGCTTTCGTGGTTCGAGTTTTCTTGATGGGTCTCTGGACTTGTTCGTCAAGGAGGGGCGCTGCCTCGACATTGTCACCGTTGATAGGACTGGAAGCCCTCTTTCTCTTTGTGGTGCACTTCTTTGCCGATGGCTTAGCTTGAGCCACGGGATTCTCGAAAAGGCCCTCGGCATTGGCATCTCCATCAACATCTTCAACATCTTCTTCAACTTCTTCAACATCTTCAACATCCTCAAAATCCTCAAAATCCTCAAAATCCTCAAAATCCTCAAAATCCTCAAAATCCTCAAAATCCTCAAAATCCTCAACATCCTCAACATCTTCATCGGGCTGATCAGCGGCCCGAGCAGCAGCCAATCCTTCGGCGCTTCGGCGCAAAGGTGGTGGAATGGGCAGACCAGCGTTCTTCCGAAAATCACGCAGCTTTTTAATATGCTGAACAATTGCCCCTTCTGAAAAATTACCCTTATAACATTCCTTCATGATCTTGCCAATCTCCGTCCATGGTATCTTCACCTTAATATGGTTATAATATGCCTGAATGCAAAGGAGGAGCATGTCATTGTAATTCGCTTTTAAACAGTCAGTATCAGACCACATAGTTTATTCTTATCTTTTTATGGAAGCCACCATCTCACACATTCAACATGACTCAATGCATGAATGCGCCAGTGTCCTCTCCTTGAACTTATTCAAAGCAAAGTCTGGCCGTCAGGTGGAATGAGGCTGGGAGAAGAGAGGAGGGGGGGCTTTATTGCTTATGGGGAGAAGTCACTTACCTTTCCAACGGGTGATAACTCTGGTTGTAGGACGTTTAGTTCTCTTCTTCTTCGTCTTCTTCTTGCTTTCAGCATTCGACGGAGGCGCCTAGTCCGATTAGCAAAACGATCAGATACTGAGGATTTTAATCCACTCACCACACTTTCAGTTTGATCCTCACTTTCATTCTTGGCAGAGGCTTCAGGAAAAAGCTGGGGGATCCCCTGCCCGAACTCGTGGACTAAGAAAGCAAGAGTCAGATGAGGCTCAACTGAGAGATATCCAGACAGGTATGAGATGCAGTGAACCCCAACAGACACTTGCAGGAACTGAGAGATCCACGTCTAGGATTGGAGCCCATTTAGGACTAATCTGGGGATGCAACTTACATGGATTATTAGAGCTCTGTGACACAACAGGCTGTGCAATAGACTGTGTAGTGAGTTGTGCAGTAGGTTGTGCAGCAGGCTGTGGAATTGCTGGTCTCAACTCTCTCAGCTTTCGCTGCTGAGGAGGGCGTGTCATCTTGTGATGATATTTAGAGGATCTTGATGTTATTTAAAGGATCTTGACAATATTGAAGGGTTAGGATAGGATTCAAGCGATGGTGAGGATAAGTGAAGTTATTCACAGTGAGTGCAATGGTGTAGGAGTTTAAAAGGAGAGTGAGAGTGAAAACTACATTAACTAACGCGTCTTAAGATCACTCACGCGTCTCTACAAACCACTGTGTGATTAGCATCATGTTTGACATGATGTTTGACATGATCTCGCTTAGCCGGTAGCGCGTGGCGTTCTATATAGAAGATGGCATCAGTTAATCAGGACCCCCCCACCTTCACCTGGGACCTTAGAACCTGGTCTACATGGGGAATTACGGCTCTGAATACTAGCATTAAAGCTCACAACTTGTCCAGCATATACACCAGACCTATATCGTACTCCCAGAGGAATTTGAAGTCAAGATACGGGGTTTCATGGACTTGAACCGTTGTTGTAGAGCATAGATCCCATATCAGACACATTTCCTAATCGGGAACTCCTGATACTCTCTCGTCTACACGCTGCTACGCGGGGCTTCAAAGTGGGTCTTTGCGAGCAGAGCCGCGTCCCTGGACCCTGATACCCCTCTGTGATTAGAATCGCCCTCGCAAATCAGTCCCTAAGCGACGTTGCTCGCTAAATCAGCGTGGATCGGTGGTTGATGCTGATCTACGGAGCGGTCGTCGTCGGGGGGCGGCTGCAGGTCACGTGCGGCACATGACCGCGACTTCCCGATCCTCCGAAACCTTCCAAAAGCTTCACCTGCGAAGAAGCCGAACCACCACCCCCTTGTCCAATTCCACCCCCCGTCCACCCTCCACCCAATTCTTCAAGATGACGTTCGCCTGGAAGTCCGCCGGTTTGACGTACGTGCCGATTTTTTCCTTCTCTGCGTCATTGCTCGCCTGTGCCGCCTGCACTATCGCTGACCTGGTCTCTCTTTTCTCTAGCTACAACCGCTACCTGGCCGTTGCCTCCCGCGCCGTCCGCCGGTCCCTCAAGGAGGGGCCCCGTCTCCAGGCCGAGCGCCGTGGACAGCAGGAACTGCGTTTTGCCAAGTGGGAGGTTCGTATCGCACTGCACACGTTCACCGGACCGCCGGGATACAGATCATTTGGATGACATCGGATGACTAACGGATTGTCTTGTTTTTTTTTTTCGCCCCGATACAGAACGGCAAGCAGGGCGAAGTCAAGAACCTTGCCGAGGCCAACAACGCGGCTGCCATCGCCCAGGCCGAGTCGAAATAGACGATGATGTGCCGGGGACAAATTACCGCTAGAGAGACTTGGGTTCGGACGGTCAATTGAGCAGACCCGCGTGGGAGAGATTTGGTTTCCCCCCCAAGCCTCGGGGACGATGTGTATATTGTAGCAATACGGCCGGCATGGATTAGAATACAGTGCCCGGGTTTTTTTTTCTCTACTGCTCTCTACATTTTCTATGTGTTATCCTCTTCGTAAATGCCCCCACGTAGTCCAAAGGGTTGGTTAAATGCCCAGCGGCAGCACGCGCCGCCCGCAGTTCAAGATCTCCAACAACCCACCCGGTCTCCCCGCTCCGCCCCGTCACGAACAACCTTTTTTTTCTTGTCTCTCGTTTCTCCCTCCGTCTGGGATTTGGTTTTTTATTTATTATTTTTTCTTGCCTCGGGGAATGTGAGGCAGTGGGCTGCGGAGAATATCATCGCTACAGCCATGCTGCCCAATAGCGAGATCCGCAGCACAGCGATGAGGGTTGTGACGCAGTCTATTGTCCCCCACGATATCACGGAGCATTTCACACAGGCGGCGTCGAGTGAGTTTCGTTACTTGAGAACAAGAATTGAAATTGATTATTGACTGAGGGTGTCTTTTTCTCTTCTAGAGCTTGTTGCCGGTCAGCTCGTCAAAGATGAATACTTTACATTGTTTGAGGCGGTGGGCGCTCTGGAGGTACGTTCCGCGGGGCTATATCGAAAGCATTGTCTACGATAGGGAGAGAGGGATAAAAAAAAAGCTGATGTTGGCGATCGGCCGGTGGGGAATAGATCATGGATCCCAAGATGGACAGTGGATTCATCGCCCCGGGAGAAGACCTGGCGGAAGCCCTGCAGGATAGCTACGACGTCACTCAGGAATTGAGACCGGAGCAGGTTGTGGGCATTATGGACGGGCTACTCTGTCACGAGGTGTGTTTGTTTTTTGTATCTTCGAATTTCGATTGACCTCCGAACTGTCTCGCTAAGCAAGAGACATTTCAGATGGCATGGCATATGGGGCATCCTCTATCGCAAACCCTCTTCACGTCGATATACCTGGATAAACTGCTATGGCCGATACCGAAGACGATGGAGCAGGCGACTTTCTCCCGCGAGACAGACGACAAGGATAATGTACTGGTTCAGCTTGTCCTGCGCGCATACTGTTTGGGTCTGGTTAAGGCGTGTGATCTGGTCCACGGGCAAGTGGTATCGGAATATTTCTACGAGGTGTGCCATTTGTGGTTTCGGAGCCCTTTCTTTGAGAAAGATCACCGATTGACTGGATCTAGGAAGAAGATTTTGTGACCCAGCTCTATAATCGCAGTCTACTATCCGAGTTTGATGTCGACGCGATTCTAAAGATCATCAACCAGGCCCTCGATTGGGTGGATGGGCCAGAGAACAGCATTGATGACCCCTTGACAAAAGCGCTGCGAGTCAGACTGCTGTTCCGGCGAGACTTCTTGACTGCGCTGGAGCAGAACAGCAAGGTTTTACAGACACGATCGACGAAGCATCTCTCTTCATGTATATCGCATATTTCTGCCCTGGAAAAGTCATCGCCACTGGGCCAAGCGGTCCCCGAGGCGTTCAGTCTGAAGATTCAGAGGAAACTCGCTAGCACGGTTCCTCCTCGTCCCATGGTGAACATCAGCATCGAAAATGCGCTCAGCCACCTCCGGCGCTTGTGTCAGGATGCGATTGATATCCAGCAGGTCCTGGAGTATAGCTGTCCTTATAATGTCATGGTAAGGTTACCTAATAGCCTTGTCATTAGAGTTGCCTAACATTCTAGATTTCTGTGTGGACTTTGATGTCTAGGAAGCCGCAGCCGTCTGTGTACATCCGCTCGCTCCTTCAGACCATCGTCTTCAGTGACATGCGAGTACTAGGGTCCCTCTCCATCAAGAACTTCATGTACGACGACCTGGCGCAGCTCGTGCTACCCCATAACATTCTCCTCCAAGCGAATATGGACAATATCGAACTGCCAAGCGACCCCCGGTTCCGAATCGCACAGCAGATGGACGATTTCGTCAAACGCTTCTCACAGGTATGCCTTTATTCTTTTCATTTCATATATTCGGCTATTAATAGATTTGCAGCCATTTTTAGACACGTTTCGCAGCATCTGCCTGAACCGGTGCCGATTTCGCAGGACGCTTTGCCATACAGCGGTCGACTGGGACACTCTACAAATGGAGGTAGGATGGAAAATAAAATTCTTTGTTTGTTTTACTTCTAATGCCTTTTCAGGCCGAGGAACTAGACACAGAACTCCGCGCTCTCACTCTCGAGCCTCCGTTGAAGCTGCATGGCGGTGAACCAGCGTACTCGTACCCACTGAGCAGCTGGGCGTACCACCAGAAACTGACACAGCTGCGAACGATCCTCCAGCTAGGGTTTGAGCTCTCGATCTATGCTCCCGAAGAGCTGCCCGGCATGTACTGGTACCTGTCCCACATCTGCTCCGCGCATCTCGCGCATATCGATCGAATCCGGACGTTCACGCTCGCCGCCAGCAGGGGCCCGGCGGCGGTGTTGACGCTGCCCGGGGGGACCAAGGCCAACGCTTCAGAGCGGGAGGGAGCGTTCCACACCTCGCTGCGTCTGCTGGAGAGACTAACGACGCAGCTGATTGCGATCGACGCGTTTGCCATTGCGCTGCATGCGTTGTACGTGCTTCTGGCTCGACACGGAGTGCTCCCACGGGCGTCTTCCCCGAACCAAGCGTATTCCAGCGAACGACTCCGGTACGAGCTGCGGATGAAACCCTTCCTCCCGATCTCGCTTCCGGAACCGGTGCCGTATGCCGAGTACCGCGGCGAGGCCGATCTGGAGGGGGACAGCGACGCGACGGTGCTGGAACGCGCGACGCGGGCGATTGCCGAGGCGCGCAAGGCGTGGGAGACAATCCTGGCGCGGGGCGTGTTTCTTGTACCGTCGCCTACCGCGGCGGGGACAACGCACGCGCCGCGATCGATCGAGGAGGACTGGAAGCGGGAGGTCAAGGACACGATGCGGGCGTGTATTGGGACAAGCATTGCGATCGAGAGTATCAAGAAGGCATTGGCAGCTCGCTCTTCGGAGGGGGTACCTGTTCGCGTGGAGATTCCTGAGCTGGGCTCCAAGATGCGCTGGCATGACTGGTGGGCAGTCCCGCATATAGTTCCTAGATCTTAGATAGGTACTTTCCCATCACATTGACACTATATTTCATCAAATCGTAATTCATTATTCATTATTCTTTAATTTTCAATCTAAATGTAACAATCGTAGCGTCATAATCATCAAGCGTCGGCATCGTAAAACGCCGCATGGCATAACGGGCAGGTGAAATGGAAATGCAGGAACCACTCCTCTAGACACTGGTCATGGAAGACATGGTTACATTTCAGGGCGTGGATGGATGCCGACTCGGCAATAGGATCGAGACAAATGGCACTATAGCAGCATAAGGATTAGCACATGAACAGAGGCCTCTATACTAGTAGCTTCTGATGATGGATCAAGGGGCAATACCAGACAAAATTGGTGTCGTGTTCCGTCAACTTCATTTTCTCCTTCTGTGTCGCCCACCACTCGCGCAGACAGGACTTTGGCGCCACCTTTGCGAGTTTCGAGAGATTCTCGTCTGTCGTGCTACCGGCGAGTTTCGATTCGGGGTCATCGTTTGGAGCACGGGGGAGGACCCAGACGAACAGAATCACCGTTCTATATAGATATCTGTTAGTTCGTTCATATTTATCGAGTATTGTCCTTTTTTTTCCCCGCTTTCTCAGACGTACACGAGAATGAAGAGGAAGACGCCGAGCCCGACGCACAGGGTGATAATTATGCCTTGGAGGTCTGGAGGCATTGTTCGAAGTAGGGAACTGTGTAGTGTGTAGTGTGTAGTGTGTGGCTGTTGCTGTTGCTGTAGCTGTAGCTGTTGCTGGAGTGTGATAATTAGACAATTAGTATTTATATTTTATGTGGTGCAAATATCTAAATAGTCATGTGCTTTTTACCTTGTTCCTCCCCGAGTCGTGCAGGCTGTTCCTAGCGTCAGGTGAGGCTTGTATCGGATGACCATCACATCGTCACACCACTCACTATACGGAGATATGAGGAACTTCTTACTACCACCCCTAACTGGTCTAGAGTTTACAACTAGATAAAGGTATCTTAGTTGGGAGTATGACATCATCTATTCCTGGGATATGATAGATTAAGTTATTCGGTTGATGTCGCGCATGAAATAGTTTCTATAGAGATGAAGTGATACTGGACTACTAGTACAGACAGCTCCCCTTATACTGCGAAACACCCTCCGCTATCACTGAACATCAATTGACCATCCCACAGTACTGTAGCTAGTACCGAAAGAGCGTCGTAGGCTATTTCTATCCTGTAGAATTGATCAAAGTCAAGGCAAAGCCTTCACATGAAGTTGGGATTCGGCCGTGTGCCTTATACCTAAGGCATATAATTTCTCTTTCCGGAAGGGTGCCGGTGTAAACTCGGTAATTCTTGCCCGCATTCTCCCCTGCATCCTCCGTATCCTCCGTATCCTCCGTATCCTCCGTATCCTCCGTATCCTCCGTATCTTCCGTATCCTCCGTCCTACTCCGATATCGTGCCTACCTACTCCGTCCTGTACTGTATGTAGTAGACAGAGCGTACTGAGATGAACAGTGCACAGGTATCTATATAGGTCTATAACTAGTAGCCTGTAGGTAGTAATATATATATATATTTAGTAGTAATGCAAGTGCTCACTCTATACTATTTATCTACAGTATATTTAGGGTATCTCTACTAGTCCATGTTCAATATAATTTAAATCTTTATATGTAGCACTCTGCTTGATTGCAAATGCAATACTAATACATTATTATAGCTATCTACAAGAACCAACTCCACTAACTACCTAGGTAACTACTAGGTAACTACTAGGTACATACTATGGTAACTATGCAGTACTATTAAATAACCGAATAATAGGATAATGCTTAGTTAGTAAGTGACTGTACATCCTATGTGCTGAGTAAGTACTACCAAGTCTCTCGCCTGTTTTGCCGATGTCCCCCACCAGGATTGACAGGTCGAGAACTGCAGCAGCAGCAGCAGCAGCGGCAATGACGGTTACAGGCTAATGTTTGCTAGACAAATCGACCATCTTCTCGATGTGTCGATCCGATTATAATTCTCCTAATTCTCCGAGGCTCTCTTCCCTCCACCCCCCCCGTTCCCTGTGCTCCGTGTGTCTCATCCTCGATCGCCGACCGTGACCGTCTGTGTATTCAGTGATCCACTGCACAGTACCTAACACAGTGCACACACACCCGTCAAAGCCGTGGCACGGAATAATACTCCGTACACTGCCTGTTTCCTACGACCCAGTCGAGATGCCCGCCTACCCCATCCGACGCAGGCCACGCGAGTGCAAAACCTGTCTCCCATGCCGCGCCAGCAAGGTGCGCTGCGACCGTAATGTCCCCTGTGGCAACTGCGTCAAGCGCGGCCAGCCCAACAGCTGTACCTACGGCGTACCCCCGCCGTCCCTGGTTACCACCACCACCACCTTGCCTACCAGACCGAACACCACCACGACGACGACAGCGACAGTGACTTCTTCGGTTTCTTTCCCGCATGCTCATCTTCCTCCTCATCCTCCTCCTCCCTCGGCTCAGTCATATTACTCGTCTGCGCGGTCGTCGCTGTTTCTAGATGGAGTCTCGTCGGCTGCCGTTGACCCGGACACCCTCCATGATACCCCGGATACGGTCAATCTGGCTCAGGGGGAATGGGACGAAATCTGTTCGAAGATGGTCGCCATGGAGCAGATCCTCGCTAGTCTGCAATCGCTGTTTGACAGTCACTCGCGGCGTGATGGAATGTCTTCTGCTGCAGCGGCCTGGGACCGTAGTGCAGGGAAACTCGAGGCCGGAGAGGAGGGAGAAGACGAGGCAGATGACGACGAGTCGGACGAGGGAGAAGAGGCCGACGAGGCTGAGACAACACAGGCTGGACTGTTAGCACGTAAGGACTCACGCTCGCCGCAGGCCGAGGGCGTGTACGGCGCCAACGTGCTCAACACGGGCGCGGTGCATCTGGGGTCACGCGCCGCCCTGGTCGATATCCTCAACAGTGCCAAAACCTCCGAGGCGATCGCCCAGGTGCTTCCCAAGGACGATCTTCTCGCTGATCTGGCCCTGGGCAATGAGGCGGCTAGTTATCCCTTTGTTGATCTGTGGTCTTCGGATCCGCTGGGCTTCAATCTCGCCGCTGTCGTCGCCGTTCTCCCTGATGATCACAAATGTCGCAGGTATTTTTTTTTTTTTTTTAAATTTTTTTTCCTATCCAGCTTCATTGTGTCGAGTGTTGGCAATTCTAATAATTTTTTTTAGATTCTTCGGTTTCTACAAGGATATCGGTGCCGTCCTATACCCCGTCCTATACGATGTCCCTGCCGTCGAGCTTAGCATGAACCGGCTACTACACAACCGCATGATGGCGGGCGGGGTCTACAAGCCCGACGCGACGGGGCTCGTCAAGCCGTTCGGCATGAATCTGGCTTTCCTGAGTCTTCTCTTCGCCCTTCTCGCCTCGGGCTGTCAATTATCGGACCTGCCTGGTAGCGAGCGCGAGCTAACCTCGTGGGTGTACAGTGAGTGTGCCGAGTTTTGCGTTGCGTTCCACTGTCAGCTGCTGACTGTCATAAGTCTCCTGTTCCTATCAGTGTCTTCGGATGATAAACTACGTCTCGAACCCCTCGATGGAAGTGATCCAGGTCCTGTTGATTATCAGTAACGTCTTGTCATATAATATGAATGCGGGAGCGTCGTATACCCTGCTAGGCATGACGGAACGGATGTGCATGGTGCTCGGACTGCACGTCGACTCGACCAAGTTCTCGCGCACCGAGCAGGACATCCGCCGGCGGGTGTGGTGGGCAATGGCCTTCCAGAACAGTCACTTCTCCCTTGCGTATGACCGGCCGTCGATCACCATGGTCAGTCAGCCGGAGATCCCCTACGACCGCAAATCGATGCCCGGGTGTCGGTCGTATTTCGAGACGCTGTGCCGCGTCGTCTCGCTGGCGCTCGAGGTGATGCGGTCGCGCATGCACCCGGGTCACTTCCACACGCGCTACCACGAGATCCGCGAATACAAGCAGCGCCTGCAACGTATCCTGGCCGAGACGACGCCGCACCTGCGGTCGCGTGAGCACTGCACAACCCTCGCCGAGCACATCGAACGCATGGAGCTGCGGCTGCATTCATCCTACCTGGTCTCGGTCCTGTGCCGTGTCTCGCTCGACCCGAGCGCCCACATGGACGAGCAGCGCCGCGCCCTCATCCGCGAGGAGTGCCTGGCCAGTCTCGTAGGCACCATCGAGGCCTTTGTCGAGCTGCACTCCATCAGCTCCCACAGCTCGCGTTCCTGGATCAGTCTGCAGCGAACCATCGCCTCGGCCTTTCTGCTCGTCGCGACCGAACAGGGCCAGAACCACCCGCAGACCTGGGCCCTCATCGACAAGCTCGAGCGCGTCCTAGCCGACCACGTCCATGCTGACGGCGAAGCTCACCACAATAACCGCACCGATTCGGCCAAACATCTCGCTTCTTCTCTGCGGTCGCTGCGCGAGGTCAGCGCTGCCTTTCGAGCGAGGAAGCCTCCTCCTCCTCCGCCTCAACATTCTACTCCTCCTCATCCTCCTCAACATTCTACTCCTCCCCTTCATCCTCCCCATACAGCCCCCCAACCATCTTTATTACCACAATCGGTGGTTTCCCCCGTATCCTCAGCACCCTTAGTACCCCCCGTATCGATATCCTCAGTACCATCTGTCCCCACCACCATGTTTTCCCCACCTAGTGTGCTGTTCCCCTCCCCCGCTGCGACGGATGGAAGCCCCGCGACAACCACAGCAATGGTTCAGCCCTCGATCGGCGAGTGGGAAATGCGCAGTATCCTCGACCAGGTGTCGGATGTCATGCGGTTTCCTCCCATCCCGGGCAAAACGTCTCCTGTATAGCGATTGGCGATACGGAGTATATTGATGAGTTAATTAGCGTTGACTAGTATTGGGAGTGCTGGGCGAGTATTTATCGATTTGTATGGTAGTATTTATATTGTGTTGTGTAGGGGGGGGAGGATTTCGGGGCTCGTTCCAATACAGGATATAACGCGGGGAAAGAGAGGGAGAGAGAGGGAGAGAGCACGGGAAAATATATAACATAAACTACTAGGTAATATATATCCGGCCTCCTCTTTAACACTCTCCCTCTTCTTTACTCCGACTCGGCCGATGTTAAAAAGCATAGAACCCAGTACGGCCGAGAGGGCAGCCGAGTCAACGCCGAGGGTCGTATGACGGGGCACGATTCTAGATATTACTATGTAGTACTTGTCTACCCCTCCTATCCTATAGTTTTCCCTGCTAACCCTATCCCCTGGAAGGCTTGGTAATGCTAGCTTGAGTAGGAATCCCTGTGCGATTGATTGGGGATATTCTTCCGAGTGGGTTGGTCAACTGCCGAGTCGGTAGTAGAAGTGTAGTACTAGGTACCTAGGTAGAACCAGAGGTAGTAGAATAGTAAAGTATATTCACTACTTTCCACTGATACTCAGTACTCTTATGCAGACTAAAAGTTGAAACGTAAGAACGGAGTACAGAGTACACCGTTGCTTGTGCAACAGTGCTTGTTCCTACCTGTCAAAAAATCAAGCACGGCTTAACGGCCCCCACGACTAGAAGGAGCAGGGCGTGGCCAAGGCAACGAACGAAATAGATCTCCCTCCTCGCATGTAGTAGAACACATAGCTAGCCATTATTGGCTATCAAGAGACTGGTCTGTGGAGGCAGGATCCTTCCTTCTTGCTTGACCTTGACGCGATGTGTAGAACCCCTTGGCCGTTGAGAAAGACGCGTTCAAAGCTGTGGCTGTAGCCACAGAAACAGTAGCTGCGGGCTATATGGTAGACGTCGATAATATCGAGAATCGACCAGCCAGACGTCGATAATATCCAGAATCGACCCAGACAGCTATGCCACAGCGGTAACCTCACTCCTGGGGAGCCACCTGTCACGGGATAGGTTCGTCGAAGAAGGTTCCTCAAAGTTGGAGACTATATAATCATACAGTTTAGCCTGCTTTCATTGTTTCCCATGGTCGAAATGGCCTCTCTCTAGCTTACCAGTCTGCCAACGCAAGTTGGGAGCCTCTTGGGAGCTTCTTGTTTCTTTGATGTAAGCCGAGGGTGTGATTTTATCTGTAAACTGGTAGAAATACTTGGCTCGACAGAATCTAGAGCAAAAACATGAATCTTGATAATTTTGGTGTAGAATTTTGTTGGTGGTCAAAGTCAAACGACGGTTGAGTTGAAGTCTTCCGCAACGTGCGCCTCGTGACTACTTCGTTCTTCTTCTGCCTGACAACATCTTTCAAGCTCTCTTCACCTCGACAATACTTCATTCCCACCCAGCTCCCCTGAGTTCTCTTTGACTCCTATTTCGTCTCTTATGCTTTGAATAGAGAGACACAACATAGATGTGCTCAATACTCGTGGTTTGGAATATACGCTGACAGAGAGTAGGACGGGTGGCGGCGACAACGAGGACGACACTATTTCCACAGCCTCTATGTTCTCATTTACTTCGTTTAATCACTCTAGGCGCATGTCTATGAGCTTTAGAAGCTCAAATCACAACTCATACGCCGACAGTCCCTCCGAGATATGCAATTGCTGCAAGCCAGGTTGCATGAACATCAGCGTTGCCCTCACATCTAGATACTTTTCATCCTGGAAATAGGCTTGGAAGTATGCCCGACACTGGCCGTGGCAGTCTGTCGATGGGTCCTGACAAAGCATGGCAGGCAAAGTGCCGGGTGATCTACACTGTTCCAGGGGTTCCACACAAGGCAGAGTTCTTTAGCACTCGTCTGTAAGTCGATATGGAGCAAAATGGTGCTTATTGTGACGATTCACTGCAGATGTGCTGCGTGGATAGTGGACAGAAATCAAGTCACCCCGCTTAGCAGGTATGTACTATGCCGGCCTCAGGTTCATCCTCTCTCAATTTCCCATGACAGCCAAGTTGACCCATAAGACACGGTTCGGGCTACGAAGTACGTACGCTGTGTTCTAGTGCAAACTTTGTGTTATCAATCATGTCGATCTCTTGAGTAACGATGCCGTCTTCGGGAGACTGATCATCGGTGCAACGGATGATAAAACCGGTCTGATCATCAGTGTAACTGATGATAACACAGCACATGGTACACATGCTTCATATGACTTGGTGCCAACTCGATCAAACATGATATTATGGATATTCTCTATCAAGGCATGCTGATATTAAGACGTATCATATCACATTGTGTTTGAGTTGATGCTGGGTGGGAATGTTCGTTTTACGTGAAAAAGACCCCTCTCTCCACCTCCCTCCCGAAGGGTGAATTAGCATAAATTTTGCAACGATTACGCGGTCAGGGCCTTGCCAAGCTGTCAGCGGAATCTAGTTCAATTTCGGTTTCCATACTCTCATGAATAGTCGTGTGTGTTTATGATACTGACGCCTGTACGCTTCCACAATCTATCGGCCCGAATCAGGAAAGCCGGCCTCTCGTTAGGTCGCTATCAGGCAGTTTCGCCTTCTAATGACAGCATCGTTCTAGGCTCTGTGATTGGCATGTTTGGGCGCCCCTCTACTAATCTCCAGCCCGTTTCAGATCTACATCGGCCTTGGCGATCTGTTAGTGCGATGTTGCTGCCCGGCGCTTATGGCCGAATCTACTCCGTAGAACGAGGGATGGATTTAAAACTGGCCTGCCATATGTCAAATGAGCTTTCTTTTTCCAGGATGAAGTAGAAGATAAAGGAAGAAAGAAAAAACATATGACGGACCTGGTGTCCAGCGAATTTGGCCGTCAATTCTCCCTTTGTCTCCAGTAACTAACTACATCCCAACTATGGCCACTCCTTTGGTTTTGTTTGCTCTTGGAGTATTCTCCAACCTTGCTGCGGCCTGGCTGCCCGAGATTGACCGGGAAATCACCTCGCTGGGCGGCACCAACCTCTTCACCAAGAGCAATGGCACCATCCGTGGGGTTGATATGGGGGCCCAGTTTGTGTTCGAGCCTTGGATCGCCGAGACCGCCTGGGACGATATAGGCTGCGGCACCCAGTATTGCGAAACAAATTGTGTGCGGGAGATGGGCCAGGACGCTGCCAATGCTGCCTTTGCAATTCACTGGGACTCGTGGATCACCCGGGAGGATATTCGCGAGATTGCATCCTATGGTCTCAACACCATCCGTGTCCCTATCGGCTTCTGGATGCTCGAGGACATCGTCGACCCGTCAACAGAAGCCTTCCCACAAGGCGGGTTCCCATATCTGGAGCGTTTCTGCGGATGGGCGAGTGATGCCGGACTGTATATCATTCTCGATTTGCACGGAGCGACGGGCGCGCAGGTGACTGAGAATCCTGATACTGGTCGGGTACGTATTTTGTGGATCGTTACGATGATCTTACTTGAGAATTTATACCATGAAACCAACACAGACTAAACAACTTTCTTCTTCCTCCATCTAGTACGTCCCCAAAGTCGAGTTCTACAACGAATACCAGTACGAGCGTGCGCTGCTGTTTCTCGAGCAGTTAGTTCTGGAGGTCCACGTGAACCACAACTTCCGCAATGTCGGCATGCTGGAGATTGTCAACGAGCCGTTACAAGACCCAGATGAGGTTGCAAGTATGCGGGAGACATACTATCCTCGGGCCTTTGAAGTATGTACATTTCCCCCTTTTTTTACCTATCTTTTCGTCAAACAAAAACTGAAAGTAGACTCTTCTTAGAGAATTCGCGCCGTCGAGATGGCCCTCCAAGTCCGCAGAGAAGACTACGTGCACATTCAGATGATGAACGAGCTCTGGGGGGCCGGAAACCCGAAAGAGAACCTGACGGACCTTTACTACGCCGCCTACGACGACCACCGCTATCTCAAGTACGACGCGAGCATCCCCGTCTCCAAGGATAGTTACCTGAACGCCTCATGCACCGACGACCGCGGCGACGACAGCCCTACCATCGTCGGAGAATGGAGCCTCAGTCCCCCGGATGACGTCCAGTGGGATTCCGACTGGGACCCGGACACCAACGTCGCCTTTTACAGGAAATGGTTCGCGGCGCAGGTCATGGCGTACGAGAAGCAACATGGCTGGATCTTCTGGACGTGGAAGGCCCAGCTGGATGACTACCGCTGGTCGTATAAAGGTACTTCGTTCTTTTCTTTCCGCCTTTTGGTACAAATTTGCGTAAAGTGCTCTTGCTCTACCGATACTGACGCTTGTTGATAGATGCCGTGGCTGCCGGCGTGATTCCCCTTGATCTTGACTCAGTCTATGATACTGGAGTTTGCGATGGGATATAGATTCGAGACCATGTAAATGAGAATCAAACCACCAAAAAAAGAAGTATATTTAAAATTTAATTCAACTTCATTATGTATGTTTTTTTAGCGCAAACTATATTCTTGTCAAAAAAAAAAAAAGGATTACATCAATACCGCTACCCCGAGAGCGACCAAGCCCATCCAGCTGGGCACCTGCATCCCCCGCGCCATGTTCGTGCTTGAGGCCGTGGCCGCCGACCCCGTCGTCGAGGGGGTCGACGAGGCGCCCCCGCTGCCAGTCGACGTGGCGCTACTCTTCCCGCTCGAGTAGCCGCACAGTCCGGAGCCCTTCATCTGAAAGGTCGGAAAGAAGACACGCGGCTGGCCCTTGTCCATATCGACGGTGATGCTGCCGTTGGTGCCCGCCGTGACGGTCGTGCAACCCGTCACCTCGGTGAGGCTGGTGCCGGCGTCTGCGACGCCGTCGACGATGAGCTTGTAGGCACCTCCTGCGGTGCCCTGGTTGGAGAGCACGGAGATGATCTGCACGCCGTCGGGGCCCTTGCGAGTCACGTACGTCGAGTTGTCTGTGTAGAGCAGCGTGCTGGCGTTGGTCACGTAGTTATCGTCGAGGGTGATGGCGTAGTTGCGCAGCTTGTTCAGCGTCGCTGTCAGCTGGTACAGCGGTGTAGAGGTGTTGTAGTTGGTGCTCCAGATCTCCTGCCGGTTGTATGGTGAGTAGGCACCAGTCAAGTGCTGCTCTTGGCCGTAGTACATCTTGGGGATGCCGTCCGAGAGGATGGTGAAGGCAAGAGCATTCTTGGCGAGCTGCATTATCAATTAGCATGCCGTAGTTGGAAGTAGTTCGCGCTTGCAAATCAGGTTTACAAACTTACAGCCATATCAGGGTCGATGCTGGCGAACCGCTCGTTGTCCTGGTTTTCAATGAAAACCGACAGGTACTGAGGGGAGGAACAAGCAGTGCGCATTGTCTGCACCATTGAGACTAGGCTGGGCATATTTCCTGCCGTAAACGCCTCTAGGATGGTGTAGTACAGAGGATAGTTCTCCAGTCCGCCGGTGTAGCTTTGATAACTGCAGGTGAGATTCGCGTCGTTGTCGTCCACCTCCGCCATAGTGTACACCCCGGCGCTCTGGATGAAGTCCTTGAAAAAGCCAAATTCGATCTGTTTGGCACCATCCAGCCGGATGCCATCGATAGAGTAAGTCGAGACAAGGTTGTTGATCCAGGAGTCCAGAGTGCTCTTGATACCGGAATCAGTGGTCTTGATGCGCGGGGTCGCGACACCCTCGGTGCCAAGCCAGCAGGTGGTGTACTGGGTTGCGTTGTTCCAGTCGGAGATGGTGCAGAAGGGGTCGTAATCTGCGGAGGTGTTGAATGGGGTGAAAACGGAGTAGTCGATCTTGGTTGAGGAGGTCATGTTCGCGTCGCCAATATCGTATGCCATTTCGTTCGCGACAACGTCCACCAGCAGATACATATCGCGCTTGTGCAGCGCAGAAACAAGGCTCTTGAGATCATCCGCCGACCCAAAATGCTCATTCAGGGCGTACAGATCCTGGGGCCAGTAGCCGTGGAAGGCCTCGCCATCGATGGTATCCTGCTCGAGATTCTTATTGACCGGGGAGATCTGAACGGCCGTAAAGCCCATACCCTGGATGTAGTCAAGCTTGTCCACCAGGCCAGCCCAGCTACCACCGCAGTATTTTGTGATGTTGCAAGCAGCGTCGGAATCACCCGACCTGGCGAAGCGGTCGGTGATGACCTGGTAGATCGATCGCATAGCCCATTCATCGTTGGAAGCGGCGTTGGCGGATGCCAGGAAGCCGACAAGGGCCGCTGCTGCGTATTTGAAATTGCCCATGGTGGTCTGTCTACACTTGGTGGCACCGAACGAGTGTGGGTGAACCTCCACAGGAGTACAACGATAAACGACTCGAGATGAAACGAGTGTCAGTGAAAGCGGGTGTTTCACAGTTTAACGAGAGACAGTCATTCAATAGAACATCAAAATTGCATGCCCAGACCTTCTGGCCAAGAAGTTGAAATAGCCGGATGTCAGGGGAATATATTCCCAACAGATAACGGTGGTGGTACCGCATATTATGTAGGTAGGTGAGCATGCCCCATGTGATAAGTCTCTGGGCCGACTGAGACATGCACCTGGCAGGGGATGGGCCGTATCAGACCCGTAGACCCTATCAGTGGTTACCTAGGGTCCATTGCAAAAGACTGCGATTGGAAGCTTCACGAAAGGGTCTCCGTCCAAGGGTCGACCTATGGGTCCATGGCCAAGACTACGAGATGCTAGTTTCGGCGGCTAGCGCACGTCTGGAGATGCTGATAGGGGAGGATGCCAGGGCATGAACAAGAACAAGGATGCATGTAGCCCAAAGGGAGGGAGCGAAAAAACCCCTCTGCGGGCAGAGTTTTGGATGAGTTGCGTGAGCCTTGAGGTCGCGTTCTTGTGCAAGGGGTAATCAGTTAGTCGCGATTCAAAGCGAACCAAGGACCGTGTCATGGCTACTCCGTACTGATTTTAGCTTTAATCTTTGATCAAGCTCAGATCCACCGAACTTACTCTGTAATAATATGGGTTATCGAAAGTGAAAGGAGACCCTTTGCATCCTTTTTATCTGACATGGAGATACTACATACGGAGTAGTAAGGAGTAGCTCGAAATGCCCACTCTGTATTTCCTCAGTACGAAATACTATGCAGGCTCCTTCCTGATCAGCGGGGTCAAGGTCTGTTCTTGCAGCTATCGAGAGTTTGCAGATGCGAAATATTCTATATTCTTCCAGTTTATCGCCATCTAGCCGGATTTTTCTCTAATGGCCAAGTTTGTGGAACGTTGCTGGCTTTGGCTTGATCAACCCCACCGAGTGTTGATATCTCCGCCGACAACTGATTGGTCTGGTTTCTGAGCCATATGTAGTATGGGTTTGTGATTAGTTACCTGTCAGACAAGAGTTGGAAGCTGGACGACCATCCCAATGATGCGGGCTTGAACGAGGATAACAGTTAACTGTACGAGGATGATGGGCTCCGCACTCTGCAGAGGGGGTTGCCTTGAAATCGGTGCTGTCAACCTGTCAGTGCTTTATGCATAGAGAAATAAAGCCCCCGGCAATTATTGGGAAAAAAAAGCAAATAAAATTTTTTTCAAAAATAAGGATCTACCTTTTGAAGATCTTCAAGCTCTCACTTTCTCCTTTGCTTCTTTCATCATTTCTTGTAGTACCTTCATTGCAGCTTCCTCCTTCCCAACAGGAACAAAGATGTGATCATGGAAATATCCGCTGACCACATTCGAGCTGATTCCGTTTTCTGCAAACCGTGTGGCGATCGAAGCAATAAGACCGACTGCTTCTAGACTCGAATGCACGGTGAGGGAGATCTTTCTGCAGGGGAAAGTTGGGTCCAAAAATCCATGTGCTTCTGCGGCTGTCTGTGACGTGATGATGCTGAGTCCTTCTGCCTCTTGAAAGAGCATTTGTGGCTGGAGAGCTTCCAAAGGCAGTGTACTAATAGACTGAGTGGTAGTCAAGAAGACAAACGTCTCAGGGTCCAACGTAGGCCTCATCGACGCCAGTAGAACGGCAAGGTCACTTTCGCCGTGTTGTGTCATCGTGGTTGAATCAAGCAACTGCAAGCAGTCAATAATGCGAGGGAAAAATTCAAAATTACCCAATAGACGCACCTGCTCAATCCCCCCCCCTTTTTTTTCCCCCCCAAAACAAGACAGCTTCAACTGCCAAGGAATGTAATTGGAACGTCTCGTCCTCCAGAACTATTTGGTGATCGCTCAGCGTCTAAGCCCTTCGGTTGGCAAGCAAGAGATGGGGATCGCTTTTCGACCATCAGCAAGGATATTTGATAGTTATACCATCAGAGAGTGTCTCAGTTACCTGGTTCAATTGGAAGAACTAATTCCTCTGTTCCAAGTGACTAGACAGAAAGTGCCTCCCAGACTCTTCGGCCTCAAAACATACTGGCGGGGCGGCGGAAAGCGGTGTAAAAAGCGGTGATTATTCTGCCATATCTCTCGCCTTCTCTGCTTGGAGTCCATCTCCATCTTCAGCTCCCCAAGGCCTTTTAGGGGGTTGTCGATGGCTTTTGATGAGTTTCTCTCTGTAGCCGGTCTTTGAGAAATGTGCCAGGTGAGAGTTCTCAGATGGAGAAGCGGACGGTCTTTGCCTGTGACCAATGCCATGGTCACAAGCTGAAATGCACACCTCTGTCTCAGGGGTGTTCACGCTGCAACAGTATGTACGGGCTGAGCTTTGGATTTGGGGAAGTCGAGGAAGAGTTTTGCTGAGTTTAGCTTCCAGGGCTTGGGGTCCGATGTACCTCCGTCCGTTTTGTCAAGAAACGTGGGAGGAAGCCGGCTAGGCTGCCAACGAAGCTCTCTCTGACGTCGGTGTTGGTGAGTTCCCTCTTAACTAGACTGTGTAGATCGATTGGATTCAAAACATCCTCACCATCGTATAGAATGCTCCTGACTATCCTGTCCTCGATTATGCCCGGGATCTGCCCATTTTCAAGCAGGATGGAGACCACACAAGGTCCGTACGGGCTACACCAAGAGTCTGGCGTTGAACCTTTAAAACCAGCGTGCTTATTCTGCTTCTAGCAACTCTAGACTCCGAATCACACGATACGAGGCGTGTCGGCTACTAGAGCTATTCTTTGACTCGCCTAACCGTGATTTCCACACTCTGTTGATTCGAAAACAGAGAATCCTTGATCTGCGGGCTCCGCGTTCAACATCGCCAATATTGCTTTTGTCGATCCTTTGTAAGTTGAAGGAAAGCTGCTGTTAGGCATACGTCTTTAGACCTAACTTTTGCTCGTAGGTATTGCATGTTTCACCCAGCAGGCCGATATGTCACCGACCTTAGCTGGCAGGAGCCTTGGTGAGCTCATAGCTCTGCGCCGGTATTTGTTCGATGAACTCGTCCGTAGATTCCACTTACGAACGCTGCCTGACACTCACCATATCCTTGATGATGCCCTTACGGCATGTATTATCACAAGTATTGCTCCAAGCGAGCAGTCAGTTGAATCCAGTCTGCAATACTGGCTCGTTTTTCTCAAGTTTATCACTCAAAAGATGAATCTACACATTGATGCTCCGGGACTTAGCGATGAAGACCGGGAGGAACGACACAGGTAGCAAGCGTCCGAATTACTTTTATTGAAGCTGCACTGACATCTTTTTCCTGGCTTTCTCCTAGATTATGGTGGGCTGTCTATATCATCGACCGCCATTCGGCTTTGTCATTCAACAACCGTCCCTGTATTCCGGATAAAGAATGCCATCAACTTCCGACTCCTTGCTCGGACTTGCTATGGAACAACATGGGCCCTTTATTCGAGGGGTTGGATGCAAGTGAATGCATAAGGCCACCTTTAGGATATGATGTGCAAAGCTTGGATATATTTGGAGTTTTCTTACCTCTCTCGAAGTGGGTTTGTTTCCAGCCACATGCCTCAGAAGCAGTAAACTAGAGGGAATGGTTCTTTAATAACTGCCTCGTTACAGGATATTAGGTGAAATACTTGAGTATCATTCTCTGCTTGAGAATTCGCCGCTCAATGCAGACAAAAATCTTCTACATGCCATCCGGGAAACAATTGAAATCCACCTTGGCCATTGGTATCGATCTTTTAAACAATCAGTTGGCTTGGAATTCTGCGATATTGCGCAGCCAGAGCCCAGCTCTGCCGCACCCACAAAGCAGTATCCCAAGGTAGCATATTACGGGCTGCACATGTACCATTGTATGTTCATTCTGTTATATGGTTTGATGGACGTTGTCCGCATGTACGAGGATCTCGAATGGCAAGCATCCTCCGATTTTATCATTGTCGGTGAACATGCCATGGCCTGCGCCAGCGTATGGACCCCTTGTCTAACCCTGTCCACATGTGCTCAGATAAGGTGTATGAAGAAGTAACCGTATTCTAGGTCGCAAAACACATACTTCTCGTTGACCCTCAGCTGCTTTTCATGTATCGATACTTCGGCACCTACCTGCTCCAGTCTTCCTTCATTTTTCTTATCCTTGCTCAAAAGCTGGGCCATAGATCGGACACTCTCATTCTGGGCAACTGCTCCATCAATTTGCAGGTTCTCGATACCTTTGTAAAGACTACGAACATGGATTACCAGCGTACCTTTGCAAAGCTTTTACGCAAGGTGCTTTCCAGCCAGCTCAACACGCCCGACGACACCTCTGCAAGTCCCAAGCCTTCAACCGGTGACACAGCGGGAGAGTCTGCCACATTGGACCCGGAGATGCTCCGATATAGGTGGACAGCAGGGCACAGAGGTCTCTGGGCCAATTCTGTGCCAGGTGACCTAAGCTGAATGGATTCATATTGGCATTCAGGTATATATATCTATGTCTGTTAGCTCTTTTCCGGGGGGGTTTGTTCAACTCCATACCTTTAGCCAAGAGTGCCTTTACATGAGTGGGTATTCAGTCTGGGTATATCATTCAATCAGGATCAGACCCTCTATGAAGAGAGTTGCTTTGAGGTTCACTGTCGTCTTTATTCTGGACGAAGGACATATATCCGTCATAATGGATTCGATACCCAGCAGAATACCGGAGTTTGAGTCCGAGAAAGCAATTAAAGCATGGATTGGTGATATCCTGTGATGATAACCTATAAAATAGAACTAAAACAGTGGAGTAGTAGAAAGAAGTAGATGGTTTTATCTTCACTCACAGAATCTCACCTTCAATTTTGGCCGTTACCGGCTTTCCTACGCGGAACCGGGAAAAGAAACACAAACAGTTAAAGCCATCCAGGATCCCCCTGTTTCTTCTCTCTCTTCTCTCTCTGCCTCTCCCTCATATTCTTTTCCTTGTCAAAATAGATCTGATCCAAAGATTTATTACCATTACCTGCCTCGCTATCAAGTATTACACTCACAATGGCTACCGTCCTCCTCCTCCTGGACCTCCAGAACGGCATCACCGACCGCTTCCCCAAAGAATACATGGAACCGTACCTCGCTCGCGTGGCCCTGGTCGTGCAGAAAGCCCGCGAAGCCGGTATCCAGGTTGTACATGTCGTTTCCAGCTTCCGACCGGGATACCCTGAGCTCTGCGCGCGCAACACTTCAACCGCCCGTGTGTTAGCCCTGGGCAACAACGCCTTCGTGCAGGGCGACTCCTCGACTGGGATTCACACGGCCGTGGCCCCCGTCCAGAGCGAGGTGGTGGTGGCCAAGCACCGCGTGTCGGCGTTTGCCAGCACAGATCTCGACATGGTGCTTCGTTGCGCGGGCGTCGAGAACGTGGTCATCGCAGGGCTGATCACCAGCGGGGCCGTGCTGTCTACCGTGCGCCAGGCGGCAGATCTGGACTACGGCATCACCGTTTTGAAGGATCTGTGCATGGATCGTGATCCTGAGGTGCACCAGGTGCTCACTGAGAAGGTGTTTGCTCGTCACACTGTTGTCTCGGGCGAGGAATGGGTTGCTGGACTGAAGAGCGAGTGAGCGAGTGAGCGAGTCGGTATACAGTACTTGAAGGAGACTTTCTTCCCTTGAATTCCTCTGCTAATCAATTATTTTCATTATCTAGTTAATCAAGAAGCCTGAGGAGCAAAATGCCATTTCCTATATGCTATCTATCCTCGGTTATTATTCGATTCGGCTATTACCAGTCATTGTTCATAACGTTCATAACGACATACGGACCTGGAGTACTTCATATTTTCCTGTCCAATAAACTAGCCAGTGAATATACCTAGTTTCCACTGTTTACTGTATATTTCTATGCATAACTTCTCCAGTATTTTCATTATTTAACCGAGATTTCCCCGCCGACTTGGCTCGGTCTTTCGTGAGAATGTCCCCCGAGGCAGCTGTATAATGCGGGGGACTCGAAAAGAAAAGAGGGAATGGAAAAAGGAACCTTTGTTTTGTTTTCCTTGTCTAACTAACTGATCTACCATGTCTTCTTCATTGACTGTCTCAGCACCCACTGTTGAACACCATCCGACCGGCTTCGGCATCGACACTGCCTGCCCCCGTCTGTCGTGGCGGTTTCTCACCCCTCCCGATTCCATCCCCGAAGCCTGGGAACAGACAGCCTACGACGTCGAGATCGTCCGGAAGGAAGAGTCAGCAGAAGCAGAATCATACCATATCGCTAGCAACGAGTCCTCGCTGGTCCCCTGGCCGAGCACCCCGCTGCAATCCCGCGAGCAGGCCCGTGTGCGTGTGCGAGCGTACGATAATAGCAACCCCGCCCGCCCGACGGACTGGTCGCCCTGGGTAATCGTGGAATGTGCCCTTCTAGACAAGAAAGAGTGGAAGGCCGTGCCGATCACAAGTCAAGTGAAACATCTCGGTGCAAATGGTTCGCTGCGACCCGTTCGGTTTCGTCGGACGTTCTCTCTCCCGACCGATACAACAGCGACAGGGAGAGCCCGGCTGTACATCACCAGTCTGGGCGTGTACCGCGCGTTCGTCAATGGGAAGCGCGTCGGCGACCACTGCATGGCGCCCGGGTGGACGAGCTACCGCCACCGTCTGAATTACCAGGTGTTTGACGTCGCCTCGCTGCTGGACCCTACAGGGCCGAATGTGCTTGCCGTCGAGGTCGCGGAGGGCTGGTACGCTACACGGCTGGCGTTCGCTGGCGGGAAGCGGTGCATCTACGGTGACGAGGTCGGGGTCATCGCTCAGCTAGAGGTTGGGTCTTCGTTCACTCTCGTCTCGGATGCCTCGTGGTCATGTCAGGCTAGCGCGATCACGAGCAGTGAAATCTACGATGGAGAGGTGTACGACGCCCGAGAAGAGACTGTCGGCTGGAACGAATCGGTTATCCAGTCCGATGGAGAAGACAGTCACAGTCAAGGCTGGGCCCCGGTGCGCGAGCTGGCGTTTCCTCAGGCCCGGCTCATCGCCCCGAATGCACCCCCTGTAAGAGTGACCGAAGAGGTCAGCCCCGTGGCGATCATCAACACTCCGTCCGGGAAGACGGTGCTGGATTTCGGCCAGAATCTGGTGGGAAGGCTACTGGTACGCTCTCTGCACAAGCCTCACGGCCACCGTGTGTCATTTGGACATGCCGAAGTCCTCGAGAACGGTGAGCTGGGCACCCGCCCGCTGCGGGATGCCAAATGCAGGGACGAGATTATATTCGCCGACACGCCACTGGAGAACTGGTCGCCTCAGTATACCTTCCATGGTTTCCGGTACGTGCAGGTGGACGGGTGGACGCCTACCGACGCGGAAAACCCGCTTAGTCTCAGCAGTGTGTGCGCCCAGGTTCTGCATTCGGACCTGCGGCGCACGGGCTGGTTCTCCTGCTCGCACCCAATGGTCAACAAGCTGCACGAGAACGCGTGGTGGAGTATGCGCGGCAACTTCCTCTCCGTGCCGACGGACTGCCCGCAGCGCGACGAGCGGCTGGGCTGGACGGGCGACATCCAGGTGTTTGCTCCCTCGGCGAGCTTCCTGTACCATACGGCCGGCATGCTGGGCGACTGGCTACAGGATCTCTCCGTAGAGCAGCTGCTAGACAGCAAGAGCAAGGCCATTCCGCCCTTCGTCGTGCCAAACGTGCTGGACGCGCTGCAGGATGTGGTGCAGGACCTCTGGCCCGAATTCCCGCAGGCCGTCTGGGACGACGTCACCGTACTGACCCCTTGGACACTTTACCGCTCCTACGGTGACGTCGACCTCCTGCGCCGCCAGTACCCCAGCATGCAGGCCTGGGTGGACCGGGGTGTCGCCCGAGGAGACGACGGTCTATGGGACCCCGAGTTGTGGCAGCTGGGCGACTGGCTAGATCCCACCGCACCCCCCGACGAGCCCGGCAATGCCCGCACGAACGGCACGCTGGTGGCAGACGCATACCTCGTCCACGTCACCTCCGTCCTTGCACAGATCAGCACCCTCCTCGGCGAGACAGACAATGCCACCCGCTACGAAGCTGACGCCCGCCGGCTCAAGACCACCTTCCAGCACAAATACATCGCCCCCTCGGGCCTACTGGCCGGCGACACGCAGACCGCGCTCAGCCTGGCTATCATGTATGAGCTGCACGCAAACCCGGAACAGACAGCCGCCGCCGCCAAGCGGCTGGCCCTCCTCGTCCGGCTGAGCAAGTTCCGCGTGTCGACAGGGTTCGCAGGCACGCCTATCATCACGCACGCCCTGAGCCGCACAGGGAACCACCAGCTCGCGTACCGCATGCTGCTGGAGAAGAACAACCCGTCGTGGATGTACCCGATCCGCATGGGGGCCACGACCATCTGGGAACGATGGGACAGCATGCTGCCCGACGGGTCCGTGAACCCGGGCGAAATGACAAGCTTCAACCATTACGCTTTGGGGTCCGTGATCGCCTGGCTGCACGAGTACGTCGCCGGCATCTCCCAGCTGGACCCAGGTTGGAAAACCTTCCGCGTCGCCCCCATCCCTGGTGGAACCATCACCTCCGCCCAGGCAGCGTATGAGACACCCTACGGCCGGGCCGAGACTCGCTGGCAGATCGTCGATGGAGACCAGTTCGAGCTGCACGTCTCTGTGCCCCCCAACAGTACTGCGCTGGTCATCCTTCCGCATGAGTGGGAGGGGACCGTCATGCCCGACACGGGACGATGGGTCGGGTCAGGATCCCATTCTTTCCACAGTCGGTGGAGCAATACGCTGCACTGGCCTCCTAAGACATTATGGACTCCATTGGGGGGTGAAGAGGCGTTATCAATTGTTTAAGACAATTAACTGGTTCTGTATATAGATATTTAACCAATATAGAACCAAAATAAATCATGTTGCCAGCGAAACAATAATCTTGGAAGCAACCTGGTTGATATGCGCGTACGGCTTCACCACCACTCCCCCCTCCTCCCTCTCGAGATCCTTGAAATTAAACTCGGCAACGACGGTGCTCTTGAACGGCGCCGGCGGGTTCGCCCAAACATGGTGCACTGCGTTGTGGAGCGTGGGGATCTCAATGACATTGTATCCCTCGCCGGCGGCGTGGCGCATGAGAAGATGCGCTGTGGTTTTCATGAGCTTGAAGCCTTCGTAGTCTGCGCGTGTGGAGGTGCCGTTGCGCATGAGCTTGCGAGTAGTGGTAGCATCAGTCTCAGGCTTAGTGTCGGTGGTAGTATCGTTTTCTGTTTTCTTTCGTATGTCCAGCACGTCGAGTTGGTGCATCACCTCCCCGTACGCGGGCAACGCGGCCAAAAGGGAGGTCAGTTTGCTTTCGTCGAGTGGGTGAGCTGCATCGTACGCGACCGCGATGGAAACGAGCGGGAAATCCATCTGGTGCAGGAGCTGCTCGCCTGTGGCCGTTTCATCGGTCATATCCCAGTGCAGGGCGCCGCCGGTCTTCTCAGATTCAGGATATCGAAACACGTATTCTTTGTCGAACACGCCGAAGGACATGCCGGACTCGATCTGGTGCTGGATGAGGTAGTCTGCCCCCGCAAACCCATCGTAGAGCCGCCGGGCCTTGTTTTCAGGGTACAGAATCGGCCAGACGGGCGAGTGGAAGGTGTTGGTGTGCATGATGATCGCCTTCGCCCAGTCGAGGTGTGCGGGCTCAAGGCGCCGGATTTCGAACCGCGGGTTCAGGCTCGTGGGTGTCTCTTTCGCCATGGTGGTGATGGGTGGATTAGATTATGGGTTGGGTTGTTTGGGAAGTGGGGGGAAGTTATCTATTTATCTTTGTCTTAGGTCAAACAGACTAGAAGAATAAAATGGACATTAGTAGTGCTCACTGCTGGCTGATGCAACATCAGGTGGATAGCTGGTAAGCTTACTGACAGGGGGTATCATGGGGTAACCCAGGTAGTCATTGTATTTCTACAGACGAGATCAGTCGAAGAATATAAGATGTAACTGATTATTTTATTGATGAGAAAGCTTTTTTTGACTTACTATAAGTATTCACAGGTTTAATGAAAAGAATCCATTTTTAAGCCAACTTCATATCCATGTTTCTGTAGATTTATTGATTTTGTTGATTAGTTATAGATCAGACCGTTGTTAAGGCCCCCTGCTTATAGTAAGATGGTTAACTCCAGGCCAATTGCAGGGCCTGTTGCAGGCAAGGGAAATGAAACATGATAAATCAAAGAAAAGAAATCCCGAGTTCTCTGGGTAGATGATCTAAAATTCAAAGTTAGCAAAGACAAACACAATAAACGATGTTACTATGAGGGGATTCAGGAGACCAGCAACTGGGTCAAAGCACGAGCGAGCCTTCGTAGTGGCCCCTTGAGACATAATAGGGTCCACAGCCGTTATTAATCACAGATAAGACACAGATCCTTTCAAAGGTAAGTCCACGTGGGATCTTTGCTGTCACAATGGTGGACGGGTTGCAGTGAAGGTCATCGGGGCGGTGCCGTGCTCGGTAAGAATCCGGATCAACAGGTTGATTGTGTCTTCCTGGAACCAGCCGTCTTGAGAAGAGTGTCCCTCTTTCACAGTGCTCGCCTCGAGTACGATCTCCTGGCAGTTTTTCAGCTTCAAGATGTCATCTCGAAGCTGGGCCAGATCGGACATGGACAGCGAGTCCATGGTTTGCGTAATGTAGGGATCTCGCTGGATGAAGAACAGACCGATCTTGTCGGGGTAATTAGTGAAGATCAGCTTTCGAGGAAAGCTGCTCAGAAAGCCATCCTGAGCGATCTCGTGGAGCTCTGCGAGGGACGCCCTAGAGAAATTGACGGTCAGACACTTGTAAGCCTTTTCAGCAAAGGTGGGGAGGAAGGCGATCTGAGAGAAAGTCTTGTTGGTCAGTCGGAGGGATCGCAAATCCTCCAGGTCGAGGTTCTTACCGATCAGCTCAATGAGCGGGACGAGGCTGTCGAGGCTGGTGTTAGAGAACATCTTGAGTGAACAAATGAGGTAGTGATAAAGTACTCGCAGCGCTAGGTAGAAGAGGTGTGTATCGAGGAAGAGAGGATAGTCGTTGTGTAGATAGTATAGATGAGGATGGGAGGAGTACAAGAGCAGTACTTATAGTAGTCCTAGACAGAATTATGGGTTAATTTTCTCTATCATGAATAGAACAGATTAGTTATCTACCTGCTTTGTTCTTCTTTGACAATATCTTTGTCCTCACTGCCCTCTTGTTGGGATTTGTGTATCTTAGTAGCTCCCTTTGTTAGACTTATCTTTGTTTAATAATAAAGAAACAAACCTATATTGTCCTCAGTCAAGATAAGAGTATAAATGCCTATTGTAATTCATTGTCCTACAAGTTCAAAGAGACAAAAGAGATGGTTGCTTTTTGTGGCCTTGACGTAGAGCTGCAGGCACGGGACCTGCCAGACGCGACGTCCACTTCCATCTTAGCTCTGACACGACGCGCAACAACGACAAACACGACAGACAATCGAACCAATTCAACAAAGCCTTGTTTCCTCGAGATGGACAATGGGATTAGCAAAGACTTGCTCCTCGAAATTGACAGCTTACAGCAGCTTACCCAAGCAATCTACGACGCCCCGGAAAGCCGTCTGAAAACCATTCTGAGAGATCTTTGTATCCAGTTGCCTGCTGCTAGAGAAGCAGTAGCACGGCATCTGCTGGTGACCGAAGACCGAATCAAAGAGAAGGCCGACTCGTCTGATGATGATGGGAGTGAAGACGAGGACTCTGAAGAGTCCGATGATTCCGATGAGTCTAGAGAACCCGAGGTTAAACCACAGACTCCCGTGAAAATGGGCTCCAAGCGACTCAGACCACGATATGGGATTTGTGAGAATTGCGACGAGGAATTTGATTTGACCACTAATAGTAAGAGGAGCTGTCGCTATCACCCTGGTAAGTCTGGTTCTATACCTTATAATCTGGCTGGTCGCAGTGTATAGTGCTAAAGAACAACATACAGAGTATTCAGAGCCCGATTATGACTACTTTGTCGACCATGATGAGGCCATCCATGGCATAATCGATAGTCCCGATATGCGGGAGGAATATCCCGAGGGATATATATATCCATGTTGCAATCGAAGGGGGGACGAGGAGCCCTGTACGCGGGATTGGCACATTGATGCTTCCTCGAAGAGGTGCAGATTGGATAATTGAACATATCTTCCGTGTTTCCTATTTTTGTGTTCGTTTTGTGTTTGTTTTATATAAGATCATATAGCTAGAGTGATAATCAAGACCATGGAGCGTGTACCGATATATCTTTCTTGGATCAAAAACTGGGAGAGACTATAGTTGTTTATATCTGGCGAAGTCTGTACATATGTAGAGAACCCCTACAGCTGTTTGACAGCAAGACCTCATCTATCAAGAGTAATATACCATATTTATAGCGATGTAATGCAACTTTAGAGCTCTCTCATCCTTATAGATACCTCAATCCACGTTATCCATCTTCAAGGGGGCAGCGTACCCCCCCAAGGACCCTAGGCAGTGTACCTGGCCTAAGCCTGTTCCCAACCCTCCCAACGCCCGTTTCAGGCCTGAACAAAGTGAGAGCAACCCCCCCCCCCCCTCCCCCAATCCCCTCCTCCAGCCAATCCAACTCTTCCATAGCCCCAGCAAACATATAACTCACTGTTCCCCCCCCCTTTCAACCTAGCTAAAGCGTTGTGGTCGACTGGGCCAACTCTCTAACTGCGAACTGGTGTCAGCCAGCTCTCTCTCCTCTTGAGAGCCTTTCGCGTTCAGGGTCGTCAGTTCGAGCCGTCCACAAGTCTCTCCAGGAAATGGAATTTTCCCTCCACCGACGGGTTCAGGGCGTCTTCCAGGAGAGCACTAATAGCGCTACGCTTCTCCATTCCTGGATCGCAGACGATAGTTCTTACATCGACAAGCGAAACAAGGGGACGGGCAACTATGGTCAGACGAGGGCCCTATCGTTCTAACCTGGTCCCGTCAGAGCGAGGCATTGGAGCGATCACAATTGGATTAGCTAGGTTGGCCTTTTTTTTTGTATATATATAGAAGAGAATATATATACAATATATTCGTAGTAAAGAAATATATGTTAATTTTGTTAGGAGAAGAACAAAATCTATATGAAATATATGCAGAGTTTATTTAGTTTTGTGCTCTGTTGAGGTGAGTGAGGTTGTTGATATTTCCGTTTTGGGTAATTCCCAACTGACCCTCGCGTTGCAAATCTGCAGTGCAGCCCTTACTAATTAAAACACCACAGAGTGCTCTGATAAGTCTTACTTTTTCGAAAGAAACTTGAAAGAAAATCTTCTATAATTAATTGCAATAAGAGACAGCGACTACATATGCATGTCTGGAGTGAGGCCAAAAGTAGATAAGACTTTCTCATTCGTTACTAGTTTTATGCTAGCCAGATGCTTAATAAACCGAGGAAAAGAGAATACTCTTGGGGAACTGTAGAACAAGCTGGATGTCCATATCGTATCCATGCTGCTCTTCCAGATACCGACAGATCGCCTGCCCCTCCAGGACCGCCCGGGGCGTAAGCCACCAGACTCCAATATTACAGACCTTGGCGTACCAACACGCCAAAAGGAGCAGGGCGCGCGGGTCTTTGCGTAGCAGCAGTTGCTGAAGCTCGTGGCTTATGTTCATCCGGAACGCGGCAAAGCTTAGGATTGTCGTGATCACCGGACAGTTGCGGTCGAGCACCTCAGCCAGCTCGATCGCGGCGGTATGGTAGGGATTTCGCCTGCTATCCGAATCCCCGTCAAGGTGGAAGACCCGAGAGAACCATTTCGGGATTGATTCAAAGTCGACCTTTGCCGGCGACTGCGGGAGCAGCTCATCCTCGTGCTGGAAGGACAGGATCTGGAACACCGGGTCGGCATCCCACTCGTTCCCAGCGAGTTTGTGGACCTCGTGTTTCCCAGTATTCATCAACAGCCAGTCGAGGTCGGACGTGGACGCGGCACGCAGAGGCCACGCTTGCTCGGGGGTATCGGCGTTCGGATAGGTGTAGACTATGATGGAGAAAATGGTGGCTACCGTCCAGAGGGGGATGTATTCCTCGCGGCGGAGAGGCAGCAACAGCCGACTGTTGAATGCCGACAGGGCGCGGTACCAATGATACGCCTCCGAAGTGGAGAGTCTTGTGCTAGACACTCCAGTCAGGTAGCGCTCATGCATAAGCGTCAGGGTCGAGATTGCGTCCATCAGAATTGGATTCTAAAAATATTTATAACCCAGTCAGCTCTCCTCCCCTACGTACTTGCCTACCTACCTAGCCGGACTAGATGGATATCAAAAACATACCGTCCGAGCAAGTGCAACGATCTCCTTCTGGAAGACCTGCAAACGCCTCCCTGCGCTGATGGTAAGCGCTGTACGCATCTGGAACTTGTCCAGGATCTGTTCCTTCTGATTCGGCCAGTAAGACACACTCGGGGGAAGCTTGAAAACGATCTCATTCTCGGTGGAGACTTGTAAGTCTGATTTCCCATCGTCATAGTTGCACGTCACCCCATATGCGATACATTGTCGACAGCCTGGTTTGGTCTCATCGCACTGCTCAGGGGTCAGATACAAGACTGACACTATTATTGCCACCACCAGCAAGTGTACCACCACACACCTTCACGCTGCGGAGCTTGCAGTTACGACACCCATTCCGCGACTTCTTATGGCGTCTCAGCGTGCGGCGGGTGGTAGATGCCATCGATGTCCCGTCGGCTTTCCCATTCTCTGCTCTGAAAGCGAGACAAAGCAGTCGTGTTGGTGAGATGGAGGAGGCAAGAGGGACTTAAAGCGAGCGTTGAGTGTTAATTGCGGCGCTAACCCGCTCTCGGATTTGGAGACGGAGCAATTCTTCTGCCCGACTCCATCCCTCCAGCTACAGGGTTATCGATTGGCTACAGCAAACGTCAGGCCGATATGATCTCAAAATAACTGGGGGTGTGAGATCATGGATCTGAAGGCTAAAAGAGAGTGCAATGATGATGGGAAAGGGTAGAGGAGGATGTGTGTGAGTTGCTTAAATTCAGGAGTCCTCGCTGATGAAAGTAGGTACTAAGGAATGATCTCCAAGCAGGTTCAATACCACTATAACTACAGTACTGATTGTTTTCTATTTCTAATATCCATTAATTGTTTTCTATAATGCCTACAAACAATGCAGCTTGGTTGAATAAGCCGAAGGGCACCCCTCTTGTGGTCAAGTCGGCTCCCTATACGTCTCCCGGCGAGGACGAGATCGTGGTCAAGAATGGAGCGGTCGCGATCAATCCCATCGACTGGGTGTTACAAGCGTCTGGGACGACCCTCATGTACAGCTGGCTACCGGACCCGTGCATCATGGGCTCAGACGTCGCCGGCGAGGTGGTCGAGGTCGGGTCTAGCGTGACACGATTCAAGGTCGGCGATCGGGTGCTGGGATACGCTCTGGGACGTGAGGAGAAACGTAACCGGGTGGCCGAATGTGGGTTCCAGACATACACCGTGCTGCTCGAGGACATGGTCACTCCGATCCCCAGCGATATGTCATACGAGACCGCGTCAGTGATTCCCCTGGGATTTTCCACTGCCGCCTGCGGGTTGTTCCAGAAAGACCAGCTTGGATTGGCCCTACCGACGCTAGACCCGACACCCAAGGGCCAGACAGTGCTCGTCTGGGGCGGCTCAACCAGTGTTGGGTGCAATGGTATCCAACTCGCCGTCGCCGCCGGCTATGAGGTGTTCACGACCGCCTCGCCCAAGAACTTCGATCTCGTCCGCAAGCTCGGCGCCTCGCAGGTGTTTGATTACCGCAGCCGCACCGTTGTCGCAGACATCATCCAGGCCTTCAAGGGCAAGATCGCCGCGGGAGCGCTCTCCGTCGGCCACGGAGCCGCCGACGCCTGCATGGCAGTCCTTGCCCACTGCGAGGGGAACCGCTTCGTCGCCATGGCTACCTACCCGGTGCCATCGCCACCACCCAAGGTGCTTCCGTTGCCCCGTACGATTTTCACCTATATGTCGTGGATCCTGATCAACACGATCAAGTCGAAATTCACCGGTGTGCGCTACAAGTTCATCTTCGGCTCGACTCTCGCGTTCAATGAAGTTGGAAAGGCCATGTTTCAGGATTTCCTCCCTGACGCGCTCGCCAAAGGCAAATACATCGCTGCGCCGGATCCAATGGTGATAGGCAAAGGCCTGGACCAGATCCAGGCAGCGTTAGATCTGCATAGAAAGGGTGTTTCTGCTCGAAAGATTGTCGTATCTCTTTGATTGATTGATTATTTATGGTAATTATGGAAATGACCGACAGCTGTGATTATCATCAGCCAGGAAAGGCCATATATAGACGTCTAATCCAATTTTAATCTTATATTTCAAATGCAAGTTTGATGTGCAGTAGGTTGTGAAGATGTATTAGATATTGGTATATATGCAGTATGTACTTGATGCAGCATGTACAGCCACTGGGCATCAACCCAGGTCCTAGTCCCAGGTCAGGTATCAGTGTGGAAGCATTCCAGCCATTCAGCCAAAGCGTCGGTAAAGTAACCTCTCGAGACATCCCCCCCCTCAAAGGACGACCGGAAGTCAAAGCAATGCTCTGCATTGTCCATGATATACCCGAAAAGTGTGCTTTCCGCTGTCTGCTCGCCGCATGTTGGGATCTCGGTCGTAAAAGCCACGTCTTGCGGCGCAAACGCCTCCGTGGACAGCGTAGAGAGCGTCCGCCACGGATCAAACTGGCCGCCACTCCAGTAGACGTTAGATGGGCGGATGGTCCATCCGCCTGTCTGGGAATTGAGCTCGTTGGCTCGCGGGTGAGGGGGTAAAAACCCGCTCTTCACCCCGTCCGGAAACTGACGGTAACAGATCTCTTCCTCGTACTCGAGCGATTGGTAAGAGGAGAGGAGCGCATGCTCGCCTCCATTCGTCGCCTGGAAGTACCCCCATTCCGAGCAGTACTGCCACGTCCACGAGATGGTATCTATGTCAGTGTATCGGGTGCCCAGGTCGCAGGAAGAAGGCTCCGATGGATCTAGCCCGCGGCAGTTGGTGTCAAAGTTGGCGTTAACCAGCTGAGTGAATATGGGCCACGAAGCCCAGCGTTCGGCAACGTGTTTGGCACCGTAGATCGGGGCGAAGCCGTCGGGGCCTGCAATCTTCGTTGCCGTGCTGTTGGCATTGGGGTCGGTCTCGAGATAGTTGCAGAGATCGCCGAGGCTGCCCTGCCCGCCGTCCATGCCGTAGCTCTGGAAGAAGCCAAATACGCCAGCGAGGGCAGAGGTGAAGTCGCCGTTGCTGTTCTGCTCCGCGCCGGGACCAAAAAATAGCTGTTTCAGAGCGGCAGCGGTCTCATTCTGGGAGAGCTGCTGGTCAATGTACGAGAGCGCCGCGTGAATGTCTTGGCTGCAGTTGCCGTACTGGTATGCATTCATGCCCCGGTACACCTGCTCCCAGTATGCGCCCATATTGATACGAGCCTCTACCGGGGCTGACGATGCCCACGCCGCGTAGATCGTGTCCGGATATTCGTCGCGGGTGAAGGCAGCGCGTACGCCGGAGTACGAGCCACCGACCATCACCCAAGGGGTCGCTGTGGGCGTCAAATCCTCATCCGGCAGGTCACCACGGCTGAAGCTTTTGGCGAAATGGGGCAAATCGGCCAAAGCTTGTTTCACTGTCAAGTACTGGAAGTGCTCTGCAGGGGTATCCAAGTTGACTGGGAAGGGGAGAGAGTCTCCGTAGTATCTAGTGGAAATTAGAAAAGCCGCATATAATTTTCTTTTAAGAATAGGATGCACATACCGGTGCTCCCAGACAATCCCGACGGCTCCAAAATCAGACAACATCTGTTTGAAGAACGAGGAGGAATTGGTGAGAAGAACAGGGGCTAAATTTTCAGCATTCGATTCGCCAACATCGTATACTATCACGGGTCCACCCGACACGTAGTCGTCGGTGCTCGCCCAGAAGCGATTACGATATGTCCCAACTGAATGGTTGGTGTGATCGATAGGGATCTGTCCCACACAGTCAGAAATGGAACCAGGAGATGCCGGTGGCTGGAGGGAAAGCCCAGTGACATACCTCAGCATATTCAATCTCCACCACAGCATCGGCAAAATTGGCCACGAGACTGCGAAACTTCACAGGGTCTTCAAGGAGAATATTCGGGTCAAGCCCGAGATCTGCAGAGAGTTGTAGGTCTCGATTGAAAGGGGACCTCAGAGCGCTAATTCCAGCCACGCACTTCGACAGAGCGGCAAGTCCCAGGAGAATAGAAGTATAGCGAGGCATCCTTGCTGAGATGGAACCCTCTTCGCAGAGAAAAGAGTTGTTGTAAAGAGGTACTTGTGCAGAGTGCAGGTAGCACTGAACTTGACTTAGAACCTGTTGTGAATCCACCGACGGCTTAGCGTCTATACAGATATCAAGTGGTAGCCTGATTCAGTGGTGGCGTCAGGCAGGGTTTATATTAGAAGCTCACATGGTGAATGAGTCAGTAGAGAGAACGCTTGCATCAGAACTGTCAATGCTAGATTATAGTTAATTCGTATAAACCATGCTGGAAGCCATGCCTCCGAGACAATGTCGCACCGGCTGCGGAAAGAACCAAGACTGACAACATTCAAGACTAGACGCAGAACAGCCATAGAAGGTCTGTAGAAGGAAGACAATCCACCAGATAAGAGCTGGTGGTGGCTGTCTATGGTAAAATGGAGTGTCGATCACCAGTCGGTGACAGACGCCCCAGCCTCGTAGGGGAATCTAGAGATGACGAAATGAAGTTTTCTTCAGATGGACTATATCAAGCATTCAAACATGTAGAATTGGCCATAGGCCTGTCTGTGATTCAAATTTTCGCACATTTTCCCCCGATGCCATGATCCTCATTCTCCTGGTTGAGGCGTCTCGTCCAAAGTGCGATATGAAACATGGCCTAACAGGAATATTAGAAGAAATCGGCTCTCCCGTGCTCACTCTCAGGGTCATATGGAGTTCCTAAGTTTTGCATCTTGGCCCCTTGCAGAATTTTGTCAGGTGTCAGGCGCCAATGGAAAAGCAAGGTCGTACAAACGAGGGGGAAGCTGCATTCCTGACTGATAATCAAGCTAATCTTCCTGGTCCGGCGAATAAGGACGGCTGATCAGGGGCTCTGGAATGTTGATCGTGGGACTCGAGCCGAATTCGGGTTTCTGAGCTGCGGACCAGGAACAATATCATCGATGTTTGTTTTGATACTGTGATCTATTGCAGTCCTCGCCTGACACTATACCATGACCACAACTTATTCAGGAGTATAGCCATTATCTTCTCTTGTTGGGGGTCTTTCAATTGATGATGCGCGCTTTGTAGTCTGGTACTTCCGCGCCACGCCCATCACCGAGTCAATATACTTGCACGCTATCGACAGCTGCTCTTTTGACTATTGTAGTAGCTGACATGCGTCCAGCATCTCCGCTTTGCGCTGCTCTTCCAGTCCTGGTATTGGTTCGATGAATAGATCCATCACTAGTAGTAACGTGGCCGAGAAAATGCCCTTCAAGAAGGCGCTGAATCGTCGGTGGTTAGACATAACGGTAGCTTTTCCTATTCCGACTGATGTTTAATATGGTTCACAGCACGGATGGAGGGTAAGATCCATGGAAGATGAACGACTAATGCAGTTTGCATTTTCAGCTATAGATTGGCAGAGCTAAGATAGAGTGGTGGAGGAGGAGGTATGGGATTTCCAGGTTGATGTCTCGGCTCAGCCGGCAGTTCTCTCGTCCAAACGAAAGTGCGTGGTGACGCTGTCTAGAGGAACCTAGAACTTCTGACCAAAAGAAATGGTGTCTTCGTAGATTGCATCCAATGGATCTGAACTGTGTAGGGGCTGAAGATCGACGACCTCTCGGCGAATTCCCGCCACATAGACGCAGTGGATGGAAATACGCCATTGGGGTGGGCTCGGATATGAGCCTCGTGAATTCTGGATCCGCAGATTCCAGGGCAGTGTCGTGGATATTTCTTGCAAGGCCCACTGCCATTTTCTAGAATTGATCAGGTAAATCCTTCCTGAGGGTCTTTACCGTATTCGGCAAACCTGTAGTAGAGGATACATTAGTCTATCTAGTAATCATCTCAAATTCTGCGGCAAATCGATCAAATAAACTGAGCAACCCATCACTGCAAACTCCCACCGTATCTGTCTTTTGATTTCAAGCTCAATATCTTAGAAATTGTTGATGATATGCTGCGGACCTGCTAGTAAACAAAGGCCTCGGATCGCTCGATGGCATCTTTGAGGTCCGCCTCAGAAAAGGGCAGATGCTCTTCGTCTTTTCGATCAGTAGTTCCAGTGTTTGCTCATGTGTTTCCATCAGGGACCAAAAATTATATCCTTGAAACTTTGCATTTCCACTGGCGGTGTTCTTTTTGTTCAATAATAGCCTCTTGTTGATCTATGCTCGCATTGGCGTGAATATCAGGGGAGAGATAGTACCAGGATATAGCTCTCTTTCCGAAAGCCTTTGAGACCGATCTCTCGGTCTTAATTGGGGGGAAAGAATCTTGTCCAACTAAGGGACACTCAGCTGACTATGACTGCGTCGTTACGATCTTGACCAACATCGATGTGGCTATGCAGAGTAATTCTAATTACCGCATGCCTATCGATGAAAGAGTCCTGATCAGTCTCGCGGTACACTGGCAGGCAACGGTGGCAGACCTTACCATATTAGTGACACTGAGCAAGGAAAAGGACTTCGCAGCGGTGGTACATTGTGGCGGAGGGCGCCGGTTTGATGATCCTGGGAATCTATACATACAACCCAGCTCTTTACAATTCGGTGCTGCTTTCAGTCTGGATGATAGAAGGAATGGAAAATATCTATTTGGGTTGAATTAAACCCCAATTTTAATTGTAGACGAGGCTTTTTCCTACTCACTCTTAATAAATCACACCCTCTGTTCTCATGGTCGATGAAAGTATAGTAATGAATGTTCTTCTGTTATCGTTTGCGTAACAATACTAGTACTTTTTCTAGCCGCCGTAATAAACCGATTGCGAGTCATGTACCCTCTGGGCAAAACCGAAAGGAGGCGCTGTTAAAAGTCCAGGGATGAATGCTGTCCAGTCGATTGCGGGGCGAAGCAGCATCGGAGCCATTTCCATCTGGATTTGGCCTGCAGGGAGTAAGAAGGAAGCGACTGGCAGTAGGAAGAACACGATGAATGATTGGGCACAAATCATCCAGCTCGGGCAAATTTGGCGCCCGCAGCCTAGCCAGGTTGAACAGCTGGTTTCATGCACCTGCAGAGGTAGACACGAGAGGCGGCTGAGGCTGAGACAGACCTTTTTATAAAGAGGGGGCCGGCGGCCTCGAAGAGGTCAAATGCTTGAACAATCCTATTGTCATAGATATCGATACCACAAAGAAAATAATGCTGTCCAACAAATGTCAAGGCTGTCCGCCGATCGAAATCATCACCCAGGATCGAGGTATGCTAGAGATAGTAGTACCCAGAGAATGACAGCAGTTTTGACACCGCTACTCACGTCTGATGCTCGACAGACAACAAAGAAGCACGAAAGACCTCGATCGACTCGTTCGTCAGCAGAAATGAACCACATAAAGTGACGGTGATGTAAATAGCCTTCATGATAAATATTGAAATCCACATTACACCTTCTAATCCAAACGATATAGATTCGCCGAGGCGAACTTCATCCGCCACTGTGATCACTGTCGACAACTATTCACCGACAAATTCCAGATGCCCGAGCTATGGTGGACGGATTGGTGCAAGAGATCGAATGGATATTTTGGTTGCGAAGAAATGGTGGATGAAAAGGGAGAAACTGAGGCACACAGTGAGTAAGAGAGAGAGAGAGAGAGAAAGAAGGGAAGAGGAAAGGAGGTTCTGAGGCTAACCTAACCTCGCCCTGGCCAGGCACGTGGCTTCGCTTCCTGATCAAACACTGTTCGGACAATCCCACCAAGGGCTACTTCTGGTACAAGCTCAACATCTTCACCCGCTGGGAGTATTCGACCAAGTCGACGACAATTCTCGTGTTCGATCCCAAACCGGCGGTGCGAGCGCATCTCGCCGAGAAGCTGTTCGATAGCAGGAAGGGTCTCGACGCCGAAGACCCGTACTGGCCACACTGTATCCTGGCCGAGGAGGCGGTGCACCTGCAAGACGACGCCGTTTGGTCGATCCGAACGTTTGTACGAAACCTGGAGAAGAACCGGCCGTCGCGCCAGAATCTGGTGCCCAACTACGCGGACCGGCACGAGCTAGCCCGCCATGCAATCCATGTCCTGGAGACACTGGAGTTGGGCACCAAGACGATCAATGACATGATCATCCAGCATGACCGGCTGCAACGAGGCACGGATACTGCCCACCACCGCCAGATCTCGCGCCAGCTTCAGTTCCTTCACCACACCATGCGCAGTCTGTACTGCCGCTCAGACTCAAACAAGGAACGCCTGCTGAACGAGAACCAGCTCGCCTTCCACGTGATGGCCCAGTTCGACTCGGAGATGTCGGTGGAAATCGGCCATGCCGCCCAGTCGGACAGCGCGGCCATGAAGACCATCGCCGTCCTGACCCTCATTTTCCTGCCTGCAACCTTCGTCTCCGCCATTTTCAGCACTTCTTTCTTCAATTTCGATGCCGGCTCGGGCGACTGGGGCATGTCGGATAAGTTCTGGATGTTCTGGGCGGTTTCCATCCCTATCACGCTGGTCACGGTGGCGATGTGGCTCTTGTGGCATAAGTTTTTCCCGCAGAAACTGATCGGAGAGGAAGATTTGCGGGCCAGGCGAAGAGCCACCCAGCTGGATTCACTGCACCATGCAGCTCTCGTGGAATTGGCGAAAAAGGGAGGAGAGAAGGATGTTGGGAAAATGGTATAACTATTTTTTTTTGATATATACACCTGATGACGATTATGATGACCATGATGACTTTATTTATAGTGTTTATATATGATGATTAAATTGAAGAATTGAATTATGAATTAGTACAGACTAGTCAATACCTAAACATTTGTATGATGGAAACACGACCGTCTATTCGGGTATATGTATATGGAAATCTATTCTCGAGCATGCACCAACCTGCCATTCACCCAGACTGCGCCGACATTACGATCATCACCCGTCCAGACCCATTTGTGAATCTTCTCCGGCCACGACTCCCAACCAAACAGATCCACATTCCCAGAAGCGAGATCAGCAGACTCTTCAACGTCTGAGAGCGGGCTTCCCAGCCCGATCAACTGTGCGTCGAAAAACATGCCTTCCTCGAACCCGCCGATCTCACCGGCCATGTCTACGACGGCGGCACCGCCCCGTGTAGCCAGATACAGCGCTTCTTCTACACTCAGCTTCTCCCTACCAGTCTGCTTCTCAGCTGGAAGTGTGTGTCCGAGTAATCGGGACACCAGACACGCCTGTCTCACAGCCTCGAGAATGCTAGGACTATACCCGCCGCTCACATCTGTTCCGAGCCCGACGGTGATTCCGTCGTCGAGAAGGACACGGACGGGACAGATGCCAGATCCTAGCGCGGAGTTTGACGCCGGACAGTGCGAGACCTTTGCCTGGCGAGAATGGATGAGACGGCGTTCGTCGGGAGTGAGATGGACCGCGTGAGCGAGGATGGTCCGCCGTGTGAGCAGGTCGAACCGATCGTAGACATCGGCGTAATTGGTAGCTTCCGGGAAGAGTTTCTTCACGAGCTTCACCTCATCGACATTCTCTGAGATGTGAGTTTGGATGTGTAAGGGCGGAGAATAAGAGGCTGCCAGGTGTCCGAGCCCAGAGAGAGCAGCGGGAGAGCAGGTTGGTGCAAATCGCGGGGTGAGAATGGGTTTGACTAGTGTGCCCTTGGGGTCGAGGGTGTGGATGTGCGATACGATGGCTTCCGTCCGGGCGAGGGATTCCTCGGCCGAAGCGTCGCGGTAGTAATCTGGACAGAAGGCAGGGTTGTCCATGCACACGCGGCCGATGAAGGCGCGCTGGCCGCGTGCGTGACAGAGAGAGGCAAGCAGAGACGTCGCGGGGACATGGATGGTGGCGAAGTAGGATGCACAGGTTGTCCCGTGAGAGAGCGTCCGAGAGATGACCTGTTTGTAGGCCGTGTGAGCTCTTGGCGGAGCAACTTCCTTGCCCTCGTCCTCTTTTTCTTCTTCCTTTTGGCCAAATGAGCTTTCTAATGGGAAGGTGTACCGCTCTAACCAGTCGAGAAGGGTTGATGAGCCAAACAGCCCGGAGTTCGGGTATTGCGGTGCGTGGATATGAGTATCTAGCTGTTTAGCACATACCATAGTGGATATAGAATACATTCACTTACCGATGAAACCTGGAAAGAAGAATTCATTTTGATCCTCTCGCGCCCTGACGATCTTGACCTTTTCTTGCGGCCCAACTCCATTCTGCATATTCTCAACCTCTTCCACCCATCCTTCCTTTTGTAAGAAGGCTTCCAACTCCTTCTCACTGTGTACCGTCCAGTCAAACCCTTTTATCCGGCCGTCCACCGATGACACCCATAACGTGCCGTGGTTTATATCCAGCGCAAGCTTCTCTTCTGTGATGCTTCGAGGCAGATCAATAAACGTGCCGTAGAAGACAGTATATGCCGGCGCCATGTTGTACAGTACTAGTGCTCTAGAAATACGATATTCCCTTAGAAAATACCTGAGGACTCCCTCTCAGTGAAACAAAAAGCACTCGGTGTCAACTTATATATCCAACGTAAATGATATCAAATGGATCCTAATCATTTCCCTTACAAATTCCTGGGCGGGAGAGGAGCCGGCCGTCCTCCGCAGCCAATCACAGACGGGCGCGTCGCTGCGTGAGCGGCGGGGTTCGGCCGACTCCGATGAGCCTAAAGCGGTTTAGCGTGGCGTGCACGTGTTAGACAGCAATATAAAGGCGGTAGAAAGGGCGGTAAGTAGGACGGCAAAAGGTACGTACTCCATTCTACGGAGTAGGTACCATCGAACGGGTCACCATCGAACGGTTCAGCGGTATAGCACACATCTTTCAGTCTGATATCGTAGCCATCTTTCTATATTATATCTTTAATCTTAGGTTTATATATTCTATAGAGCTTCTAGTATTACATCCATCAAAAAAATATAATTTTACCCCTACCATGAGATTAAATATGGTTTTTCTATCTTGAAGCAATGGTGATCCGCTTGTTGGAGTGACCCGTTCGCTGGTTGAATACGGGTAGAAAGTGCCTGGTTTGTGGACTCCGAATCTCCCTTGACCAGCCCGCCAGGGGAACGTTAAAACACAGATTTTCATTCAATCTTTAAATTAAAGTGACTATTGAAGGTAAAGTATAAGGGGATAACATTATACACATGAAAAAAAAATTAGTTGTCTATATAATCTAAGAATTAGTATATACTACAAAACTAGCCCTAATAAAAGAAGTACTCCATTCTATTCTTATATTTCTAATTATATAGTTCATAATCTTCTACCTATATAAACTATTTAAGTGTAAAGTCTCTCAAGCATGTCCCATTTTGATGAAGGAATATAGGTCCTGGTGGTGTTGATTTGGAGGCTTCGATGAAGCAGGCAATTCTTAGACCGACGTAGGTAGATAGTTAGTGTATTCTTACTGTCCATCAAATGACTGTATCCAAGTAAACCGGACTTTTCAATTCCCTAAAGTATTCACAGTCTTTAGAAGGCAACTATACTTCGCTCCTGCCGTCGGCTACCTGGTGCCTAGAGAAGGAAGGCACAGCTAGTGACTACAAAGTTATAGGAACTCTCCCTCATCTTTCCCCTTCTACCACTCTCCTAAGCTCTAATCTATATCCTCCTCCCATCCTTGCTCCAGCATTGGATAAACTCTTAATATCTTGCTTTCCTTTCCTATCATCTACCACATATCGGTAAGCTTGTTTGCCTCACATTTCATCTTCCTTTATCTAAAGTGACCCCTAGGGAGGTTGCAATATAGACACAAGCTAACCAAGCACTGATAAAAAGAAAAAGAATTGGTGGCATCAAGTTTAGGATCCCTCATACCCCAAGCGAATGGGCGTCAATGGAAACAAAAATCCGTGAAAATCCATAAAATCGCCGCGGTCCCCCGGTCGATATGCATACATGCCCTGCCAACAATTTGGCCACCAATGTCAGAATCCATGATTTTGATGGATGGGCGCCAGGGTCCGAGGTTCAAGAGGGACACTACATAACTGCAAGGGTTCTCTGGCAATTGACGGATGTAACCGATGTATATGCACCGGTGCCCGGTGCATACCTCCGCGACTCTCTGAAACTTTGGCAAACTGCTAGAGATAAAGCCTTGTTGCACTGTCAGCAGTACCCAGGGTACTTTCGCGAATGTGCGGAAAAGGCAATTCTGGATAGGAGAGTCCAGTAGAAACGCGGAGGGTCTGAAAGATTCCGTATCAACGAGAACCAGGAGTCATGATAAGATCTCAGGTTCAGATACGCTGATCAAAGATTCGGACGCAACCACCCAGGACAATCATCTACAACGCCAAGCAGAGTCCCTTACATCTAGTGAACCAAGCCAAATCAATCCAGATAGAGATATGAACTCGTCCAATCGAAGGGCTGAAACGTGCGATGGCATCATCCCGGTATTTTATCATACTATGGATCTTGATCCTTCCGGTGAAGCCGTACGTCACGGTCAAGGCGGCTTTGTATTCCAGAGGTTTCACACCAAAGAAAGCCCTGAGAGGACCGACAGCTTCAGAAACAGCCTTATGCGGACCCATTCAAATGTCACCGCAGCAGAGGGCCAACCCGTATTGAGTATCCTTGTCCATGAAGATACAGTCAATGCAGTCTTGATCTTCTGGCTAGTGTCTCTCTGCATGGGCCTCGAGTCACCGCTACGATGGGAACTAAACAAGCCCAGATTCACTCTCCAACTTGGGAAGGCACATATTGTTGCTGTTGCTGATGGCCAGCTCGTTGGTCCACACGGCGATATTTGTGCCATAGTGGAAGTAAAGCGTCAAACTCTCCGATCAAGCCCAGCCAAAGCTCTTCGGCAAATGGGGATTGAAAAGATCGGTAAGCTAAATAATATGTGCATTTACTTATAGGCATGAGACTAACCTACAAATTTAGGTACATTATGCTGGCGAAGTTCGCGCATGAGCTCTGGATAGTGATGGCGCTGCAGCCTGTGGCAGAATACTTCAATTCCCTCGGCATCGATGACTCGAAAGCCAGCGACTCGGAAATTTCGATGGACGAGAAAACAGAATTTCTGAATCTCAAGTTGATGGGGCCTTTTTGACAGCTTCATGAAAAAGAATGTCCGGACTTTCGGGGCCATCAGTCTCTCACTGACTGTACAGCAAGCCGAAGACTTCCAGACTAAGGTGGACTCCGGCGAACAGCAAGCATAAGCGAAAGGGCCAATATGTAAATTTAGGAAGCCAATTCTCCCACCGAACTGTGGGGTTGTTCTAGTTCATCTCCTTCATCTCCAGTTAATCATGTCCATCGCAGTCTTCCCTGATAGATCGCAAAGGGAATGGTTGGTTAGTGTCTCCTTGCATCAATGGCCATACCCATTTTGTGCAGATTTCCATCATTTCATAGTATTTACGGATATCGATACAACTGAGTTGATACTTTTTTCCTTTTTCTTTCCCTTTGCCTTGTGGATGCCGGACCGCAAACTGGCCAAAGTCCAACCGCCGTGTGAATTGAACACGAAGAGTGCCGTCAAAGTAGGCCCACAGCACACGGAAATTACCTCGCTTATCGACTGTGCGGACTAATGTCTATAAAATGTTATCCCATCTTGCAATCAGCCTGGGTAATTGCCTAAAGAAGGGAAGGAGAGGGGATCGTCGAACCGGAAAGATGTGATAAAACTCGCGATACCGGCCCCCCGAGTATTTCCAACTGCCTTTCTTCATTCGCTTAAGCTGCGGAATTATTGCATCTTTCATCCGCAGGACCAAAACTAATAATACTGTGGTGGAAGGGCAGTCATCACTTCCAGATCGGTCGACCCTCACATTGCCGACCCAATGTATGTTGCGAAAGGGACGTTGATGGAAATTTTCCCACGAGACCGTGGCCCGGTATTGGTGCCGTCCAGTGTTTTCAATGAAGCGTCGTGTCCGTTCGCAGCTAGAAGTAGAGTATGCAGTAGGTTAGTAAGGGGTACGGCCTTTCACTTTTCTCTTTAGGGGGGAATTGAATGGTTTCAATCCACGAGTGGTGATGAAGGTTGGTATTATAAACAGATCCCCTATTGGTCAGTCCCATAGTGCCTTTTTCTCTCAACAGAAAATAATGAGACTTGCCGTTCATCCTTGGGTGTCAATTATAGACTGTAATCGCGATATGCCCATTCAAGGTATGTAGCCAGACGCCACTCTAGCCCTGCGCGTGTCTCTTCGTCTTCTGGCATCCAGTAAGTGTACCGACTGTAATCTCCCTGGCATTCGAGGAAGGAATCTTTGGCAGGATAGTTATATTGCAGATCGAAGATACTGAGAAGACCTGATCGTGGTAAAAAGTAGGGAATCACTGTGGGGGACGTCGTCCCGGACTCGATATCCAGGGGATTCAGCTGGATACGAAGCCGCTTAAGTGCTCTCTCCTTGACAAACTGGCCTTTCGATTTATGAAGTGATTAGTATATATGTTGGAGTTGTTCAAATCGTTTTTGAAATTGCTTGGAATTGGATACTGAGTTGGGTACTGAACTGGACACCATTGTGAGAAAGACAGTCAGGGAAGTTGAAGATGAATGTGAAGGGCGATAGGAGGTAGGAAGCAGAAGATGAAGTGTTAGCCAGCACTGAAAGGCTCCATGGAACCAATCTACCCGATATGCAATAGTCCTACAACAACCTATGAAGGATGCCTTAGGTATCTAAGTCATACTCGGTAATCCTTGAAAGCCAACCTTATGTTTGTTCAACGTTATAGTCAATTCTGTCGGTTTCGGAGCTGTTCCTTGGCCTCCTGTAGTCCCTCCGCCAGCCGGTCCTCCTTCATCTTGGCTAGTTGCAGCTCCAGCTCCTTCATGCGGCGATCTTCAGCGGCGTGCCGAAGGCTGCGGGTCAGGCTCGCTACCCGATCTTCCAACTCATCGCGGGGGCTTCGCTCTCTCACCGATGGTGCGACATGATCAGGCTGAGAGGGGCGAAGAGGCGAGAGGGAACGACGACGCTCTTGGCGGGAAGGGAAGAGTGGGAGTGGGAGTGGCACACGAGTTGGTCGCATGGGCAGTGAGGCTAGCACTGGGTGATTGCAGCCGTCATCATCATCCACATCCATCCGATCTGTAAGTCTAGATTCGATTTGAGTGTTTGCAGCCGCAATGGAAACCCTTTGACCTGGAATATGGCTCCTGTATCGATATCCCATGGAAGGCCCTGTCTCGGTGACTGTTCGACTGCCGGCCCAAGTCAGCACGTGGTTCTTGTCCATGACGTCGAACAGCAGTCGCGACAAGGTTTTATGATGCGTGCGTTTGGAAAGCTCCTTTGCAGAACCCCGGTTCCAGACGCCTAGATTGCCGATGATCACAAGAACCTTCATTGCTCGGCTCATGGCGACATTAAGGTGCTGCTCATCCCCGATGAGCCCGATGTTGCGCTCCTGGTCGCCCGGCTTGGTCATCAGGTAATAACCACCGGGGCCTCCTGGCCTTGAGATGCGTCGACCGTCAAATTGTCCCAGTAGGCAACTCCATGGCTACCCAGGATCTTCTTTACCGTCTGGCACTGCGCCCTGTATGGACTCAGGATCATTACATCCTCTGCTTTGATCTTGTCGCCAGAGGTGGTTCCCTGGTAGAGCTCGTGGAGTTGCGCCGCGACCTCTGCCTGGGATTGGTTGTGCCAGGAAGTGCTGTTCTTTTCCTGTGAAGCTCTGCCGGTGACGCTGATGAAGAGCCGACGTACCTTCGCAAGGCCTTTATCATGGAAGTGATGGCGAGAGGTGGTAAAGGCATCCCAAGCATTTCCTACTCGCTCAGGTTTGTCATTGTCGGGACCTGGTATTAGCTGGTCTTTATACACAGTTTTGTTGTACCAGTTAAGTATGGCAGAGTTGGCGCGGTGACTGATATTGAGGGTTGACATAGGGTAGCCAGCCTCATCCAGTCGGGTCATCAAGGAGCGCTTAAGGTACAGCGCTCCTTCGTTGGTGCTCCTCCTCTCTGAAGCAACTGTTGGGGGCAGCTCATTGGAATCGCCGATCAAAGTCACGGCTCGGATGGACTCCATTGTCATGGCGATCATATGGTCACCCTCAACACACTGCCCTGACTCGTCGCAGATGAGGTAGCCCGGCTTGAACCTTAGACGCAGAGTCTCCTCGGAGGCGGTGCTCAAAGTTGTAGCGACCACTCTACAATCTTCAAGAACCATTCCCATGAGATCTTCATAAATATCTTTGAGCTTGAGGGCCTCCTCGATCCGAAGTCCATCCTTGCGGTCCAAAGCCACAAGATCTTTAAAATCCTGGCACTTGGTGTTGTCCCTACAGTGGCTATCGACGTAACTCCAGACTAGAGAATCTGCCTGACATATGCTGATCACCTCCTCTACATCGGACAAGGCACCCTGACGTCGGATCGGCTGTTGAGTGGCACTGTCCTTGCGAATTACCGCGATCTGGTACGACGGGGTTCGGAAGCGGCAAAACGTCCCACACCATACCTGGAGTTGCTGATGCTTCTGCAAGGCTTTATAGATGGCGTATGTCAGATTATCTACAGCCTTGTTCGAGCCCGCCGAAACCAGAACCTTGATGCCAAGTGCGGCCAGGGAGAGAATAATAACTAATGCCGTGCTGGTCTTGCCGGTACCGGGTGGACCTTTGATCAGGTGCACGCCACCAGGAATTGCCGTTGTTGAGCGTCTGAAGGCCTCGCTCTGGTAAGCATCGAGTGGGAAGCTCTTGGCGATCCACTCAAGACGTTTTCGCTTTTCATCCGCCGGTAATTCGGACATGGCTTCGATATTGAGCTCAAAGTAGTCGGCCCCTTGAGGGTTCATCTCGCTGCCATGTGCCAGGACCGTTCGACGCAAGGAGAACCCTGGGCTACATTGGTTGCGTTGCCTCCGAAGACCTCCTTGCGGCGTTCAGGATCCATATCGCCAAAGACTGGTGCGTGGTCTACCTGATCCAGAGCTTTGATCTGTTCATCGATTGGTCGGAGATTCTGCTTCATCACAGCCACAATTTTCCGTCTCTGACCATTGAGATGAGTGTCCAGATTGCTTCGGACGAAGATGGCGTAGCCGACACGATTGGACTCAACGATGATGCCCTTCTTGTTGAGGCTGTGGTAGCCACTGGGCATCGCATCAGCGGCTTCGCAAATGCAGAAGTTGACCTCCATCGGCTCAGAGAGAGAGGGCTTCTGGTCTGCCTTGATCCAGAAATGGGATTTCCACCAGTTTGAATCGGCCAGGCGCTCGAATACGGCATCGTGAGTGTTCTGGAGGTTGAAGATCTGCTCGAGGACCTTAATCTGGAAGCTTCGTTCAATACAGGTCACCATGAGTAGCCGTGAGCGACGATCGTGACTGTCAATGAAGGAATTGTCTGTTGGCCGCCATTGCTGGTATTTTGGATCCTTGGAGCAGTCTTCCCATCGCCAGGGCATTGGTGGCGAGCGATCTGTCATTCAAGGGGCCTCGTGCTTGTCATAGAACCAGAACGCACGAGGGGCTCCATGATGGCCCTGATTATTATTTACCAGTTTTATGAGCTCACACATCCAGTTGATGGCTCGCTAGTTGATGTTGAACTTGTCTCGGGGACAGGACAGCCAGATTGTGACGTCCAGCTCTAACCAGTTAATATTGGCGATCTTGTTCCATCGGTCCAAGTCGTCAGGTTTGAGCTTCCATGGCGAGCCGGCGATAACGGGAGCCTTTCTGCATCGGATTGAATAGACATGTGGTTGTCGTCTGATTGACAATGACGGTGCACGGTAACCACTTCACAGCCCATTTCCGAAGCTCTAGTGGGCCTTCGCCACCCAGAGGCTTGTTTAACCAGTCCGGAACATTCAGCTGATTTGCAGTGGCCATCTTGTTGATATCTGGGGCTTGAATAAAGAACAAAAAGCTCCTTGAGGTGTCGTGTGGAAAGAAAAGAGGATGATAAGTAAGGTGATAAAACCCAGAAACTCTTCAGAGCACCAGGTTAGAGAAAGAGGAAGAAGAAGATGAGGATGAAGAAGCCAGAACCTCCTTGAGGAATGGCACGGATGAAGAAAAGGGGAATGAGAGACGTCAACCTCCTTGAGGACCAGCTTAGAAAAACAGAACGGAGATCGAGGTCAAAACGCTCGTCAGATGAGGAAGGGGAGGGCGAAGGTGAGGAGAAAGAGGAGGAAGAGGAAGAGGAGGAATAGGAGGCGAAGAAAAGGATTTGCAAGACAGAGAAGGACTTGGACGGTGCGAGCTCGCTTGGACATAAAGTGAAAGAAAGCGATTGCCTAAATTGGCAGGTGGGCAAGATCTGCCTAAGGCTGTACAGTGTAAGAGCCTGAGGCAGCATACACCATCCCCCAGTCAAGCATCTTCTCTTCCCTCCAAGTCCTGCTCAAGTGTTCTAATAGTATCTATCTTTCTTAGCTTATCGCAAGTATCTACCTGGCACTACCAGCCGATGGCAGTGTCTTCTTTATTTTTCCTGCTCCCAATCCACATACTGCAGCTACTGTGACTGTCCCGACGTCCTTTAGAAATCGCCGTACGGCTGGACGCAATTCTTGAATCTCAAGCTTGTATTTGAGTGATGTGGTCAGGATACTCACCGACTAGATCTGCTTGAAAGCCCTCGTCCTGCTAATCATTGCCTACGCTTCAGAACAGTGACTATAGCCTGCGTCCAAGTCAATTGCCGGGAGAGTGCTGAAGCCAACCTCGCGTACGAATCCTTGAAGGGGATTTGATGCCTAGGGTATCTGGGATATTCACTGGGCACACCTCGATCTCTCAGGATGTCTGTGAATTGAAGACGATTTCATTGTCGTCAGCCCTGACGCGATAGAGATGGAAGTCGGCACTTGAAAAGGATATTGAGACAACCATCTAGTGAGAGAGGGCATAAGTGAGTACTGATTGAATGCTTCCCACATCCTTATCTTCAAATTACTTTCTCATCTAACATTACTTTTGATTACACTCATAGTCTACCTCAACACACCCCTCTGGCTCTCCACAGTCCTATTAGTAGCGGGATTTTTCGAGTTCGTAATAGTTAGGATAGTCAAGGTGTCCGCCTTGATAGAACTGGAACCCAAAATCGAGCTTTGCGCTGGGTATTGATATTCAGGCTGGAGAAGGACCTTGAATCTACGGCTAGTGACAGGAGATTGAGCATTGGGCAGTTCGAGTTTGATAGGAAGTTTGGATGGGACGCTGATCATGGATATGGGATCGGCAGGAGGAAACCATGGTTTCAAAGAGGAGAGAAGATGCTAAAGCTCGGTTTCAAAAGGTCTTGGGTCAGAGATTTCTATTTTAGTTGTTTTATAGAATTCAAATTGCCGACTCCTTAATATTAAACTAGTTTATATTAATTTATTCTGGTCCTTTCTTAACTTGATGACTACTACTACCTATTCATATGAATATCATTCTGTTGCATTGTATTATAGTACAGTACTGCCATTTCACCTGCCCTCTAATATACGCATTCAATATAATAATAGATCGAGGCCTCTATAGATAGACTCTAGATAATATACATTTGAATAGAATCAGCTTTCAAGACATTTTTAGTTTCCTATATATGTAGAATTCATTTATACTACATACGCGTCATGCATTTCATGATAACCTGATGCCTAGGTCAGCACATCCATCGGCTGCCAGGTTGTCAGGAGAGTATTACTAGCAGAAGAAGCAGATTACCACCTTTGAGATGCCTGGCCACCCCGGTCATTCCTTCTCAAGGCCCCCAGATGAGAAATCCATGCATCAGATGGAGGGTAGCACAACATCAAAAATGATCAGTCTTATGCAACTGACGTCCTTTCTAGGTGCGAAGGACATTACTATGTACCAGCTGAAGGATATCGCGCGATTGAGAATAGCCAATCTAAAGACACGCCTGCCATTTCGACATCTGGTATCTTTCAATGTGCTGTTGCCACCGACGTCAGGCTTTCCCACGGCTCCCAGATCGAGGGTCTCGCTTGGTGTCACAATAACGTATCGATGCTGAAATCGTGCATTCCAGGCGCCTGATCTTCAAATTCTAGACTAGACGATATGAGTGAAGTCCAATACAATCTGTCAGCTGGGGGATTTCCGCACACCACTTCACATGCCAAATCCCTCGGGATCATCCTTGTGCATAAATCAGCTATCAGCGTTGGAGGGGATGGAGGGAAGACTGGGGGTACGTACTCCAGGATGAGATGGGTACATATAGCTTTGCCATAACACTTCCAAAAATTTGGGAAATTGCAATATCCAGTGCAAAAACAAGCTCATTTCTATATACAAGTGCTCTATGATCAAGATGCAGGACTCTATGTCGGGTGTTCTCTTTAAGATGTCGCTGTGGAGCAGCGCAATATGGCTGTTGACCCGGTACCTGGACATCTACGCAAACTCACTTTTTCTCCTATCTGGAGAGGTAGTGGGCTCTTGGGTCCTATTTGCCGTGCTCTCTGTTCTCACTAGAACGTTGTACAGACGTAATTCCAGTCCCTTGAATAGTCTGCCTGGTCCAAAGGTAGGAGCCTACCTATCCTCCCTCCCTGGTGACAGGCATTGACAGGCATTTTCAGTCTCGCAACTGGCTATACGATCATGTTTTTGATATTTTCGACGAACCTCTCGCATGGAATGTCTCCAAATGGATCAACGATAGGGAATACCCTGAAGGTCTGATGCATTTCTTCGGCATCTTCGGGTCTTCCTACGTCGTTCCTACCAGTCCGGCCGCACTGACGGATGTTCTATCCACACACGCATACGACTATTCAAAACCCTCTGCTTTCAAGAGATATACAACTCGCTTCTGGGGCCATGGGATAATATCCCAGGAGCAGGACGAGCACCGAACGCATCGTAAAACCTATCTGTCGGTGTTTAATCAGAGCAACGTTGCCCGTCTGAACTCCACGTTATTCGCAAAGTCCATGCAGTTCGTGGACCGAGTTTCAGATACATGCGAGGAAAGTGGCATTCAGGATATCACCGGGTTAAAGTCCGCCGTGATTCCAATCTACGAACTGTGTGCCTTGGTTTCTTTGGATGTGGATGGGATCTTCTCACTCGATTTTGACTTCAACACCATCTGCGGAGAGAATCGCGAGATCTTTGAGGCACATGAGACGCTGTTCAGCAGTACGCCGCAGGTACGGAAGCTTTTCTTGCTCTATAATATCGCGCCTCAATGGCTTCTTGATATATTCCCTTCTTCCGCTGCGAAGAAACTGGACGCGGCACACGACCTGCTTGCTGGTGTCTGTCGCAAAATCCTCCGAGAACACCTGGCCCATCCAGCAAAAGATGACGCGAAGGCGGTTGATTTTGCAAGAAACCTCGTGAACAAGAATCTCTACAATGAGGACGCCGCTATTTCGCAGATCCTGGTCATTCTTGGTGCAGGGTAGGCTACTTGAATGTGATATATTGCTACATGATAATACTGAACTACTACAGATACGAGAGCACCGGTGGTACCCTCGCCTGGGTATTCATCTGCCTTGCCCGCAACCCACAAATTCAAGAACAACTACGGCAGGAGCTTATCGAGGCAAGAAAGGGCCCGGAGCCTTTAGGTGCAGACGCAAATTATGAAAAATTCGTCATGCTTCATGCAGTGGTCATGGAAGCAACCCGGCTGTACCCCGCATTCGCCTTCTTGCCTCGCAAAGCCATCCGAGACACCTCCATTGCATCCCAGTTCATACCCAAAGGTACTTTTGTGGCCTTGTCTCCTCACGCGCACAACTACAACAAGGCAGTCTGGGGGCCTAAAGCTGCGGAATTCCTCCCCGAAAGATGGATTGATCGGTCTGATCCGCTTCGCCCTAGACAAAACCCACTAGGAGGTGCCCCTGCAACGGTGTGCATGATGTCGTATTTCCATGGCGCACGGAGCTGCGTCGGGCGGGAGTTGGCCGTGGCGCAGATGAAAAGACAGGTTGCGTTGGTAGTCGAACGATTCCACCTCGACCCCGTGGGAGATCCCGACCCCCGTCCGGTGGGCTTATTTGCCACGACCCCCCCTCATGATCTCAAGCTTCACTTTACAAAGCTGCCTTGCTGATTGCCTGTGCTGCATGGATGTACCGGGTCACGCTCTTTGCAGCTAGAACAAGAGCCAATAGAAGTGAAGTTTGGAAGTACCTCGGTATGGACTGCAGATGGACGGAGCAGAGAATTTGAATTTCATTCCTCGTCGCTGTTCTTGCTATTATCAAATTGAATTTGGATCTGTCGTCATCTTGCATTCAAGCATACAACTACTGCACGTAGCCGTCTTATCGTTCCTCCAGAAATTGATTAATGATGGACAGCTTGATCAACCATTCACTGATGATTGGGTGATGTAGGTCTGGGGCTATTTTCCTGTATCACACACATACCTTACTAGAATGATCCATACAGTAGCCATATTAGGACTAAGTATTACCCTACTTTGCCAAGGTATTCTGCGTTCTGATGGAAGTGCGTCTCCCCTGTAGGTGCGTGCCCATGCCGTACTGTTTTGAAACAGGTAAATCCCCATGGTCAGAACTTGAAATTGGGGGAGAGCGGGAAACATAGAACTCACTTGATGAAAACGATAACTTGCCGCCGATCAATTCAACCCGATCTGCCTGCTTATAGCACAGGTTTCAGGTTTGGGTCGGAGATTTTTATTTTATGCTGGTTGTTTTGCAGAAAATCCAAATTCCCCACCGCTTGATGTTTATTTGGCTTATGTCAGCTTGTGGTGGTCCTTCCTTGACCACCACCACCACCAGCATCAACATCATTATTGTGTTGCGTTGTTTTATAGCATGACACTCTCATTTCACATGTTTTAGCTATATTGATGTGTGAGGAGCTCAGTTGAATACCAAGGTCCCAGGTAAGCATTTGACACTGGCCGTAAAATTAATGCAATAGTAATAATTGGGCCAAGCTAAACAAACCGACTTGGATCTCAGCAATTTGACCCTCCACGTGTTTTATCTTCCGTATACGCACTTTGAATTTCGACTGATAAATTCGCTCGATCGCGCGTCAGCTCCACAGAACACGAATCGGAATGATTTCTGTCTCGCTATATCGGTGTGGCAGGTTTGCCGGTTGTTGAAGCTCATCGGACGTTCGTACGAGGCGACTCCACCCAGATTTCGAGTCCGGCGCGTTGTGGATAGCACCGGGCGGTCCCAATCCCTGATCGAGGATCGATGGATTCGATACAACGCCTGGGATTCCACCGCACTTGACTAGAATCGGAATATGCACTGATCCAAACGACTGCACTGGGCGCCATTTCGATGCTTGGCTGCAGCTCTTTTTACTGCGCTTCATTCAATTTAGTATTGTTGATGCCTTGTAGCTTCAACTGCTTTTCAAAGGTGTGGATCTCTCTGATAACAATACTATATCATGGCTTTATTTCTCACTCCCATTTGAATCTTTCTAGCAGTATTCTTTTGTTTTTCTCTCCCTCCTCTTTGTGTGTGGCCTGGTGTCCCACCAATGCTCTGCTGGAAAGTGCATCTGTTGTTATCAGGTTTGGTTTCTTTGCTTATCGACGCGACGCTATTATGCGTATACCCGAAGAAATACGGAAATCAAAACAATTATGCAATCGATGTCGGCATGGGATGAAGGTAGGTCGGCTGGGTCCCATCAAATGCCTGTTTCCCCCAGATCATTAATTAGTAGCTTGCACTAACTCAAGTCAGTGTGAAGAGGAATGCCAGAGGAATCGCCATCCGCACCGACATGGTCAGTTTTAGCATTTCCATCAAGTTTACGTTAGCGATCTGACTCCGAGTATGGGGTGTCTCCAGAACGATACGTGAGCAGCAATCGCTCTCATCCTTATCGCACTCACCAATCGAACTCTTATCCCCCTCGTTCGGATCGACCACGGGTTCTGGAGGCCAGTGATGTGGTCTCTGAAGAAGGGGATGATGAGATCGAGTTGAGAAAAGTCTTCAACCTCCGCGCTGAGACCTGGGACTTGACTTCAGAAGATCTGGAATTGTTCCGGAACTGGTGCGAATCAACAGAATGGTCAATTTCGTCGCCGAGCGATGCACATAGATCCGCCTGGCATGCGATCATCCGGCAACAGGTATTCGAGTACCCAATCCTTCTTTACAGCACCGTTGCTTTGTCTGCCATGGAGCTTGCATCGGGCAGCGAGGTGGATGACCACTTTCGCATTGCCCTTGACCACTACTCCCGGGCTATCATTGAATTTTCCCACACTCTTGAAAAGTCGCCAACTGGCAGTAACGCGGCATTCGTCTCTGTTGGAATTCTTTTCGGTTTTGAACTCGCGCTCTTACTGGTTGGAGAGAGCTCTGAATCATCTATATGCTCTTTAAACGACCTCAATGACCAAACTCTCCAAGATACCCTGCCTTCTTTGCTCACAGCCTTTATTGGTGTGCTGGAAACCACCAAAGGCCTGGTTGGTGACTCGAGTCTTATAGATACTGTAGAGCACAGCGACATGGGCGAGCTCTTCACGCAGGAAGACCCGGATCTCGATCTTCCAAATACCTCTACGCTGACAATTTTGATGCTCAAGACTATAAACTCGGCCAGCGCAAGGGACAATCCTTCCCACGAGAAGGAGGTGTACGACGAAGTCATTGTCCAGCTGGGCCAGTCCCTAGAGAAGCTCGCCAAGGTCGTGGACCCGTTGTTCATCGCTTTACGATTCCTTCTGCGCATCCCGCGACGCTTTCTTACTCTCCTCGCAACCCGACAACCACTGGCACTCGCCATTCTTGCACATTACTGTGCGGTTATGCATCATCTTCGAGACCGATGGTGGATGGGCGATTTGGGGGCGCGAGTCCTGAAAGAGATCAGCCACGTCCTCGGTCCTGATATGGTGGACTCGATCCAGTGGGCAACTGATATTGTCGGTGTTTCGGTAGACAATAATTCTGACAAGTCTTGATGATGACTGTGATCTACCATAGGTCGGATGGAATCCTGGGACTTTTATCGAGATTCCGTCTTATATATATTTCTAGGTGTCTATTCACTGTCCTGACTCTCTCCGCTCGAGCCGGAAGAGCGAAGGGCCGCCTCACACAGGGATTTAATTTGAACCCATCTCCGCAACACGGTGGCCATTCTTTCATGCTGATCTTCATTCGACTCCGTACTGGGGGGGCTCTTTTCCTTGGCCAGCATCTCCTCAATGATACCGATGGTCGTGTTGCACTCTTTAAGATAGACCTCCACCCAGCCGCGAATAATAGTCGCCGACCTGTCGGGGTCATGACCACCCTCTTCGTTCGAACCGAGGACATATTCCCGCCACTCCTTTTGTTTCATGTATTTGATGCTTGCGGCAGCCGCAGTGCGTGGACAAGGACCAGTCGATGTAATCTGGTAGTTACTAAAGAATTTGAGTGATCATTCGATAAACTCGTATCTAGACATACCCATAATAGTCATGTGCATCAAGTTCTTTCTTCTCTGAAAGCGTGAGATCTTTGAAAATGATATCGTCTAGATATACGGCGTCGGACTCGTTATGCTCCAAGTAAAATCCGTCTTATACACATGAGCTGCGGATTGCAAATAGATGGGATAGGAAGGTGACAAACATTCAACGAATAAAAAGTCATTCGAGTGAGCTCCGTAGCTCATATATATTTCCTCGCCTTCGTCTACACATATCAGTTTGTATGATGCAAAGTAATAGCGGGAGAGAGAGAGGGAGAGAGATTACCGAATCGGCGCATGGCTTTAAAGGTATACTGCTTTCCATCGAACAAAACCTCGCAGTCCTGCACGAGATTACTTATGAGCTAGTGGGAAAAGGAGATAAATGAATACTCACCGCATCATCGTCATGGTTAAAGTAATCCGCAAAGGGAACCAAGGCAAGAGCATCGTTCCAATCCTCTGGCGGATTCATGCCGGGCATCACGTAATAGAAGCTCCGCGTGTTGACAATAAGCCAATAATACGAGAAGGCGTCCCAGTCGGCCTCTGGAAAGACGGAGCCGATCACCTTCCAGCACCGCTCAAGGCGTTCCTCCTGCTGACCCAGTAGGTTCTGGTATCTAGTTTCGTAAGGGTGTGTATCCCATCCTCTCTTTTTCCGGAGAGAATTCCACCTTCCCGACACGGAGGGAGGTAGGATGGACTGCAAACTAGACTTGGACTGACTCGAGTCTGTCCACAAAATAGGCATACACTCTTCAAACTCATCGCGGGAGGGCCACACGGTATACCACGCTGTCCATTTCGTCAGAATATGAGCGTCACCGTACATCAGAAACGCGGCTAGGATGGCATGCACGGGCGTTCCATCGGGGAACCGCGCCACAAATGATGCCGGTATGCTGTCGACAGTGAGCATCTCCGCCAGGGGGACTGTCAAGATGACTTCTCCTTCCTAAATATCGCCCCGTTCAGTAGTTTGCTACTAGTATACTGTTCTTAATTCCCAACACACCTCTATCATCCGGGTGGCTATCATCCCCAGTCGTCGACCGGGAATCCTCGCCGGGGCGATCCCCTCGATCGTGACCCCGACGGATAATGCCCATTGCATGAATGAGAGGTGTTTGTCGTCTGGAGGGAAGTCCATGTTTCGGTCTCTATGTTAGAAGAGATGTTGTGAATCTTTGTCGTGTTGTTGTGGCTGTCCAGCCACAATTGAATAAACTGTGGCGGTGCAGTACTAGCCGGATATAACTAGACCTAAATAGGTACATGAAGCAGGAGTAGGAGTAGAAGATTATAACTACAGAGTAACTACTGTGTAAGGATCTTTATGACTACAGTGGAAAAGGAATTGTTGAATAGTATATTATTAATTAAGTCCTCTATTCGCTTGGGGTATATGTTGAAACCCAAGTGTCCGAACGCCACCCATGTCTATGTTGAATGCAAGTCGTAGTAATCATGAAAAGATGAATCTATAGAAGAATCTAAAGAATCACTCCGTCTCGTCGACCGGCCCACACGTGCAGAACAAGTTCTGGTCGCCAAAAGCGTCGTCCACACGGGTGACCGAGGGCCAGAACTTCTTCTCCAACAGGTAAGGGAGCGGGTAGGCCGCGGTCTCGCGCGAATAGGGCCGATCCCACTGCGAGGTAAGCAGATCGCGCTGGGTGTGCGGGGCGTTCTTGAGGATGTTGCCCTCGCGCGGCTGGGCGCCGGCCTCGACGGCGGCGATCTCGGCACGGATGGCGATCAGGGCGTCGCAGAAACGGTCGAGCTCGGCCTTGTTCTCGGACTCGGTGGGTTCGATCATCAGCGTGTTGGCTACGGGCCATGACATGGTGGGCGCGTGGAAGCCGTAGTCCTGCAGCCGCTTGGCGATGTCGATCGCCTCCACGCCGCAGGTCTCCTTGAACTGGCGCGCGTCGAGGATGAACTCGTGCGCACACCGCCCGTTCTCGTTGAGGTACACGATCGGGTAGTGCTCGCGCACGCGGGATAGGATGTAGTTCGCGTTCAGCAGGGTCATTTTGGTGGCGTGCGTCAGGCCCTTGGCCCCCATCATGTTAATGTAGTTGAAGGTGATGGGCAGGATGCTGGCGCTGCCCCAGGGGGCCGCGCTGATGGGCGGCGAGGCCGTGCCGCCCGCCCGCTTCGATTGCAGGTACTCGCTGGCCGGGTGGGAGGGGAGGAACGGGCGCAGGTGCTCGGCGACGCCGATGGGGCCGACGCCCGGACCACCGCCGCCGTGTGGGATGCAGAAGGTCTTGTGCAGGTTCAGGTGGCAGACGTCCGCGCCAATCTCGCCGGGCGAGCAGAGGCCGATCTGGGCGTTCATGTTGGCGCCGTCCATGTAGACCTGACCGCCGTGCTCGTGCACGAGGCGGCAGGCCTCCTTGACGCCCGGCTCGAATACGCCAAAGGTGCTCGGGTAGGTGATCATGATGGCCGCCAGGTCGTCGCGGTGCTTCTCGCATTTGGCCTGGAGGTCTGCCAGGTCGAGGTTGCCCGTCTTGGCGTCGCACTTGATCGTGACGACCCGCATGCCCGCCATTGCGGCGCTGGCCGGGTTGGTTCCGTGGGCGGAGACGGGGATCAAGCATACGTTGCGCTTGGCGCCGCCGTTGGCCTCGTAGTACTTCTTGATGACGCGTAAGCCAGCGAACTCTCCTTGCGCGCCCGAGTTGGGCTGCACGGTGACCTCGGCCATGCCCGTGATGTCGGCCAGCTGCTGCTCGACATCGTCAATCATGCGGGTGTAGCCCCGGGCGAGCTCGGCAGGCATGAACGGGTGGACGTTGGAGAACTCGGGCCACGAGACGGGGATCATCTCCGTCGTGGCGTTCAGCTTCATGGTGCACGAGCCGAGCGGGATCATCGAGTGAGCCAGAGAGAGGTCCTTGGACTCCAAGTGACGGATGTACCGCAGCATTTCCGTTTCGGAGTGGTGGGTGTTGAAGACCGGATGCGTCAGATAGGCCGACGTCCGCTCCAGGTTGGCGGGGAGCGAGACCAGGTGCAACTCTTCCGTCAGGGCCACCTCTTGCTTTCCCTGGGCAAACACTTGGAGGATGGTCTTGACCTCTTCCCGGCCCACGGTCTCGTTGAGGGAGACCGAGATCTTCGTCGGGGTCAGACGACGGAGGTATAGCGACTCCTGACGCGCGGCTGCGATGATGGAATCCGCCTCCTCGCTGCTGCCGAGCTCGACGGTGAGGGTGTCAAAGAGCACGCCCTGGTCAGCGTTAGACTTGATGGGGACGTTGAAGCCGAGGGCGACGAGCTTCTCGCGCAGGATGGCGGTCATGGACATGATGCGTTGGGCGATCGCCTTGAGGCCCGTGGGACCGTGGTAGACGGCGTACATGGCGCTCATGTTGGCGAGCAGTGCCTGGGCGGTGCAGATGTTGCTGGTGGCCTTCTCACGGCGGATGTGCTGCTCGCGGGTCTGCAGGGCGAGTCGCAGGGCGCGGTTCCCCAGACGGTCCTTGGAGACGCCGACGACACGGCCGGGCACCTTGCGCTTGTACTTGTCGGCGCAGGCGAAGAAGGCGGCGTGCGGGCCGCCAAAGCCCATGGGCACACCCAAGCGCTGGGAGCTACCAAAGGCGATATCGGCGCCGAACTCCCCGGGCGCCTTGAGCACGGTCAGAGCCAGCAGGTCGGTAGCGACGCTGAAGACACCACCGGCGCTGTGGACGGCGTCACCCAGGGCCTGGAAATCAAAGACACCACCCTCGGTGTCCGGGTACTGGGCCAGCACACCGACCAGGCTGTCACCTTGCTCCTTGACGAGCTTGAAGTCGTCGGCCAAGACGTCTCCGACGACGAGTTGGATACCGAATCCTTCGGCGCGGGACTGCATGACAGCCAGGGTCTGCGGGTGGCACAGATGGGAGACAACATAGGCCTTGCCGGGCTTCTTCTGCTTGGACATGGGGAGTGAAGCGAGCGACATGGTCATGGCCTCGGCCGCGGCGGTGGCCTCGTCCAGCACCGAGGCATTGGCAAAGGGCAGACCGGTCAGATCCGCAGTCAGGGTCTGGAAGTTCAGCAGCGACTCCAGCCGCCCCTGACTGATCTCCGGTTGGTAAGGGGTGTAGCTGGTGTACCACGCTGGGTTCTCCAGAATGTTGCGGAGGATGACGGGCGGGACGATGGTCGGGTGGTAGCCACAGCCCAGGTAGGATTTACCCGTGGCATCAATGTCTTTCCGGTACGTGTCGAGCAGCTTCAGCATGTCGGTCTCCCCCAGCCCGCCATGCACGCTGTCGTGGTAGAGACTGATCTCCGCCGAGGGCGGTGTGACGGTCAGGTCCTTGTTGGATAGGATGTCTTTCGGCAGCACCTGCGCCACGAACTCGTCCAGCGAGGCCACGGGCGGCTGGAGGGCGGCCAGCATCTCGCTGGCGTCCTCGGGCGAGGGCCCAATGTGTCTGCGGGGGAAAGTATCGAGGGGCTGGAAGACATCGCGAGGGTGCGGGTCACCGTGATCCGCAACGGAGCTGGTGTAGACCGGCCGTCTCGACGAGGGCGGCTGCTGCTGGATAGAGGTGTGCAGAGAACGTCTGAGGGAGATATTCCATGACGAACCAGTCGTCGTCGTCGCACGCAGAGCGCCGACCGGCGAAGCAACGGCTCGCAAACGTGTCGTCCGCAAGGCGAGCTGGCGACCGCCGCGGAGGACAAAGGAAGTCATCTCGGTGACTAAGCGGAGTCTATGCTACTGCTGCTGCTGCTGCTGCTGCTGCTGCTGCAATGAGCTCACCACAGCATTCACAAGAGATGAGGAGGTGAGGAGGGAGAGATGAGAAGAAGAAAGAGGAAGAGGAAGAGAAAAGAAGGGAAGAGAGAAAGACCAAAATATTCCGCTTGACGTCCTCCGTTGCTGCTCTCCGCGTCCTTTTCTTGTCTTCCCGACAGGAGACCGCGGGAAACGGTATCGGGATGATAAAGCCATTCCTATCCAATCAGAGAGCATAGATACGGCCGTTTCCACGGCTGTGACGGTATGGTACACAGACAATTCACTGATAACGATAAGCAGGTGGTTTTCCGCGGGAAGAATAGATTTAATTAAGATGGAATATATAGACTATGTCTGTAGTCTAGCATCTAATGATATAGTAGTTGGTTGAATATACAATACATATAAGAGATTGTTTTAGAAATGAGTGTATAGACTGGTATAGGTGAGATTGCCCATAGAAAATTTATTATATACTTCCCTAAGTAATAAATTAATTCAGATAATTATAAAGGCTCTATATATCAGTCTAATAAAACAAAATATAAGGGTAGAGATATAGACTTGAATGTGTGCTATAGTTATAGTTAAGATATAACAGATACTATATCATTTTCTTGGAAATATAATAGCATCAGCTAAACCCAGTAAAGTTGCTCAAGAGAGAATCCCACTGAATGTCTTCAATCGGGAATGGTATATCATCCATATCACCATAAATACTCGGCCAAACCTGGGGAGTCATAACTTCACTGGCGGGACCGGCCATCATAGACGTATCCTGTCTTGCGCTTTGGCCTTGATCTTGAGACAGTGCAGGTCCAACGATAGCCCGGATTTGATAGGGATAACAGCGTGCTAGCAGCCGCATTTTCGAGCAGAGACTGCCCACAATATCCGTCTCTTGATCTGCCGCAGACATTCCGTCCAATTTCGTCTCCAGCGCGGTGGCAAGCTCGATGACAAGATCGGGATACTCGGCTGCATGCACAACGGCCTGCACCTGGGCTTCCATGGTAGAGTCTGAATCGGGGGCGGAACCGGTAATGAGATTCAGAAGGGTCAAGACTGCAGTGGGCAGGTAACCCACTGCGGCACAGATATGAGCACTGGTAGGTATTGTCATCTGGGCAATCTCCGACGCTGGTAGGTTTCTGACCGTGTGGATGAGCTCCTTGCTGCGCTGGATCATACCCATCAGCATGGTTGTCCGGACGGCGCTGACAGGCTCTGAAATCCACAGTTCCTCGCGAAGAGACAGTTCCTCAAGCCGTAGTTCCACATATTTGATTTCAGTGCGTATTGCATTTTCTGCAAATGATCAGTCCCCATCAACCCATCACCCCTGGTATCTAGACACACCTGTTGACAAAGGACAGCTGGAGAGCTCTTTTTCTATACATGCTCTCACGCTGTCGAATTGCCGCTGCAGAGAGCCGCGTGTGACTTGGACGAGCATCCTTCCACCACCCGCTTGCACCGAGGCGTAAACTTCATCCATTGTGGCCAGGAAAGCCTGGAGGCGGATGAATGGCGCAATCCACTGATCCGACACAGACTCGGTACAGGCGATACTTTCAAGGCACTCGTCGGTTCGCCCATCATGCTTCATGCTAATCGGCCGGCCGAGTGTGCCACAGAGACTATTTTGTAGTAGGTTAGCTAGCAGAAGCCAGATGTACCAATGCAGACAAACCCTCACCCAACCGACAACCAATACGTACCGAGCAGCGCCCGCTGCTCATGTAGATTCAGACTCGGCTTTCTGTGAAGTCCCAAATCATACACAGTAGACACACAAAACTGAATCAACAGCAAAAGTCGCGGGTGATATCTCTCTGCAGGATACGAGTACCACGCGCCGTGGACCAGCAGGCCACGCAGTAACTCGAGATTCCGCTCAGACCGTGCGACAATCCTCAAGGTAACGTGCTTCATGATCTCCTCGGTGACCGTTTGGCGCAGAGGGTGCGCACTGCCCATGGTCGCGGCAACGACGCACAAGAATAGAAACGGCTCTCGCACTCCAAGACGGGCGGCGCTCTCGCCGTGGGAAAGCAATATAAAGGGGAACTTGGGCACAAAGTCGCGTTGAAAGGTCGTCACCAGGCGTTCGGCCTCGGCTTCACTCAAAAGCCCTCGGTCTACGAGAGACGGCTGGCCCTCCAGAACAGAGCTGGTCGGCGGGTAGGGACCATGAGACGGGTCTTTAGCAGCGTCAAGCATTGCGGAAATATCTGTTGCATCCATCTCAGTATCTCCAGATGAGTCCAAGTCGTCGGGGATCGGGTTCGACAAGGTCTCGGGCACTGTCTGTCTTGTCAACGCAGCCAGCTGCGACGTCAACTGGTCGACCTTCTTCTCCAACACCTTCACACGGCTGGCGTCCGTTAGCTCTTGCATCCGGAATTAATAAAAAATACCATGTGCTGGAAGAATACCTCGGTGCACCTTTGTGCTTCCGCCTCGTCTGCGGAAGGTCGAGGTACGCGCAGGACTTGCCCAACCGAGCGCACCGCTGGCACAGGTTGACGGTCTGGGGCGTGCATTTTGCCTTGGCAGCTGTACATGCCACACAAGCTCTCCTCTTGACTGCAGGGACTGTGGCGTTCATGATGTCGTGGAAGAAGCTGAGGTGGGAAACAGAGCGATCGGGTGAAACGGAAGTTCCTGAGCCTGTTAACCGGATGCTCCGGTCGGAGCGGATGATCCGTAGTAGTGTATATAGGAAATCGAAGACAACTGTCAATGTATTCATTGCAATATATCTATTGATTGCAATTTACTTTTGGTTTTATTAAAGAAATGCCTTCATATGCCATCACAGGAGCCTCCAAAGGCATTGGCCGCGAATTCGTGCGCCAACTCGCCGCCAACCCAACCAACACAGTCCTGGCGATTGTGCGAGACCCCGACTCGCCCGACATATCTGAGCTCGCCTCGCACCACCCCAACGTGCACATTATCCAAGGCGACGTGACGGATCCAAAGTCCATTCTCGAGGCTGCCTCGGCCGCCGAAGCCGTCACGGGCGGTCCGCTCGACGTGCTGATCCACAACTCCAACGCCGTCGATATGGCCTCCATGTCCTCCACCCCGACGCAGATTCCCTTTGACTCTCGAGCTGTACGGACAATGTTCGACCTGCCCTTTAGCACGGCTATCTACGGCGGCCTGTGGACGACAAACGCCTTCCTACCACTGATCGAGCGGGGAGTCCGGAAGAAGATCGTGCACATCTCCAGTGCCATGGGGGATTGTGCTTTTATAAGGAAGTCTGGTGTCAGCGATGCGGTGGCGTACGCGGTCGCTAAAGCAGGAATGAATGTCCAAGTTGCCAAGTACGCGGCAGAACTTGCGCCGAAAGGCATCAAGGTGGTGGCTTTAAGTCCTGGGTGGGTTGATACGTGGGAAGGTGAGTTGTTTTCTTTCCCCTGCAGCTTATGGTGACCAGAAATTGAGAGATCATCGCAGGAGAGAAACCAGAGCCGGTAGTACACGCGCAGCAGGTCATGCTGAAGCAGTTTCAGACAGCCGAGCCTACACTCAAGGGACAGATCCAGCCGGAGGAGAGTGTGAAAAAGTGTCTCCAGGCTATCGGACATCTGGATATGGGGTCTAGCGGCTTGCTCCTCAGCCATAATGGAGATACAGAAAGGTGGTTCTAAGTAGGCATACTCTATCATGATTAACTCGCAATGCTGGATATTAGAACAGGATGTTTAGGATTTAATGTATAGATACTTCATACTAAATGTGCGAAATCTAGGTACTACTCTCTCACTGGCAACACTCTCCCGCTCCATAACAACGGGCCAACAAGTCGAATAGTTGGAAATATCCGCAGCCAATCTCTTCCCTGCTTCCCCTTTCAGAAACGCATCTCTCTCTTCGATACTCGACCAGGTGAAGTTGGCTTGTAATCGGAAGGGGGCGTCGGGCTCAGGAAACACAAAGACTTCCCACGAGAGGAGAGTAGAGGGGCTCGACAGTTCCTTGATTAGAGCGACATGATGGTTTATGTAGTAGTCGACATTAATTTGCGAGGAGGATGGATAGAGCATCTATTATTAGTTTCTTTTTGGTAGTATGACTAGGTATAGGTGAGGTATACGAACAGTAGAAGTGATCACGTTTGGAATAGTAGTCTGATTATAGAAGGGGGTATCAAGATACGGAGGAATTGATGGATAATATAGTATCCAAGTTTAGGTATCAATGCATTGTGTAACAAAAGCTATGCCTATCTATGCTATGCTATGTTTGCATGATATGTTACATACTATACAGACTACGCTATGCAATGCTGCTACATTTCCTCCTCCAAAATACTGTCCGGGATATCATCAATAAGCCTCTCCCTCTCGCCACTGTCTCCTTCATCGTCTTTACTCTTCCTTGCTTCAACATGCACAAAAATAACCAAGACTGTTCCAACTAGAAAGCTAATCCCCGCCAGCGCGGCGTTGATCGGGATGGGATTCCCCCCAAACGGACCATGGGTCAGCGCGTCGAGACCGTATTGAGAAAAATTGGCCAGGCCGGAAACGCAAATGATGGTTCCGTACACGCGGCCAAAGGTTGCAAAGCCAAACACCTTTGTCGCGTAGTCGCTCATCGCAGAATAATACAGTGGCCGGAGAAACACAAACACAATCACAGTAGCGTACCCTGCTCCCATCAAGGGGATCGAATTGAGCACCCCCACCGCGGTCGTCAGGACCACGATCGCGGCCAGCATGACGGTCACGCTGAGGTGGTCGAGCAGGAACCCGATCACAGGTGTGGAGAGAACGCCGACAGCGGGCAGCGCGACGTCGAACAAGCCGTTGATCTGGGCTGCACTGGCGCCCGAGGAGAGCATATACTCGTACTGCGCGCGGATGGTTGCAATGAAGTAGTTCATGCGCACCATCTGCACGACGGTCATGAGTGTTATGAGCAGGAACCAGGGGCTAGCCATCTGTCTGTGTGCGGGCTGGCCATGCAAGATACCCCAGACCCCGCTGACATGCTGTCTCTCTTCCTCCTGCTGGCCGCGCAGCCTGCGTTCGTCGGCGTCGCCCAGCACGTTATCGAGCCGTTGCAACTTGGCCTGTCGACGCTCAGCCCGCTTACGTCGCACCTGGCGCAGTTGTGTGAAATCGTCGATCTCCTCGTCGGACTCGTGAACGTCGCGTCTCGGGTCCTGGGCCTTTTCGATCTTTACCTCCAGCTGCTGCATGGACTGGTAATCCCGGGCCGGTAGGACGGTCAGCTGGCCCAGAAGGATCAGTACAGGCACCGCCAGGTATCCTAGGAAGAAGTTCCGCGGGCTGAAGAGACGGGGAGAGGTCGCATACATCAGTCGATAGCCCAAGTAAACCGCTGCAGAGGCGTCGAAAGCCCCCGTCACCAGCGCGACAATAACCCCGGCGCGTTTTGGAAAGGCGTTGGCAATCTGAAAGGATGGTACAAAAATAAAGGTCCCCCCGAGAGCTAGGAAGAAGTTGCCAATCATATACCCGTCGAATCCGGCGCTCGCGAAGGAATAAGCCATGAGAATAGCCCCGATTGCCAGACATCCGCAGCCAGCAACGCCGCACACGCGAGATCCGTATCGGTCAAGAATATGACCTACGGGGAGGGCAGAGACATTGGCAGTGATCGAAGCAATGGTGAAAAATAGATTAAGTCTGTCGTCTCAGTCAGAGGTCATTTATTCATTTGGTCAAACCCGTCATTTCAAACAATTTCAGCCTACCTGAGATCCTGTTCCGAGCACACCTCAACTTCCAAATGTACCTCCTCCTCCGTGCAGAGCTCCCGATAGACTCCCTCAGCAACAAGAACGGGCTTCAAGGCAGCAAACCCAAAGACTATCCCAGACGCCAACCAGCAGGCTGCCACAGTAACGAATACCTGTGCTAGAGAAATGGTCAGTCCCTAGGCATCATAATTCGACTCCGTGATTGGTCTCATCCATACTGCATCTCCAAGCCCTCGAGACCTTATACGCCGGGGTACCGCTCTTGTCAAGTTCCTCTGAGACGATCACAGGCGGAGGGAAGACGTCGTAGCTGATCTTCCGACGGATGGGATGGAGGCTGGCGTCCTCATCTGGGTCTGGTTCGCGGTCAACACCTTCAAGTGCAGAGACATGCTGCACTAGAGACATCTCTCTTAGATAGGGGAAAGCTGCCTATGTAAATTCACAGCTGAAGGGAGGGGTTGAACGATGAAAAGTTGAAGTGGTAGTGGGGGGGTTGAAAGTGAGAGGTATTTGTTTTGTCTTAGCTTCTCTTTTATCTAAAGCTCTTAACTTCCCATAAACATATCAGCATAAAAGAATATAGAAAGTCCTAGATAGCTTTATATTAGGTATAAGGAGAATATTAAGGAGATAGAATATACCATGACTATAGTTTAAGATGATTAATAGAGAAATAAGTATACTCTAGCAAAGAGAGCATCCTAGGTAAGCATATAACTTCTAATTATATATCTATGATTCTGTAATTTTTATATTATCTAGAATATCTATTAATATAATACTGATAATATAACTCTCAGTGTCAGAGCTATCACTAATCTCCTGATTATTTATAAATATCCTATTGCTTCCTCCTGCTAATGCCTCCATCTCATCGCGAACACTCTATGCCCACCCCTGTTGCCACTGGCAGATGTGACCAGGTCAATTCCAAGCTTTCAGAATAGCTAAATCTAGAACAGTCAATAAACTGACAGCTGTCAATGGCCATGATGCTGCCGATGAACTCACCTCCGACGTCATCGCAGCCCACATCGTTGCCAGTGACGTATGCTTGATGCCTGAGGCAGCACAGATCCTACCAACATTATGAGAGGAACGACGTCGCCTCGTGGTTTTTCTCCTCTTCCGTGGTACAATTTGTTTGCATAATTATTTTCGTTTATCCTTTTACAGTAGGATATATATATATATATATATATATTCTCATGGCCACCATCAGCATCAACACCGGCGGAGGCAGCGGCTTCCTCTACAATAACAGCTCTGGAACGGCCAGGCTGTGCGTCACGGCGGAGACAGGGGACTTTGACAATGAGCTCTTGCGCAGCTGGCAGGATGAGGGGTTCGATATTCTCTACGTGCCCTACGAGGGCGACGATAAAGAGTACACGATGCGGTTGCGGTCTGTCAGGGAGGGGTTGGGGGTGGGCGAGAACTACGCCGTGATGGGTGTGTATTGAATACAAACATGAAATAGGTAGTAATAAATCACTGATTAACTGTACGTTTTATAGCCTTTGGAGATGCAGCCTCCTTCTGTCTCGACTACTATCTCAAACCCACCAATGCGAACCGGCTGTGTGCGTTGATCGCCTACTATCCCACCAACATCCCTGACACCCGCTCGCGCTTCTCCCCCCAGGTTCGCATGGTCGTACACTTGGCTGGGTCGACCATCGACGTGACGACAGTTCCAACGGCCCTGGGATTACAGATGAAACGGCGCCGCCAGACTCGCCAGCTTAAGCCGGGAATCGGGATCGGCGAGCGCCTGTACCTGGGTTATCCGGCTTACACGTATGAATCTGTGCAGCCAGGCTTTGCAGAACACGATCTGGATGAGTACGATCGGCTGGCAGCGGAGTTGGCCTGGAGTCGCAGCCTGCATGTCTTGCGTAAAGCGTTCAATAGGGACTTGGATTTGGAAAAGAAATGGGAGGAGCATTTAGAGGGTGCGTATATTTTTTTTTCTTTTTGGGAATAACAAACTCTCGTATAAGAATTGACAGTGTGGATTGAAAAAAGGAAAATTTTTCTCTTCCAATATCTCCGAGACAATGGATCCATATACCACCCACGTCACACCGACGGTGACCTGCACCCCGACACTGAGCGGGGGAATAGGTGCGCAGGCCCTCCGCCGCTTCTACGAACAGCACTTCCTACGCCGAATGCCGCCCTCGATGCGCCTGCGGCTCATCTCCCGCACGGTGGGCACCGACCGAGTCGTTGACGAGCTCTACGCCACCTTCGAGCACACGCACGAGATCCCCTGGTTACTCCCTGGCGTGGCGCCGACGAACCGAAAAGTCGAAATCATTCTCGTCAGCATTGCTGCGATGAAGGCTGGGAGGCTCTACTCAGAGCATATCTACTGGGACCAAGCGTCTGTGCTGGTCCAGATCGGTCTTTTGGACCCGAAACTCGTCCCGAAGTCTCAGTCGGAAGGAGAACGAGAGGAGGATAAAGTCCACGACCGTTTACCTGTTGTCGGCCGGGAAGCAGCCCGTCGGATTCTCCATGAAGATCCCGAACAGGGGGACGAATTTCATAACAGGCTGATCAGACGGGCTGTTGCTAAGGCAAGGGGAAAGGGCAAATTCACGTCCTCCGCCTCGACGGCCGCGTCTGTAGCTGACGATTCAGCGGCGGAGGGGAAGAGTGAAGTAGATAGTGTCTCCTCGCCTGTTGCGAATGGCCGGTTCAAGGGGAAGAAGGGGAAAGGAAAGGTGGTGCAGAAGGCGAAGACGGAAGCTCGACCCATCAATGTGACGAGAGAAGAAGAAGAGGAGGACGATGAAGGGAAAGAAAAAGACCAGAATACCGATGATGAAAAGTACGGCATCAGCCATCATAATGGCAAGGCCGCGTCTATTGAGGATGGGGGCAGTGCCGATGAGGGTGTCACAGTCTAGTAATTGGCTCGCTCGCTTGTACAACCATTGATTATGATTATGGATTACGATCGGATGTCTCTCCTCTGTAATTATTCCAAATTGATTCTTTGTTGATGATTTAGGTACACTCGGTTCTTATCTACCACCCCTTCCATGGAATCCACGTCTCTCTCACGATATCCTCCTTGTCAACAACATAGTAGACGAAGTGGGCCGCCGCTGTGATGCATGCATGCTGGCAATGTAGAAACACTTTCTGCCCAATTTTGAAGTGATCCATCACTAATTCCTTCTCCTTAGAAGAATCTCCTTCTCCCGTCAAGCATAGAATGCCATGCTCCTGAGACATCCGCATCACACTCCACTTCGGCCGGTCTGTGACCCGTCCGTAGCCAGGGGAATCGCTCGTCTCCTTGGACAGGGCGATTGTGCCTGCGTTGATGAGCGCCTCGTTGCGTTCGGGATACACGCTGCACACTTCTGCGAGGACACGGAGGGCCTGCTGATCGACGGTGACGAGCGTGGTTGTCACTTGCTGCAGATCATTTGATGGGAAGTTTCCTAATATGATCAGAATACCACATCTGTATATATATAGATATAGATATAGATACGTGTGGGGGTCAGTGGACTTACCCGCGTGTAATTCTAACTTCATATTATCAGGCAAAACAGCCTTCAGAGACTGCACGACATGTGCCGTAGGCGTGGATCCCACCGACACTACCACCGTGTGATCTCTTGGGATGCGCGACGCAGCAGCCACGACGCCCTTCACCTCGAGCTCGAGCACGGAGGCGGCGGAGTCGGCCGTGCGGCAGCTGTACGAATGGCCAGCATGGCAGTAGAAGCCGTACAGCGAGACAGTGGGAGAGGCCTGAACTTTCTCGATCAAAGCGGGCAGTGAGGGTGACGAGTTGACCAGGCCGGCGCGATGGGTCCCGACATCGATCTTGATGAACACTTTCCACTGCCTCGGTGACAAGCGGTTCTTCTGTACAAAGTCTTCCACGGCGTCGATCTGCTGATCGTTGTCGACCATCAAAATGATATCGATTGACTTGGACAGAGCGGCGAGCTGGGGAAGTGCCCCAGGACGAATGGGGAGGCCATACAAGCACTATTTTTTTTACAAGAAAAAAAAGAAATCAGCAGTTAGCGAAAGAAAGTCTCATGAATCAAGTCTCAAATTGTTTCAAGTACTTCTTCAAGAATTCCCTCCTGGACTAATGGAAGAGCGCCCTCAATCTCTGCCAGGGTCGAGGCAATGATCTTGCGGTGTTTTCCTCCATTCAGCATCATTCGAGTTACTTCAAGAGACTGGCAGCTGTTAGACACCTTTTGAAACACTTCTCCATTCTTCTCGGGCACTTTTTCACCTTCAAAGTCTTCACATGGGGTCGAAAGTCAATCCCCAGTAGTTTAACATCTTGATGGAGCTGTTGGACGTTCTTTTCCAGCACCGGCTTGCTCAGGACCAAAGCTGGAGTGGGGAGTTCGGAGGCAGGTTGCCCGATGAACGATTTGGGGTCTCGGTGGGAGTAATCCATAGTAGTCAGTGATGAGGCTTTGAATTTTTGAATGATAAGAAAGGAAGAAGAAGAAAAAGAGGTAGAAGCTTCTTTCGTGCTCAAAAGAGGGGAAGCTGCAAGACGTGAGGGTGAGGGGTTTGAGTGGGAAGAAGTCTTATCGGGGATCCATGTGAGACGTAACAATACCAAGTATATATAATTTTGGTAAGAGAAGTTACGCTGATTTGATAATTGTAGTATACTGTTATTTATTTTTGTTCATAGTAGCAGTAGCTAATTATTATACAGTTTCAATGTATCGCTTAAATTCCCTAGTTAAAAAGTCAGTATCAGCAAAACACTACCAGCATTAAGACTATTTATATATAACTCACCAGTCAGTGACTGCCTCTCGCCAGACCTTGAGCTCGTGCTCTCTGGTCGCAGCAAAGAAATCCACGAATTCAGGGTCCAGAACCTGCCGGGCAATGCTGTTTGGCGCTTTGAATCTCTGGACTGCATGGTGGAGGGAGTCTGGCAGGAGCTCTGGACGGACACCCTTTGACTGGAGGACTGACAAGGGGGGCACCGTAATCTCGAGCTTCTTCTGCACGCCGCGCCAACCAGCAGCCAGCAAAGCACCGAGGGCATAGTGTGGGTGCAGGTCTGCGCCGGGGATTCGGACTTCGAATCGAGTCGCGCCGGGTTTGCAGACGGGAGGGGCGATCAGTCGGATCGACGCCATCCGATCTTCAAGACCCCAGCTGATGTAGACTGGGGCCCAGTAGTTTTCCACCAGCCGTTTGTAGGAGTTGATGGTCGGTGCGAATAAGGGCATGATGTCCGGCAACGCTTCAAGCAGGCCGGCGAGGAAGTGTCGACCGATTTCGGAGACACCTGCCAGGTCAGGCCAAGGTGCGTTAGGATCCTCTTCGTCTCTGGCAAAGACGTTCTGACCCTCAAGATCACAGAGGGAGATGTGGATATGGCCCGAGTTTCCGGCTTGGCCTTGAATCGGTTTCGCCATGAAGCAGGGCGTTATACCGTACTCCATCCCGAGCGATTTGGTGAGAAACCTTCATCAGTCAGTGAGTGGAATTCTAATGGTAGAAAAGAACAAAGTACAGACTTGAATAGCGAGACCCGGTCGGCCATCTCATTCACGTTACACACTTTCAGAGCCTACATTAGAGTCAGTGACAACTAATTGGCTTCTGAACCAGGTAAGGTATACACTTACGGCTTCGTAGACGCCAGGTCCACCTTCCGTGTGCCACCCTTCAATATTACACTTGAATTGGGAACTGATATTGAAGATGTCATAGAAATAACCCTTGTTTGCCACCGGCCTCGTGGCACTGTAAGAAAACATCCCGGCCGTGAGCGGGCGTAATGAACCAGGAGTATTCTTCTCCAGGTAGGTAGCGATATCCAGGTGTTTCGATCCTTGAATGTCATATCCATTCTCCGAGGGTGTTTGGAAGTTCATGAATTCTAGTTCCACTATATAACCGTTGTTGTTAGCAGGAAAGGGCGGGTAACTATATTCAGATATAAAACTACTGCAGTCAGACAACTCACCTCCAGCTAATGCCTGATAACCTGACTCTGCCAAGCGGTCTGTCACCGACTTGAGCATGTTCCTCCCATCAGCCGGAACAGGTTTCTTATTGTTAACAAAGCGCAGCAGGAAGAAAGGGATATCTTCTTCCCAAGGGATGCGTCGGAATGAAGTCAGATCCGGGATCGCAATGAAATCAGAGTATCCAGACTCAGGCGGTGCAATCCGAGCGTCGGTGGTATAAAGCATATCATGCATATCCCATCCAAAGACAGCAGAACTGAATCCGAATCCCTTCTCCATCACCGAGAGGAACTTCTCCTTGGACATGACCTTGCCACGGAGGATACCATCGCTATCCACACCGGCAACTTTGACTTTGATATCCTCTGCTAACAGCGAGGGAAGTGATTCAAGCGTAACTGCAGACGATGAATCCATTGTAGAAAGAAGTAGTAGCAATCACGGATCCAAATTTGTGACGAGGAAAAGCTCATCGAACTGGAGACCCTGCGAATCCGTGTTCTTTTGAACAGAGCATTACCTCCAACACCGCGGTCCGTAAATCTCCATCTTGCCCCATCTCGAGTTCGCCCACTGCAGCCTATTATCGTAGAATGCGCGGTACAGTACTTTGTTATCGGCCATATCGATAAATGAGGGGATCGTCGACCCTCATGAGGGGAACGGACCGCGTAGTAAACGTCGGACCGCGCTTTGGAGATAGACGACGATCTTCGCTGCCAAGGATGTTTCATACCGATTGAGCAATGATCAGACGATAGTTTGAATTCCCATATGTTAATGGTAAGCTCAAAAATTCCATAATATTACTATCCTGTGGTCGGTGACGAAGAGAAGATTCCACGCTTATGTCAGTTCTTATCGGAGTCGTGTCGTGATAAGGCGGCGTTTCAACCGAGGGACGCCAAAGGGACAACTTACCATCTTTTCCTTCTGTCTAGGTCGCTTTGAGTCGTCAGAATGCCGTCAAAACCACTCCATATTGCTGTCCTCGAGTGTGATACACCGGTGGACCCTGTCAGGGAAAAGCTGCAGGGATACGGGGATATCTTCGAGAGGCTGCTACAGACGGGCTTCCAGTCACTGGGGCAGGACGCTGCTGATATCGAGCTCAAAGTCAGCAAATGGGATGTAGTCAATCATGAGGTCTACCCGACACCAGAGGAGGTTGATGCGTTGCTTTTGACAGGAAGCAGTGAGTGATGAGTGCTGGAGATGGCCAGGAGGGGGATTTAAAGCCCTCCTTCCCGGGGTAGATGGGGGACTAATTGATTACTAAAATGTCAACAGAACATAACTCATTCGAAAACGACTCGTGGATCGTCAATCTCACAAGCTACGTCAAAGATGTGATCGAAATCCACCAGAAACCGGTGGTGGGGATCTGTTTCGGACATCAGATCATCGCTCGTGCCCTCGGTTCACGAGTTGCAAGAAACACCAAGGGCTGGGAGATCTCCGTGGAGAAGTTCGCTCTTACAGACCAGGGCAAGGAGTTGTTCGGAAAGGATGAGCTGGTATGGTCGCAGTGCCTCTTCTGCACCAACAACGAAACGATCTTCAGAAGTCTGACATGAGTCTGCCAGGCACTCCACCAAATGCACCGCGATATCGTGTACGACCTGCCGCCCGATTGCATCAATCTTGGCTTCAGCCCGGTGTGTGAGATCCAAGGGTTCTATAGACCAAAGAAGATCATTACTGTGCAGGCACACCCGGAGTTCACTGAATTTATCGTCTCCCAGATCCTGGAGTTAAGACACGGGCAGAAGATCTTTGACGACGCCTTGTACGAGAGCGGAATTTCCAGGGTCGCCAATCCGCACGATGGACTGCTGGTCGCCTCGGCCATCTGCAGGTTTCTGTTGGGGTTATAGAGGCATGGCTAGTTACGTGGTAGAATTGACTGTTTGGAATATCCGTATGCGTTCATCTGACCAGAATAATAACGCGCTACGCTGCTTAAACGTCGAAATCTCGTTCCGCGCTGCGCGCTCTCCTCCAAGCATCTTCTAAGCGCGCTGTCTATCGGGGAGGGGCCGACATCGCCAGCTTTGCTCCACTCCAACAGGAGGGGTAAGCTGTCTTATCACTGATAGCTGTTATTTACCACGGCAATATTAATACCCCACTCTCTGGCAGGTGTTGGTTGCAGACAATAAGAACTGGCTAGGTTAGCAATTGAGAAAGAAGAGGGGGTTGTCTTACTTACTGTTCACATAATGGCCCAGAATCAGATTCGCACCCTCTCGCCATCGACCAACAAGGTCATTTTCGAACACGCAGGAACCCCGATTGAAGAGATTCGCAGGATTGCCAAGGCGTCCAAGGATGCTTTCCTGTCGTACAAGAAGCTCTCTCTTGCAGAGCGTAAAGCTACCATTCAGAAAGCCCTGGATCTGATCGAGGAGCGGAAGGAAAGGTTGGCACACGAGCTGACGGCGCAGATGGGTCGGCCCATTGCCTACAGCGTCAAGGAAATTGAAACGATGCGAAAGCGAGCGAATTACTTGATGAGAACGGCTGAAGATGCGCTCAAGGAAATCCCTGGAGAGCCTGAAAGCGGGTTCAGGAGGACGTTGAAGAAGGAGCCAGTTGGACCGGCTTTGATTGCATTTGCGTGGAACGTAGGTTATTCTTTTCACTTGATATTCTTCTTCTTCTTCTGACGCTCTGGTTATTTACCCCCGATTCAGTACCCATATCTCATCATGGTCAATGCCCTTGTTCCCGCTTTACTAGCAGGCAACTCTGTCATTCTTCGCCCGTCCCCTCAGACACCCCTGGTCGGCGAGCGACTTGTCGAAATCTTCAACGAAGCCGGTCTGCCACCAAATGTCCTGCAACTCGTCCATATCGGCAGCCTCGACGTACTCGATGAAGCCGCCCAAATCCCCGAAATCGCCCTAGTTTCATTTACCGGCTCGACAGCCGGGGGGGTCCGCATCCGAGAAGCGACTGCCAAGAGAATCGTGCCGGTCAATCTGGAGCTCGGGGGCAAAGACGCTGCATACGTCCGCCCAGATGTCGACGTGGCGTACGTCGCCGCCCAACTCGTGGACGGTGCCATCTTCAACTCCGGGCAGAGCTGTTGCGCTATCGAGAGAGTCTACGTTCATGCCGACGTGCACGACGAATTTGTCATGGAGGTGCAGAAGGAGTTGAAGACATACCGACTGGGAGATCCGACAGACACCACCACGACGGTCGGTCCGGTGATTTCGCAGGCCGCAAAGAAGAACATCCAGAGCCACGTCGATGAGGCGCTATCGCGGGGCGCCGTCAACGCGACGCCTGCCAACGCATCTTTCGAGAACCCACCTTCAGAAGGAAACTATGTCGTCCCCACCGTGCTCGTGGGTGTCGACCATACCATGCAGGTAATGCGTGCCGAGACGTTTGGGCCCGTCCTGCCGATCATGAAAGTCACCAGCGACGAGGAGGCCATTACCTTGATGAACGACAGCGAATACGGCCTGACCGCCAGCGTGTGGACGAAAGATATACCCCGGGGCGAAGAGATTATCGAGCAGCTCGAGGCGGGCACCGTGTTCATCAACCGATGCGACTACCCCAGTCCGGTAAGCAAGATCCTGTTACTCCCCATCTCCTTGATTACTACCCGAGCAGATGCACTGACCGGACTACCTACTTTTTTTCAGGATCTCGCATGGACAGGCTGGAAGAACTCCGGTCTAGGCTGCACATTAGGACCGCACGGTTTTGACGCCTTCTTCAAGCTCAAGAGCTTCCACATCAAGTTGTAACTGCTAGATATATAAGATTTAATACCATTCACGAGCGGTATCGCCTCGAATTACTTCTAAAATCGGAGCAGAATGAAGGAATAGACAAGAAAATAAAGATATGTAATCCTACAAGAACAGGCAGGTCTGTTAAGACGAGTTAAGTTTTGCGTGTCTGATTCTCTATTCTACTGGTAAAAAAGAAATAAAAGGTCAATTATTGAAAAATGATCTTCAACATGTAGTCTATTTAAAAAGCGAGGCTAGCTATAATCTTAATCAGAAGGAGAGCCCTGCACCGTTTAACTAGTTACTCACTTAGATGCAAATCAATAGACTTCAATATATCAACCAAGTACCTAAGCTAGGTCTTACTCATCTCTTGGTTGCTAACATCAGTCGATCTCAAATCCGATGATCGGCATCATTGTTCGTTTCCCGAGAGCGCGGTCCCGGACCGCGCTCTCATTATCTAGTATCTAATGTAGTATGCAGTAAGTAATAGATTCAAGATAGAGATGCGGGGGAATAATAGATATAATAATTAAATTACTGTTCCTAGAAAGACTTGATCTAGATCATCACTTTAACCATCTTAAGCACTTGCCTTGGTATACAATTTCTCTTAATAACCCCCTCGATATACAATAATTATTCTCTAATACTCTTTTCACCATGGGAAGACTTGCGGGAAAGAATGCCATCGTCACCGGTGCTGCGGGGTAGGTGTATATTTTCTTCGTCTCCTTATTTTTCTTCTTCATAGGCTTACAAGTAAACTACAGAGGCATTGGTCTTGAGACTACCATCCTGATGCTCCGCGAAGGCGCCTCCGTGCTGATGACCGACATCACGGCGCCCGGTCTGGAGAAGGCGCTCGCCAAGGTTAACGAGGTTGTGCCGACGCACGATGGCCGAGTCGAGACGCGACTTGTTGATGTTTCCAAGGAGGCCGAGGTGGAGGCTGCGGTGGCGCATCTTGACGCCTGGGGTGGAGTGGACGTCATGTTCAACAATGCGGGCATCATGCACCCGCGGGATGGCGATGCGGAGGAATGCCCCGAGGCCATCTGGGACCTCACCATGTCCATCAATGTCAAGGGCGTATGGTACGGCTCGAAACATGCCGTCAAGAGTCTGCGCAAACACAAGAAAACAAAGGGCAGCATCATCAACACGGCGAGTATGGTGGCCTTGGTTGGGGCGGCCACTCCACAGCTGGCTTATACGGCTAGCAAGGGTGCCGTTTTGGCTCTGACGCGGGAGTTGGCCATTGTCCATGCACGCGAAGGTATAGGTCTTCATGATTCTAGTTTCTGGTGGCATGTTCTAATCATGGTGGTTAAGGATTCCGTTTCAACTCGCTATGCCCGGCTCCTCTCAAGTATGTTTTTTTTTCAACATTCTTCTTGCGTTCAAAAGAAAAAAAGGACGTACTAATTTGAAATAGCACCCCTTTGCTGCAAGACTGGCTCGGTGATGACAAGGCCAAGCGTTTCCGGCGCGAAGTGCATTTCCCAACTGGTCGCTTCGGTGAAGCGATTGAACAGGCCCATGCGGTGGTTTTCTTGGCCAGTGATGAGAGTAGCTTCGTCAATGCCGCTGACTTTGTGGTAGATGGGGGTCTGACCAAGGCGTATGTTACGCCGGAAGGGCCAGCTACCGAGGCACCCAAGAATCTTGGTCATTAGGATTTGTGATTAATGTTCCAGTCATGAATATGAATGATGATCCTTCTATTATATCTTGGGGTAGGTTCGCATAGGCATAGAGAGACCCGCTCAATCATGCAAATGATATCCAGATTTGATTTCGTTGCATTGCCAGGGAGATATTCCACGGCCCGCATTCATTACGGGGCATTTCCCACATGTGTTCCAGTAAGAGAAGCGTCCTCTGCATGTTCCCTAGCCCAAAAGTATCCACCATGACATTTAGTCGATGCCTGAGGGTTTCCTGTTGCATAGGGTCATTTAAGCATGACCCAACCACAGCGATGGGCCAGCACAGTCCTGAGTTGATGCGAGCTGTAGGAGAAAGCTGGTCAAGGTAAGACATAGCTGCTATGGTCGCAGTATCGATCATTGACTGGTGCATCCCATTTTCCAGTCGGTTGAAGCAGTTCAGCGACGTAAACAAATATATGAGCATGGCTTGCTGGAAGATCCGACCGGCTTGAAACACGTCTGGCGTGACGGACGGGTACGGTGACCAGCGCAAGATTTGGCCTTGGATGGAGGCAAACATGGCAAGATCATCGGCGGTGGGCATTTTGGGCACCCCGTCGCTCGTCATCCACTGCCGACCCAGTTCAAATATGCATGGAACCAAGAGGAGAAGTTCCAACCAGCACCCACAGAGGTTGCCAACGTATTCCCGAGTCAGGAGTTCCCGTGCCCGTTGTTCAAGGTCCAGATCAAGAAGCAGCTGAGGGCTTGCTCGAGCATCAATCGAGATCATGCTCACTGATGCCGTGTATGTGTAATACTCGATAACGAATTCTTTGAGATCTTTCGGCACAGCGGCGTCACTCTGCGACAGGAGGCGCAGCAGTAGTGAGTTTGCAGCTGTGAGATGATCGAAAATTGCGCCGTTCATATCGCCTTTAGCTGTCTACATATAAATCAGAATCTCAGTCTTCAGAGTTTGAGGGTAGGGGGTTGTTAATATACCTCGGTGAAGCACATTAATAGCGCCCCTACAGTCAGCAAGAGAGAATTTGACTCTTTGCCCTCGATGAACTCGGTGACGCCTTTCCTGAATCGTTGCAAGGCTTTGCCATAATGGTTTTGTGCAACTGTGTCCGACTCGTCTCGCCGCCGGAAGGCTCGATGAGCGGCACTCTGTGTCAAGACGAGCTGGAGCAAAAGATCACTGGAAAAAGCCAGTGGGACGATCTGGACCAAGAAGGGATTGATCGGTGTTGACCCATTGGCCATGCAGTCCGCCGTCGTAGCTAGATAGTGGTTTAGAAGCTGGAAAGACTCTTCGTCGTACCCTGGCAGCAACGACAGCTGGCGAGGGATGCACTCCTCTTCCTCCGCGGGCGGCCTTCTGGTGCGAACCTCCAATTCCTGGCTGGTACACGAAGACTCCTGCAGTTGATATGGAGGTTCCTCGGGCCCCGTGGGCGTGGGTGATGAAACGAAATTCTCTGTTGTTCCATGAGGCGAAAGCTCCTCGCTCCGGACAGATGAAGAACTGTCGCCGAAAGATTGGACGAGCGAGCTGGCCGAGTCGTACTGCGGCACCTGTTCAATTGTCTGGGACGATCGATCCTGAAAGACGCCTCGAAGCCTCGATGTCGCCGCTCTGTCGACACAGACGCTGGCCGGCCACTCGCAGTTGAGCTTGTTTCGAACACATCCGCCGCAGACTGGCTTCGTCTCGTCGCAGCGCTTTTTGCGGCGTCTGCAGGTAAAACAGCCGGTCCTAACACGAGTGATCGGCTGTGTCCTCGGGCGCTTGGGAGGCCCCGTCGTCTGTATCCCAGACATCTCCTTCTACTGCTGCTGCTGCTGCTGCTGCTGCTGCTGATGGAAAGGGGTGTTTGGGGGGCGGGGAAGATAAAGCTGGAGAAGAGGCCGATAAGGAGAGGAGGTCCTTCCTTTTGCAGTTGGCTACGGTGGACTTTAGACGACTTTGTGCAAATAGATTCACAAATACTAGTGATTACTGTAATATTAGATAGAATATGCTAGATTATGTACTATCTACTAGGTTACTATTCTATAAAGTAGAAGATTGCTGGAAAACATGTCTTTTGAAATCATAGAACTGTCTTTTTGGCACTTTTTTATTGGCTGGATAGTGCTCCATGTCGCACGTGATTAAATAATTTAAATAGATTATATAGAGGAATTGAAGAAATGATTCCAATGATTCTAATAATTCTATAAATTATTGAATTATCTATCATTATGTAGTGGTGTTATGGTAGAGTAGATTCCTTACTCTGGTCAGAAGGTAATACAAAAGATTCCCTTCTACAGCAATATCAAATAAAGAGCTGAAAGATTATAGATCTGGACTATAGATCTAGAGACTGGCAAACTCCCTCTTGAACCTCTTCTACTATTTCATCTGCCCCTTTGACCTCCCTAACCAGCCCAATGGAAGCTCCAGCATATGTAGCCAGTCGCCCTTCTGGTCCCCAGCCCTGATCCCCAGCCTTGGCTGCCTCGTCGTGTCTCTTCTTCAGCTCTGCAAAGGGCACGCCCGCCAGATAGTCAGACCAGCTTCGATTCGTGATCGTGCGTGGAGAGAAGCAGTCGGGCCAGCCCACCGTCCCGCGCAGCTGGTTGTACAGCGTCGTTCTTGTGGTGTTGGCCGCCCCGTCAGTAGCTCGAACCACCTCGTCTTGATACCCTTTGCTAATCCGTGCCTCGCTGGCAGCCAGGAACCGAGTCCCCATCGCCACCCCGGACGCACCGAGACATAACACCGCCGCGGCGCCTCGTGCGTCGGCGACCCCCCCCGCCCCGACGAGAGCGATATCCTCCCGTGCGTGAAACGCGTCCGCCATCTCAGGCAACAGGCTTACAAGACCTAGTCCGTCTTTCGCGCGGCCATGTCCCCCGGCCTCGGCCCCTTGCACCACCACCACATCGGGAGCGGACCGGCTGGCGAGGAGGGCTTTCGCCTCCGCGAGAGTCCCGATCTGGACCCAGATTTTCGTCTGCGACGAGACTCGCCGGATATGTTCTGTCCAGCTGTCGAATTCGCGTTGGCCCTTCTCTATCTCCTCCTCGCGTGGAGCAAACAGCCACGTCGCGCAGGGCTTGTATTCTTCGATCGCCGAGACGGCCGTCTCGGCATCATCGTTCCAGAGCTGGAATCCCACCCCGACCGGAAGATGGCCGCTCTCCGACAGATGTCTTGCCAGGCGTGCGTTTGCTCTGTCCGCTTCAATCCGCGACCGGGCTTCCTCCAGGTCGCCAAACGTGTCCTTGGTCTTGGCAGAGGGCCCGATGAATCCCAACCCGCCAGCGCGCGACACGGCAACCGCCAACGCTGGGCCGGACATGATCCGCATCGGCGCACCGACAATCAGGGGCGTGGATGTCCATGGATAGGCGGCAGACAGCTTGCGGGTGAGGTTCTTTATTTGCGACATTTTTTCTTTCTTTCTTTTGAAGACACGCCTTGACTTGGATCTCTGCCCTTTGATTCTGTGGCTTCACTATTCGTAACCAGTACGCAGTATTAAAAAATATAGAAATGGAGTCCTCAATCAGTAACTGATTGTAGAATTCGAATCAAGAACTCTTATAATTGTAGTTCTCGTGTTCTTTAAAGGCCAAAGGCGGATATGCGGAGATGCGGAGACGCGGCAATCGGAAATAATGATGCTATGATTTTAACTATCAACCATTTAATTGATTATTATCAATTAATTATCAATACAGAAAATCTATTATTAAAAAGCTATGTACTACCTAGGTACTCTGCAAGCCAGCCAACATCTCTCTCGCCCTTTTCTCCCCCCCGTCAAACCCCCCATTGAACATACCAGGCAACACCCGCGCCGAATTGGCATGTTCGTCGTCAAAGACCGGCCCTTCCCACCCCTTGTCTCGACAGAACTTCACTGCCTCCTCGAGCAGATCCCTTCCCACGCCCTTCCCCCGATACCGCTGCTTCACCGTCCATGCGCGAATCACCCCGGTTTGTTTCTTTTGCTCCGCTAACACCAGTGTTCCGATGATATTCTCTCCAAACTTGGTGACCAGCATAGTTGACTTAGTAGAGTCGAAACCAGCACCGGTATCAGTTGCAGTTGTAGTTGCAGTGTTCAACCACTTCCAGGTCCCCACTCGTTCCGCCTCGTCGATATACCCCCCCGTCAAGTAGCGCACAGCAAGCAGCAAAGCCATCACACACCCCGCCCACGTCGTCAGGATAAGCGGCCAGTCGCCCCGTGTCTTGTAGAGGATTCGGTATGCCACCGCGAGCGGGACCATGGCAACCCCCACGCTGACAGGGTGGAAGATCACAGACCGCGCGGCCAGTTGGCGTTGCTGTGCGACGCTGTCGGCTATCAGCTTCAGGCTGGCGATTTGGTCGGCCTCGTCCGCGGCGGGATACGTGGTGAGTTGAGGGATTTCTTCTGCCATGACCCGATTTGAAGCTCGCTTAGAGCTGTAGAAGAATTAGGAATAAGTAGAGTGGGAGAAAGTATGGTAAAAGGATAGGGAAAAAGTATAGGAGAGTATGGTGAAGGTATGGTGAAAAAGTAGAGAGAAAGTATGGTGAAAAGTATGGGAATGAGGGAGGGGGAAGAGGGAGGGGGAAGAAGGAAGAAATAGAAGAAATATCCAAGCGAGGCGAGTACCACAGATTATGATCTAGCTTTGAATCAACTGGCTCAAACTCTATTATGAGTTGAATTATCATGTTCAGTCGCTGAGTACTCTTACAGACTCGCTATTCAGTTGGCGTAACGTATCTGGCCTATACTAAAACTTCCGTTTTGGGCACTCTTGTCATGAATGGGTTACTAAAAGCTAAACTAAAACTATGCTAAGCTAGCTTTTGCTATTAAGAGAGCTACAGTCATCTAATGCCAGCTCTGTGTAAGATAGCTGTAAAGTACAAGAGAACAAATGTGAAGTAGAAAAAGCTTGCGCATCACACCAGCAAGAAGCAACGTCCGAGGATCGTGGCAAGTCTGCAGCAAGAAAACTCTCCCACCTAGGATAAGCAAAGCAACGCTCTACTCGGCAGTGGCAACAGCTTCATTGCCCTTGGCCTGACCTTCCTCGGCCAGCTTGGGGTGGTGGTCATTCAGAGACTCGTTGCGCGGAGTGTCCAGAGGAGACTCGCCAGCCAGCTCCTCGAGGGTCCGGCGCTTGGTCTCAGGAATGAGGAGGGTGGTGAAGCAACCACAGAGCATGAACAGAGCAAAAATCTGCATCACGTGCTTGAGCCAGGGAGTGTCGGAGGAGTTCTTGGCTCCCTTGTGCACCAGAGGTCCAAAGACACACTGCGCGATGATCGCACCGACCTTTCCAGAAGCAGCTGAGAAGCCGTGAGAGGTGGAGCGATAGCGGGTCGGGAAGCATTCTCCAGGAACGATGAAGGTCGTCGCATTGGGGCCGAAGTTGAAAAAGAACTGGGCAAGGACATACAAGCCGAGCAGGCCGTTGTGAGAGTGCAAGAGAGGATCATAAGCAAAGCCAATGACAATGAACAGGATGGTCAGAAGGATAAAGCCGCCCAGTTGGATTGTCTTGCGACCGATGGTGTCGACAGTTGCGACGGTCATCCAGTACCCGGGAATGGCACCCGCACAAATCAGGATCAAGTTACCCACGGCACTGCGGTAGAAGACCTCGTAGACGTTATTGCCACCGGTCCAGCCAATAGCACCGAGAATAATTGAGTTGTTCAAACCGAGACCGTAGAAAGCTGTTTTTCCATCCCTGTCAGCGTTTTGTGTTCTGGTGTTATTGTGGTATGATTTACTACTTACCGACATCAAGGAAGAACCAGGAGCCAGCGGTACCTAGGAGAACCTTGCCATGCTTCCACTGGGAGTAATGAGCGACAAAGTCCGAGAAGCTGGCCTTGGGGGTGGCAAGCTCGGGACTCTGGTTCTGGAGACCAGCAGCGTGTTGGATTTCATCGGGATGGCCCTCATGCTTTCCAGCCATGTAGGCACGGATGTCCTCATCAGCCTGGACAACGTCGCGAGCAACATCGAAAGTGTAACGAGGGGTCTCGGGAATGGTGAGACGGTAGTAGAGAGCAATACAGGCAGGCACAGCACCGAACCCGATGATGACACGCCACATCTTATCAACAGCAAGCTGGCAGACGCCGCTGCACTTGCCAACAGACGAGGCAGTCTCAAGAGACTCGCGGAAGCCCGCAGTGACGATGAGTGCCATGATGGCCGCACCGAACTGACCGAATCCCTGCATGGCAAAGACGGAACCCATCATGGCACCTCTCCACTTGGTGGTCGCGAATCTACAAACATCATGACCGTCAGTGGAAGCGTTTTCAAAGATCTAAGTAAAAAAAAAAAAAACTAATACTCACTCAGAAGTAATGATGGAAGACAGAGGATAGTCACCACCGATACCGATACCCATGATGACACGCCAAAAGATGAGAATACCGACAATAGACAGAGCGCGAGAGTCCGAGGAGAGAGCCTGAGCCAAGGTGGCAAAGATAATGATCAAGAGTTCAATGCCGTACATACGCTTACGACCGACACGATCGGCAAGCCAACCGAAAAGGAGCTGACCGATGACCGTACCACCAGAGGTCGAGACCTTGATGGCGGTATCCGCACTGGAAGTGATCTTTCCAGGGTTTGATTTGGCATCCTGCCAGTAGACCACGCCCAACATGGCAGAGCACAGGTTAATGGCAAAGATATCGTACGAGTCGGTGAAGAAACCAACACCGGCCACGACGACGGCACGAACGTGATACCAACCAAACTTTGCCTTGTCGATCTCGGCCAGAGCGAGACGACGACGCTCGTTGGGATCAGCGACATGGGCAAAGTCGTTGTGGAAGTTGTGGAAGGCCGAGTTGCCCCCGGAGGTGAGAGTAGTCGCCATGATGAGGGTCGGAAAGAAAGGGTGGGATTCCGATCTTGATATCTCTCGATCGTCCCAAGAAGGGAAGAGGAATGGAAAGAATGGATTCTCGTCGGGGAAGAAGAAGGAGAGAAGCAGGAGAGAAGGAGAGAAAGGCAGGACGGGGGAGGGGGAAGAGGGACGGTAGAAATACAAGAGCCCAGGAGGGGAGGCAGCACGTGGGCAAACGCGCGCTGTCACTCAATTCCTCTGGTACGAGTGAAAGAAGTTCCAGAACGTTGGAAGACGACGAAATTCCCTCGAGTTGCTTGCTCACGTGCCACTCTGGGGCCCGAAATGGAAGGCGATGCTCACGCAGAGGGCAGCAACGTGGAGGACTCAGTGGCCAGGAGTGACACTTGGCCGAGGGGTTTCATCCACCCTTCCGCTGGGCGCAGTGAATGGATTGGATTTCCTCCTCCTTCTCAACTGCCTGCTCCTCCATCTAGTCCTCATTATTGCCTAGAACAAAATTCAGCCTTGGAACCTCGGTGAGCTGGTCTTGGTACCTGGGCACCATCAGGGGAGGGAAGGCCTGTCCACTGCGGATTATAGTTTGGACACCGGGTGGTACAGAGTATAACATAGGACTTTTGCGTTGCATGGCGAATTGTCTACGGCTGGGCAAAACCACCCAAGCCTCTGTGGCGGCTGCCAAGCGAGGCTCCGACGGTGGAAGTCGTCTGGCTCCGCCTTCCAAGGTTTTTATATCTCTGGCGCAAGCGAGTGCCTGAAAGCATGCCATGAGGACTGGGGGCCAATCATAGCGCGGGACACCACCTCGTGCCTGTACTCCCGGCGCCGGATGGGCCACCAACGCCCGCTGCACGTCTGTGGGTGCCAAGAAATCCCGAGAACCTTGGCGGGCGCGGGCGGAAGACGAGAAAACCAGGAAAAAAGGCGCTGATAATAATATAAAAGAGAAGAATTAACACCTCGCCAATTACAGGGGACTGTGTTTACACGTGGGTTATCAGAGTGAGGATTGAGTTCACCCAGGTACTTCCATAGGTAAAGGTACTGCCCAGTTGATTAGTAAGACCAAACTCTCAATTTACTCAATCCTTGTATTACTACTAGTACTACTTAGTACCTAAGGTAGCTTCGCTTTGTACTCAGGAATTTCCTCGGGGTCGCTCTACATCCCTACTCTGTTGAAGCTCTCGGTGCGCGTGCTCAATGACCTGAACAGCCAGGTTACCAGGTAACTGACTCCTCTGCTGTTGCTCTTCCCAGGGAATCGCATCGTGGACGTGACACGGATGACAGCCATGACGTTGTCAGCGTTTGATCATTGCTACCTAGGTAGGCATCCAGCTCACGTCACGACCTATCGGACAGTATTTTCCGGCAGATGATGCAAATATTCTTGATTTCACATGAACTTTGGCAGTTCGAAGTATGTTACTCGTACCTATGCTTTCCGTGGCAACTCTGATGACCGCAACTCTTGACGAAGTAAGTGTCGTACCAGCAATACCGAGACAGCAAGGAGAACCATCCAATAAATATCGGTCACCGGGAATACCCGCTCATCGTCCATCTCTCAAATCTCTTCTGTTCTACATTCGGGGGATTTTGTCCCTCTGGAGGGTGACACGACCCTTTGTTCTGTCCTTGCTGACTACAGCCGCATTCGCTCCCCATGTGTACCTCGAGAAGAACGCCTGGATACGTCATCTCCACCACTCTGTACGACGACTGCTATGATTGCAGTGGTTCCGGCCTGATAGAAGGGGATAACTCTGTGATGGCAAGATGAATTACAGCTGTTAAGGTCTTGTTCAACCATTGAACACAGCCACTTTTCACTGTGTCTGTTCCCAAGTCAAATGACGCGACCTTCGGACTCTGTGATAAGAGTATACCTCGGTTGTTCATGCTCAGACTTCCTCGACCTCTGACGGAAATCATCTAGTCTACCTTTGAGAGGTATATCTCTGATATAGCTTCTGTACATAGAGAGTCTCAGGTTCAGCAATGTCAAGAAAGACAGACCTATAATCTATCAGGTATATACATATCGGAACTCGTGTCCGGCCGTCGCCATAGCTCGATCAGAACTACAAACATCGTCTTCTTCGAACGAGAAAGAATGTCTTCTTCAACGCCACTTGACCGTCCTTTCGAATCTTCCATCAAACTCCCTTTCGCCTCCTCTGTCATCTTACTCTCATACCGACGTATCTCCTAACTATCTCTTGCCATCTCAGATACCTAGCTTTATATAGCCATCGCATGCTCACGTCTATCAAGTAGAATCTCTTACAACCTTTGAATCGAATAAAAAGTGACTTTGTACCTTGACAATGGGATCCGACGACGCACCCATCGAACACAAAGCCCGCGGCTACAAAGCGTAACTACACCAACAATTACATGTATATATGTGTGTATATATATTGATATGATTTAGTGCAATTTCGAACCCCCATGTTTCAGGTCCTGCCAAAGCACATGCCCAGCAGGAACTAGACAGATATGATCTCGAGAAAACGCTGGGGGAGGGGGAGAAGCCAGTGGAGAACGTGAAGTCTGGTTTGAAGGCGTACGTATTCTCCTACCCCTCGTTTTTATTGCCCTCGTCTAAACATATGATAGGGCGTTAAGTAATCCCAATAATACGGAGATGGGCAAGATGAAGGCCAGGCAGAAGTTAGAGTCGATGGGGGAAGAGCCAGAGCAGCCTGTTGATTAAATATTAGTTGGGGGGAGGGAGGGTAGAAAGAGATGAAAAGATAGAGAATGTATTTTATATAAACTAACTACTCCGTATCTCTACTCCGTACTGCCGTATGACCAATCCCTTATTATATCCATTATAATTAATAGTGTTGACGGTGATTCTGATAGATAAATAGACATGTCTAATTCGATCAGTCAGACTCCGATTTCCTCCAACAGTATTCAAGTTCAGATCGCAAGAACACTGCAGAGGCTCAAAGGTCCTATTTCATCCTACTGCAGAGCTACGTGTCGCGATTCGACGTACAGATGCCTAGTCCCAAAGAATCAATGGGATCGGAATGGCTCGCTTAAAGGTATAGACGCTTCAAGATGACGATCGGGGAGTATCTGCAGATTATACGTATGGTTATCTGCAGGAATGATGATATACCGCCAGGCGCACGTGTTGGTTGACAGCTTCACTCCTCCTTCGACTCAGACCGGATCCCTCCATAACTCCTGTCCCTGTTCGTTGAATATGAATAAAAAGAGAGGTTTTCAATATGTTTGAGGACCCCTCTTCTTCCCATCCATCACTCTTCCACGCCGTTCGCCATCGTCCGTGGGCTCGGTAGAACGATCTGGCGCGGGAACCAGCACCCAGAAATCGATCGAAGGCTTGCGTCGACGTATTAATATTCTCTCCTCGCCAAATCAGATGGTTCAATAAGAGATTCTCCGATCATCCCTTGCACAAGACAAATAGTCCGAGTACTTTTTTTGCCAGTACTGACTACGGAGTAGTTGATCGCAATCACAATCCAGGCCGTGCTACTTCGTACACCTTGAATCCTACCCCGCTCTCTCTCTCTCTCTCACCATGTCGCCACGTGCTATTGTCTTCGACCTCCTCACCGCGTTGCTCGACAGCTGGACGCTGTGGAACAAGGCGGCAGGCAGCGAGGCCGCCGGCCGTCGCTGGCGCGCCCGATACCTTGAGCTGACCTTTGGCTGTGGTGCGTACCGGCCCTACGAGGATCTGGTGCGCGAGTCCGCCCGCGACGCAGGCCTGGACCACTCCGTCCCCGAATCCCTCCTAGCCACCTGGGACGAGCTGCAGCCGTGGCCCGAAGCGCCAGAGGTTCTCCGCCAGCTCCGCCAGGCAGGGTACCTCCTCGGCGTGGTGACCAATTGCTCTATGGAACGTGGTCGCCGGGCCGCGGCGCGCTGCGAGGAGGCCGCAGCGGTGTCGTCGGCACCGTGCACTGGGCGTCAAGATTCGCCCTTGTTTCTATTCGACGTCGTCATCACCGCAGAGGAGAGCGGCTTCTACAAGCCCCGCGCGGAAGCGTATGCGGCTGTTCTTGCCGCCTTGGGCGTGCAGCCTGCCGACGCCCTCTTCGTCGCGGGGAGCAGTGGCGATGTCCTCGGCGCTGCCAAGGTCGGCATGCCTGTCGTCTGGCATAACCGTATCGGCCTCAAGCCCCTCCCGGGCTCTGCTCCCCTTATCCATGGCCAGTCCTTGCGTGAGGTTCTGTTTCCCCTCCTTTCCCTTCCTCACCAAGATGCAGTACCTGCTGGCGTCGTCGACATTCCGCATCACCACCACCATCATCATGCCACTTGTATGCAGAATGGTGATATTCGCGTCGAGCCAGTCGAAATATAAATACCGACTAGTTACTCCTGCATGACGAAACCGAAACGGATCTCATTAGTCGAAACATCACCTTCCGGTCTTGACGTTTTTTTCTTTCCCTCATTCGATCATACATCGTCTAAGCGTATAGATTCGGCATACAAATCTGTATTTATATATATATATACACTGCACATATTCATCGCACAACGGCTTATACTTAATAGCATATAAACCATTCGGGATGCACAACAGATATACAAATATACCAAATCGATGTGAACCCAGCTTCTCTCTACTTCACTTTAGCCAGTTTCATTCTAATAATCAATTAAAATATCTATCATGGTTAAGATGTAGCAGTCGAAGAAAAGTCAATATCATCAGCTCCATATTTCTCCAGTGACTCGTTTGAGATGCTCCGAGGAGCAAAGACATGATGGCCAAATAAAAAAATACAGTCGAAACATACATCACGCCGACATGGCATGCAGGATGACAAAGGAAAAAAAGGAGGCAACAAAGGAAAATCTGTATTACATAAGAAAAATGAAGCGAAAATAACAAGACCGGCGAGTATTTTTTCTTTCATCGCGTCTTGATTTTTATGTCGCTCACAAAATAAAAAAAAGGAGGAAAAAGGAGAAAACAACATCCCACCCCATGGAAGATTACTCCGGCTTACGCCCAACCATGAGGTACATCGGGGTGAAGAGATGCTTCTCACCTCCCTCAACGAGACAGTCGGCAGCCAGAGCCAAGCTGTCAGCCGTCTTCTGGGTGCCGTGAGGAAAGAGTCGGAGGGTCTCCATGGCGCCGACGAACTTGTGGACGAGGCCACGGCCCCACCATGTCATGCGAGCGATGGTAAAGAAATCCCAGGGAGACTGCATGTGCTTGAAGGAACCGGCCAGAGGGTAGTACCAGGGGACGGTGTCGTTGCGATCAGCAAGATCCTCGTGGTGAAGAAGCTCGAATCCCGCGCCGCGGATGGCCTGCAGACCTTCGGAAATTTTCACCATGTTGGAAATTCCATCACCCTGCTCGATGCCCAGACGCACCCTGCGGTGGTCCGCATTGTCATTGTCATACTCATCAGTCATGAGCCACTCATAGACACCAAAGATACCACCGGGCTTCAAAACACGGAAGATTTCCCGGTAGACGCCCTCCAGCTCGGGGGCATGGACGGTGGCCTCGATAGCGTAGACGGCATCAAAGGAGTTGTCGGGGAACTTCATCTGCATAAAGTCACCCTTGACAAAGCTCAGCTTGTCGGTCAGACCATCGCGAGCAGCATACGACGTGGCACGCTGGATCTGGTAGTCGTTGTTGTTCAGACCGACAACACTGGCACCGGTGAACTTGACAATCTCGCGGGCGGGGCCGCCAACGCCACAGCCGACATCTAGCACCTTCATGCCCTCCTTGATTCCAATCTGGTGGGCGAGGTAGTGCTCATGGCGGGCAATGGCCTGATGGAAGGGCTCGCCGTACGCGAAACGGCAGAAGTGGAAGGAACCACCCCATCCGTTCTCGTAGAGATCAGTCGCCAGGTTGTAGTAGCTATCCAAGAAACAGCATTTAGCACCGTGTACGGAATCATATGATGTGTGCGTTGCGACTTGACTTACTGTCTGGTCAGGGTAGCATATTCAGCGCGACGAGCCTGTTTTTGCGGTGGTCAAATCAGCCCATGATCTTTGCCAATCAGCAAATCAACTATCCCAGGATCTCACTAACAGCACGGATCTCCTCAGTCTCCGTCTCCGCCTCCTTGTTATCCCAGTGCTTGAAGTACTCGTCAACGGCAGCCTTTTGCGCCGCGGAATCTTTGGCGCGCATGGCGGCCATACCGCCACGGGCTTGCGAGGACTTGCCGTGCATGGCAACGTTGAAGTCCGCATCGCGCTGGTGATCTTCTCTTTCCAATGATGCGGGAGCCATTTTTGATAGCAATTGGCCGAAAATATTCCAACTTTTCTGAGGCGTAGGGGTCGTAAAAGAAAAAGGGGGAGGTAATCGGAATCGATACGTGGAGACTCGTAAACGGTTGAAAAAAAAAAAGGCAGATGACGAGATGAAGAAAACAACACTCGAAAAATTATTAAAAGTGTATCAACACCAATTCAACACCGACAAACGAAGCGAAGACAGCACAGTCCGGGCGAGGGCAGGCAGAAGAAATAACAGGGCTGCTGGACAATTACACGCAAAGGCGACGGACATCGAGGAAAGGAGTGTTTCGTCGGGACGGACCACGCTTTGCCCTTTCCAGACAATGGTGGGCCCGGCCAATGAGGGCTCCGGCCTGGAGCCGATGGGCACGCTAGACCCGAAGGAGGAATGGGGGTTCGCCGCATGTCGGATCTCGACCTTCCCGGCATCCGCTGGGAGTGAGCTGATGTCGCTTTCGCATGTGAAAACCTGCGGGGAGGCCAGGAATTATCGAGTTGTCCTTGCTTGGGAGGTCGAATGGGAGGGAATTAATTGATAACGAAATGGGCTGGGTGCACTGGGGTTTGAGGGCACCGAAGGGTCGTACGTAATTTTGGCTCTATGTGGCTCTCTGCCAGCCCAGCGCATTTCTCTAGAATGACGATCACGTGAATCACGTGATACTTATTATGTCATCACATCAGCCACGGTGGCGCACAGCCTCTGGGCCACATCCATCTTGGCGGGAGAAGAAGTCTCTCGTATCGATAATCGAGATAGACGTGCGAACTGTCGCGGCGTCAACGGTCACACAGCTTGCTCGTCGCACTTGCAGCTTGGTTCATTGATTTTATCTCAGGCTCTACGGGCACCGTTCGTCCAGTATGCCTCCCCAGATCAAGCAGGACCTCAACCGGTCCGGGTGGGAGTCGACGGACTTCCCCTCTGTTTGTGAGAGTTGCCTCCCAGACAACCCCTACGTGCAGATGTTGAAGGAGGATTACGGTGCGGAGTGTAAGATTGTAAGTGTGCCAGTTTTCTGCTGACCCTAATTTTTGCTTTCGGGCTAATCGGATAGTGTACGCGCCCTTTCACCATCTTTCGCTGGAAGGCCGACCGCACGGCGCGGACCAAGCGGACCGCGATCTGCTTGACCTGCGCTCGTTTGAAGAATTGCTGTCAGTCATGCATGCTGGACCTGTCTTTTGGTCTGCCGATCGTCGTCCGAGATGCAGCACTCAAGATGGTGGCACCCGGGCCGCAGAGCTCGATCAACCGCGAATATTACGCCCAGGAACACGAGAAGGAACTCGAGGAAGGCCGGGGAGCGGTGGAGGAATACGAAAAGACCGACGAGAAGGCCCGTGAACTGCTGCGACGCCTCGCTACCAGCGGACCGTACTACCGCAAACCACGCGCCATCGAAGGGTCCGCTGATGCAGAGGGAGACGCGCCGGGGCCGTCGTCGTCGGAGCCCGCATCTGCCACGCACAGTCGCTATGGCAATGGACCTGGACCCATCCGCACAAGCGACAGCCGGCGAGGCACCACGCTACCGGGACGAGGGCGTGGGAACATGCGTGGTGGTCGTGGTGGTCCTGGTGGTGGCTCTCGTGGAGGACGTTCATTCCCGAGTACTGCGCAGCTTCCTCCCTCGGCGGAGGACATCTTGCCACCTGCTGATCCCAACATCACCTCTCTCTTTGTAACCGGTGTGGAGGACGATCTTCCCGAGCATGAACTGCGGGCATTTTTCACACAGTTCGGCCAGTTGCGCTCACTGATCTGCTCTCATCGTTCCCACTGTGCCTTTGTCAACTACGCCACACGCGACAGCGCTGAGGCCGCTGCCAAACAGTGCCAGGGCAAGGCTGTCATTAAAGGCTGTCCTCTACGCATCCGCTGGGGCAAACCGAAGCCCCTGGACAGCATGGATCGTGAAGAGCGGATCAAGAATGCTAGAGAAGGAAGATCAGCCGCCGGCCAAGGCCGCAGACCAGCCGCTGGCAACAGAGCGATCACGGCAGCCGGGGAGAGCGGAACCGAGACACAGGCGGCGGCGTATGCTCTTGCACCACCACCTGGCACCGGCGAAGTTCAATACTCCAGCCTGTCTGGTGATTGAACGTCTCTTTTCTTTTGACTTGGCTTATACTAAAGTAGGAAGGCATTTGCATGTATTCTAGAGCGGGCGTTCACTTTTTCTGTCTTCCTTCTAACCAGTGCTTGTTTCTCACATCTTTACACAATTATCCAAAGAATGAAAAATACCCAAAGAAACGCCAGTAGTAAGCAGTATAAATGCAATGAAAAGAGATGGTGCGGGTATACTATAATACAGTCGTCCAGTCGTTCTCGACGGCGTAGTTTGGCTTGGCGACAAGACTTGTCGAGTTCACCTAGACAGCAGGGCATATATCCCTCAAACGGCTATTACGATCCACAAGCCTTGTCAATCTTGACGCTCTTCCCTCCGATCTTGACCGAGTCGTTGTCTCCTCGTTCGATGTCATCGTGGATGCGGAGCTCTGCAGATGAAATCAACCCGTCAGCTTCGATATCTGGAAAGAAACAGAGTAACCCTATAAACACCCGAATTCAGGCATTGTCCGACACATACCCCATTTTGAATCCTCTTTTTGCCCATCCTTCACTCCCTGTACGATATTATGTCTCAAGATGGTAGCCACTTCGATGGCGTGGTTGATGTGCATCGGGGTATCGATTCCAACTCGGTGGTTCTGGTCGAAATTCCGGCGAGCCTCCTGACGGGCAGCAATGAGCACGCGTACATCGTCTACTCAGTTAGCTTGACTATTGCAGCTCTGTCGGACAGCAAGTGTCGCTTTACCCTGGAAGGCGATGCGGGTGGCCCGGAGCAGCTGCCGGTAGGCGCTTCGCGCTGAGAGAGTAGGTGCTGCAGCCATCTAGAAGGCAAAATGATAAAGCAATGAGACAGAAACAAAAGAGAAGGTATCCCACTAGCAGTAGGACTGTCTTTGTATATTCACAGAGTGCCTAGAAAATCCTTAGATTTCCGGACAGCGGCAGGGAGGTGGCACCAATTGACGGACACTCTCCAAAGACGACAGTCCTCAACAAAGCATCCACAAGAGAAGATCCTATCACAGACCTCAGTAGAACACAAGCGAAAGCCTCAGAGCAGACACAGCAACACCCAGAATTCTGTAGAGAATCTCTTTCATCACCGCCAAACGCCGCCGTGACATCTCCGAAACAGCCATGCCATTATTGGCCGGTTCCTGGGCGGTTGTGCCTGGCAGAAAAAACTGCCGTCTTCAGGGCACAAAAACAATTTTCCCCCGCCCGCCAAAGGCATCAGTCGATCTTTTAATTCCGTGCTTTCCTTTCCTTTGCATCTTCTCGCAGACTCTGTGTCTATAGAAATAGAAAAAAAAATGGCCTCTGCTCAGGTCTTCAACATTACCCTCCCGGCCCTGCCGGAGGGTTGGTCTGCCGATAAGGATTTCAAGGCTGTGGGCTCTGTGTCTGCTGCGACGCAACGCAACCTGGAGCCGGTTGGCCCTCACTTCCTGGCCCACGCTCGCCGGGTATGTTCATTTTAAGATTTGCCCTGTGGTTTCTTGTGTACTTTTGGTATGAACTACCTTTGGATTGCTAATAGCCCTCTAGAAGCGCCACCAGCGCACCTTCTCGGAGGACGAGAGAATCCAGGCCCAACAGAACGTCAAGAAGACCGAGGAGGATGAGGACGATGAGATTTCTGAGCCGGAAGACCCTATGATGCTGTCCAGGGATGCCAAGGACTGGAAGGTATGTTCTCGTGGTTCCTATGCCTTTCGTTTCTACAGATTTGGCTCACAGTAGTCTCACAGGCGCAAGACCACTATGCTGTTCTCGGTCTGAGCAAGTACCGCTGGCGCGCGACCCCCGAGCAGATCAAGCGTGCCCACCGCAAGAAGGTGCTCCGTCACCACCCCGACAAGAAGGCTGCTATGGGTCAGACCGACGAGAACGACAACTTCTTCAAGTGCATACAGAAGGCTACCGAACTGCTCCTGGACCCCGTCAGACGTCGCCAGTTCGACTCTGTCGACGAGGCTGCTGACGTTGAGCCCCCCACCAAGAAGGAGGCCGCCAAGGGCAACTTCTACAAGCTCTGGAGCAAGGCGTTTGTTGCCGAGGGCCGTTTCTCCAAGAAGCAGCCCGTGCCGACACTTGGCAACGAGGACAGCACCAAGGAAGAGGTCGAGGGCTTCTACGACTTCTGGTACAACTTTGACAGCTGGCGTACCTTCGAGTACCTCGACGAGGATGTGCCCGATGACAACGAGAACCGTGATCAGAAGCGTCACGTGGAGAAGAAGAACGCCAACGCTCGCCGCAAGCGCAAGACCGAGGACAACACTCGCCTGCGCCACATGATTGACGAGTGTCTTGCCAACGATGAGCGGATCAAGAAGTTCCGTCAGCAGGCCCGCGCCGGCAAGGACAAGAAGCGTCTGGAGAAGGAGGCGGAAGCCAAGCGTCTTGCTGAGGAGAAGGAGAAGGCCCGTGTGGAGGAGGAGCAGCGTAAGAAGGAGGCCGAGGAGACGGCCAAGGCCGACCGCGAGAAGACGAAGAAGGCCAAGGAGGCGGCCAAGAACGCCGCCAAGAAGAACAAGCGTGTGCTCAAGGGCGCCGTCAAGGAGGTCAACTACTTTGTTGAGGGTGGTGACGCCTCCGCCGGCCAAGTGGACGCTGTCCTCGGTGACGTCGAGCTCCTCATGAGCAAGATCGACCACGAGGAGCTGGCCGCCCTGGCCGAGAGCCTGACGGCTGCCGGCAAGGACGGGGCCGCTGTCAAGGCGGCTTATGCCGCCCAGGCCAAGCAGCTGGTGGAGGCCGGCAAGCTTAAGGAGGGCGAACTCAAGACCTTTGCTTGATTTTTCCTTTTCCTATTTGTCTATTCTCTTGCCTTTTTTGATTCCTAGACTACAGCATGGATTTGTTCTCATGTGGTAGACGTGATGGCTGGACGACCTTCAGGTGCATATAGATCGCACTGTTGATATTATTGAACGAATGATAATTTACAGAGTACGACTATAAGTTCGGTTCATAGGGTAAATACGGAGTACTTTCCGAGTTATTAGGTAACTATGGCTACCTAGGCAATAGTTAGTCATACTTATACCCGTACGCAACTGATCAATAGTGGCTGATCTCAGTTCAATTAATTGCACATTCCTTGTGTATCAATTTCCCCTTTCATATTGATGACTGAACAAAAACTCTGAGACCCTGGGCAGTGCAACAGGCCAGTCACAGCGCCCTGTATATTTACAAACCAGGTATGGTGGAGAAAGCCCTGAAACCTTTTCCCCGGGATATGCGTGGAGCCGTGGCACTCTATTTGCTGTCAGTGTGGCTATGGTGATACAATCAGAAGAGAGAAAAGAGTAATAATAATAGCACTCGTATAAGCGAGTGCTGATCCTACTCCGTAAGGTAGGTATAAGAGTCTGCGTTCTCTTTTTCCTGTCTTACCTAGGAATCATTGTACTTCTTCTCTGTTGTCACACTTTTTGTGAGCTTTTGCCATCCAAGAGACACTCACCTTTTTTTTTTTCTTTGTTTAAACAAACAAATAAATAAAATAAAATGTCTTCCACCACCACTTCTGCCGCTGCGGCGTCCTCTTCATGTGGTAGCATCTATGTGATGCCCATCACGGACGCGGCCTGCGCCCTCCCAGCCTCGGGCAACAACTCGGCCATCATGTCTCAGTGCTGCAAGGACGCGCCCGTGACAAAGTACGACGATGACTGCGCCTTCTACTGCCTAGCGGAAGGGCAGACGATCGGTAACCTCACCTCTTGCATTACCAGCAACGGCGGGACCCAAGTCTTCTGCAACAACAGCAACCAGACCGCGACTGCGACCGCCTCCGTGTCTTCCTCCTCATCGACGGGCACGAGTACCAGTACTGGCACCAAGACTGGGAGTTCTGCCTCATCGACGAGCAGCAGTGCCGCCATGGTGAACCAGCCTGTCTCTAAGACTGGTCTCGGCCTACTGGCCATGTTCTTCTGCTCGGCCGTTGCCGCGGTTGTGGCTTGAAACGGAGGGAAACGAGATACTCGCGATGGAACGGTCTCTGTATTCTAAGAACTGGATACGTTAATACTTAATAATAATGTGATTTATGACGAGAATGAGGTTCAATTCAATCGTAGAGATCGTCGTTATCATCATCATTATTGCAGAACGAGCTGTGTAGCACACCATGAGAATGCTGACTAGTTCGAGAAAGATGGATAGATATCTCAGGAAAGACATTGGCGATACTCCCATCATAAAGTCACCTTTGTGTGCAAATAGAGAGATAATTATGCTGCTGTGTACCAGTACCCAAGGTGTCCCTGGTAGCCAGGAGAGATCAGCCTGAATTGACTGGCAAGCCGTAGAACTACTATGCTCACCTACCAACAGGAAGGACGATCAGCTTCTTCCAGGTTGACAATCGGAGAAACAGCGGATATCAGCGAACAGGGTCATGCAAAAAACAAAACCTTCATCGGAAACATAACTGGACAGGATGGCAGTGACAGACAGGATGAGAATCCCTGAGGATTTGGATCAGCAAGAATCACGGGACAGGGGCTTGAAGGCCACTGCCAGACCGTGGCCGACCTCCACCGAACCCACGCCCATGTCGTACGATGACGAGTCCTCAGAGCTGGGTCGTCATGACGAAAGGAGTGTCTTTCCAGTGAGAAACAGTATCATCACACAGCTTGCTGCTGATATTGGCTTATGGTATTTCTTTCTCCCCTGATGGTTAGACATTAGATAGGCTTCGTCCCTGCAGCAATCCGCTAAGGGAGGGTACAGGACCAGTTTCCATCACGAACACTGGCCATCATAGTTTGTTTGTCTATTTCTTCATCGCCTTTCTCTTCTTCTTGATACTAGTGCTAATCTTCTCTTGTGATTCCATAGCCCTTGGCATCACGGCATATCTAACCGGACGCCACCACAGCGCCATGGCGTTGCGCCGTCAGGAGATCGTCGCGATCAAGCTTCTACGGAGTACATGGCTCTTGGAGAACATTACAAAAAAAACGCCCGGTCCATGAAACTACTCTTAGTCTGGCCGCTATTTTCCTGGTTTGCAGCGCGGTATGCGCTGCAGATTGGACAGTTGGGTCGGTGGATAATCCCGATCCGTGCAGCTTCGGCAAGTCCAGGCAGTGTTCTGTATGGCGGAAGGGCCATGGGGGATGGGATGAATCGCTGGGCCATTATTGTTGGCTGGCTACTCCGTAAGTCACTCCGTAAGTATGCTCCGGAACGTGTCTTATCCGGAATCCCGCCCACTCTCGTGTGTTTGTGTCCCCGCATTCCGCGTTTCGCGGGACGGAGTGGAGATGATACTGGATACTGATAGAAAGCCGACTTCAGACTTGTTCTCTGCTTCTTTTGGGTCTCAAGATCTGGCTTCGGCGATCACCTGGAACAGCTCACCACTTACCTTGCGTCACAGAGCTGGACATACAGTTCTCTGCTCTTCTACAGAACGACATCAACCATTCTCACCCATCATAATCCCTACCATAATCTGAGGTTTGCATAGTAAGCCTAAGATGGACCAGATGGTTGGGGTCGGCCGCTGGTGGATATGCCAGGATTATATTCAGTCGTTCTGTACGGAGTACCGGGAGGTTCTATTGCAACACTCTTGCGGGGGCCGCGTCATGTCAGGTCTCATGCAGTGAAAATCTTTGGCCTCGCTAGAGGTGATTGGCTTGATGAATGATGAGGCCCTCCAGGCTTCCGACATGTCTCCACAAACAGATATCCCCTGTACCATCTATAGAGGGGAATTTGGAGGGCTCCTTTGAATGGCTCCCTTGGTGTGAGGGGACAAAGACGGCGAACGTTGTGCCCTGGAAGAGAGATGGGGTTTCCATTCACGGCCACCAGCAGAAGACTGTACGGAGAAGCCCATCAAGAGCTGTTATCTCAAACCCACCTTATGACGACGAGGCTTACGCCAAGAGCCTCTTGGTTGCCTGGCCTGTAATAGTATAGGCACATCGATCCCTACCAGATGGCACCACGATTGAGCCTAAAACCCGTTATATCCAGCCACGAAGCTTAGCCGACGCTAGCCAGGAAGACCTGTGGTATGGATCATGGAACCGAGGGAGGTTGAAGTACAGGAATGGTAAAAATCGTCATTGGATGTGGTCTAACTGCTGGCCTGGTTGGGTTTGGACATGATCAGCAGTATTTAATCTCGTTGTGTCGTCGCGCAAAAGACGAGGGAAAGGTAGATGACGCATGAAAAAAGTCGAAAGGACTACTTTCTTGCCTTTTTTCTCTATCTTAGAACCCCCCTTTCATCCGAGACTTCCTACTCTTCTATCTGTCATCTCGTCCCTGCCTCGGCCAGGAGAAGTATCATGGCTCCTACCGCAGGAAACGGCCTGTCGTCTAAGCGAGCCGAATATGCTGGTCGTTCTGGTATCAAAGGTCTCCTTGACAATGGCCACACCACTGCGATTGCCTTTTTCGCCTCTCTGGGAGGTCTTGTGTATGGCTGTGAGTACTTGGTTTCACTGAGCCTGGCAGGAGTTTGCAGAGCAAGGATTCATGACTGATACACAAGGATAGACAACCAGGGCATGTTCGCCCAGGTGTTGACCATGAAATCCTTCATTATCAAGGTGCGCATCTGTTCCACATCTCATAGGCATACGCTGTATACTTATCGGCTTGTCTCAAGACTCAAGGTTATGCTGCGACAACTGGTATCGGGCAGGGTCTTCTCACCTCCATTCTCGAGCTGGGCGCCTGGGTGGGAACTTTGCTCAACGGCTATCTGGCGGATTCTGTCGGTCGTCGTGCCACGACGATGATTGCCGTCGTGGTTTTCTGTGTGGGCGTCATCGTCCAAGCCTGCACGGAGAACAAGAGCTACGTCTTTGGCGGCCGTTTCGTCACTGGTCTTGGTGTTGGTAGCTTGAGTATGATTGTTCCCCTGTACAACGCCGAATTGGTAAGAACTTAACTTCCGCCGCTGCTGCAGGCTTTTTCCCACTTCCACTAACAATAACAGGCTCCCCCTGAAGTCCGTGGTTCCCTCGTGGCCGTTCAGCAGCTCTCAATCACCTTCGGTATCATGGTCAGCTTCTGGGTAAGCACTGGCTTATATCTCTCCCCCATCTTTTCTTTTGCTTAGATTCGGATGCTGATCCTCCAAGATCGGTTACGGAACCAACTACATTGGCGGCACTGGGGATGGCCAGTCCAATGCTGCCTGGTTGATCCCCGTCTGTATCCAAATTGTACCTGCCGTCGTACTTGGGGCCGGGATGCTCTTGTTCATGCCGCAATCTCCGCGTCACTTGATAAACAAAGGTCTCGAGGAGGAATGCCTGCAAACCCTGGCCATGCTTCGCAGATCTAATACTGACGATATCGCTGTTCGCATCGAGTTCCTCGAGGTTAAGGCTATGCGTTTGTTTGAGATCGAGACCTCCAGGAGAAAATACCCCCAGTGGCAGGACGGCTCGTTCTCCAGTCGCTTCAACATGACGTTAGCTGATTACAAGTCTCTCGTCACCAACAAGTCTCTGTTCAAGCGCACAGCTACTGCCGTATGTCCATTCTCTCTCCTCTCTCCATTTGATCCCGAACGACTTCTTATATTATGTCTTTAGTGCCTCATCATGCTTTTCCAGCAATGGAACGGTATCAACGCTATCAACTACTACGCGTATGTCTCTTGAAGCTGTGTGTATGTACTTTAGAAATTGACTCACATCATTTAGGCCCTACATTTTCAAAGGTATCGGGCTTACGGGTAACACCGAGTCCCTCCTCGCAACCGGCGTTGTCGGCATTGTTGAGTTCGTCTTCACCATCCCTGCCGTGCTCTGGGTCGACCGTGTCGGTCGTAAGAAGCTTCTTATTGCCGGTGCAATTGGCATGGCCACGTGCCACTTTATTGTCGCCGGTATCATCGGCGCCTTCCACACGGACTGGCCTGCTCACAGGTCCGGCGGTTGGGCTGCGGTGGTCTTCGTGTGGATCTACGTCATCAACTTTGCCTACTCATGGGGTAAGATTTGCTTTTAGAGAAATATTTCATATTCAAACTAAATTTGTCGTCCTGTTTAGGTCCTGTCGCCTGGATTGTCACTTCGGAGGTCTTCCCGCTCAGCATGCGCGCCAAGGGTGTCAGCATTGGAGGGAGCAGCAACTGGGTGAGTACATTTTCCATTCTCCATCTTATTCATACCTATGCATGCAATCACTGACAGAATGTGACAAGCTCAATAACTTTGCCGTCGCCATCTCCACGTCTCCCTTCCTCAGTGCATCAAACTGGGGTGCCTTCATCTTCTTCGGATGCATCACCACCATCGGCGTCTTCTACGTCTGGCTTTTCGTGCCGGAGACCAAGGGCCTCACCCTAGAGGAAATGGACGAGGTGTTCGGCTCGACCGGCATTGCTGCTGAGGACCACGCCCTAAAGCACCGCATCGAGAGCGAGATCGGTCTGTTGGCCCTTCTGGGTGAGGAGAGCGAGTCCCAGATAGAAACAGAGAAGGCGGGCGAAGAGGGAGTGCCCACTGCTTTGAACGGAGATTCCGCTGCTAACGGGAATGCTTCTCGTAATGAGAATGCTACTCCTTCAAAAAGTGCGACGAATCATGAAGAGTGATATACTTCATCATTTCTTTTAATGATGATGAACGTAATAGGTGCAGGGCAATGTTATTTATGCATGGATAATATCATCTACTTATATTAATGTAGAGATGAAACACTTGTGCAGATTATCTTACAAGATTATAGTTATGGAGCTTCGGTGGCTCAGCCCCCTAAACAACTAGTTCAATGCAATCTGCAAAAGAGCTTCAAAGTTCGGCGTCCCCAATCCCGTGACGGGATCCCATCCGGCCGTCGCGTTCCAACTCGCATACGGCACAATCGGGCTCCCATTCGATGCGCCGTCGAACCGCGCCCGTCCGTTGCAGCCGGTGCTCCCGCCGTTGACAATGTCGGTGAGACCCGTCTGAGCGGTCCCGTAGAGCCAGGGGTTCAGGAATCCTAGGCTGGAGCGGCCGACGCGGAGACGCGCATCGTTGAGCAGTGCAATAAGAGCGGAGAATACAGGCGCAGCGCACGATGTTCCCTCGTAATAATCTAGAACACCCTTTTCGTAGACAGCATACTTCATTCCCTGTGCAGCGACGTCAGGGAATGCGCGGCCCGAGGCGTTATACAGACCCTGCCATTTATCCCCCAATGTCTGGAGGTAGGCGCTAACGGCAGTCTCCTGCCAGTCGGGGCGGGCCCAATAGTCCGAGAAACCGCCGGAGGAGAAGTAAGTCGCGGCCTCTGGGTTGGTACCCGTAGTGGCGCCCACAGAGGTCACCCACGGACAGGAAGCTGGGAATTGGGGCGGGAAATGGGTGCGGTTGGTCCCATCATTTGTTTCGCAGGCGGACCCGACGCCTGAGTCGCCCGAGGAAAATAGGACGGATACACCGCGGCTACCAAGCTGGGCGTACAGATTACACACAGAGCGGGCGTATGATTCAGGAATGCTCTGAAAGAGTGAGAAAGCGAGTTCTAAAGGGGAAGGGGAGGTGGGGGGAAAAAAGCGACGCTCGCCTTACCTGTTCATCCTCACCGTATGAGGTGGAGATGACCTGAGGAAGTTCCTCCTGCGGCAACTTGATCACATTTTGGAGAAATGCGAGATATGGCTCGTTATTATTGTCGGACTGGCTAGGTTCATCCAGATCAGGCACAAGCAGACCGCGGCCGCCGGTGATATATTCGGTGACCGGGAGCGGAGAGCTCATGCCTATGATGTACTGTAGGTCTAGATTGGCTTCGCCGCTATCATTGGTGGAGGTCTGGTCGTCGACACCGCCACTGTAAGTGACCACGGAGAAGTTCTGACTGAGGGTGTCTGGGGCGATGCTGGTCTCAAAGAGAGTCAGATCGGAGTAACGGGCGACTTGCTCCAGGTAACTGCAGAAGGCGATTTTGCTCCCGCTCTGCGCGTTGGCGTTGTAGTCGCCGACCTTGTAGAGCGCCTTGAGGCATTGCGGGGTGATCGCCGTGTTGCAGTCGGTGCCGTTGGAGGCGGCTAGTGCAGCAATTTGGAATCGAGAGTCCACTCTTTCGGGGCTCTGATGCCCGGTGGCGCGATTGGGGCGAATCTGCCCAAAGCGAGTCGTTGGCTGGACCATGTTGATATGCACTGCTACTGAGGCGGGGACCGAGTACTCTAGGGTGCGCAGGCGCCGTACTTGTCTCACATCGCTAGCATACCAGCGGAACTGAGTGTCGAGCAAGTCGTTGGCTTGACCGACCGTGGTCTGGAAATTTATCCAGTCCGCATCCACCTCGATATCGGTAATGCCAAACGACTCCAGCCAGCCACGCACAGTGTCAACCGCGGTATCGCTGGGGAGCAACATCCTCTTCATCTCGTCGTGAGTCCTAAAATGTTTTCCGTAACCGGGATCGCCAGGCGTGGACATGGCCAGCAGCGCCTTCTCGAAACCGGCGATATTCTGTTGTTGAAGGGCTATTTGCAGACGAATAGCTTGACTGGGGTCTGGGGTGCCCACGATACTCCATCCTGTATTTTGTTGACACACCGGTTAGCTCTCGAACCTTCACCCTGACATTGAGTTTCCGCCAACACACCTGAAGGAACTGCTCTCAGTCTTTCAAACACCTCTGCCGTTGCAGAACTAATAAGCAGGGTGGTTATAGCGAGAGACCAAGCTCCGCCACAGATGAAGGGGAATAACAACATAGCTTGCCCTCCGTTAACTAGGGCCTGAGGACTCAATGGGAAGTCAACAACCACCACTGCAGACCCGGCGACATTTGAATAGAAATGGAGGTCGAGTCGTGGCGATCGCCCACTCTAGAATCCCCTGTAGCATACCGAAGGCTTATGGTCTCGGCAAACCGTCACACGCGTGTACCCAGATGGTAGCCGTCGGGTCTATTATCGACTCGTGGCGATCAGCCATGGTAGCTGATAGAAGACGATGTGATGCGATTCATGTTCCATGACGGGTTTAATGGATGTTGCAACACCTTCCAAACACTGTTCCTGACCGTCGAGCCGATTCCAGTGGCAGGGGGAGGGGAAGGTCTCACATTACTCGGATGTGACGTTTCTGGAATGTCATCTTAGATTAGTCAACGGGCGGTTGTCAATCCTCTCAATAGAACCCCTGATCTATTCGATAACAGGTAGATTGAGAAACACTCCCAAGGTGGATTACTCCGTACTCTCTGTACGCTGGAGTCTGTACCTGCGTACTCCGTAGAGTCCGTACTCTGCCGTACGTCTCACTTGTACTCCCGCACCTGGATGCAACCATGGAAACACCAGAGTCAATCGAGAGCCCCTTGCAGCGAAGCCTATCAGAATCGTGGAACAGACTTGCCAACCAGCTTACGGAGTACTCCGTACTGATTCACGGTCCAAGCTTGCAGTGACGATCGACAAACCTCCCAGACCTGGCGGTGAGCCTTAAGGGAGCCTCGCGTGACTGCCTGAAAAGGCAGCATTGCTGCGCCCCGGGAAGCCCTGCGCCACATAAGCACCGCCCAATACAGCCACACTTTGCCCAATACAGCCACTCGACGTGTGGCTGTCAGGCCTGCAATGTGGTTGGCTGGAAGGAAGGCGGAGCAAGGCAGATAGATTCCCATCAACGTCTCAACGTCTCTCTGACCTCCACCAGGCCACAGTGCACACTTGATGCTACTGTTGCAGATGAACAGACGGCATTATACTAGGATCTCATAGCCTTCTAAAGATGCAGCGTTGTATTCAGTCTAAATAAAGATGAGCGCTATCTATAAAGACTAACAGTATACAAATCATCAAGACAATCAAGCCAAATTATCAAGACAGACAATGAGACAAACCATCGAGCCAAACTATCAAAGACAAATCATCAAGACAAATCATCAAACTAAACCATTAATACAACCATCAGGACAACTGATCAAATCAAACCATCAAGACAAGCCATAAGACAAACCATCACTACAAACCCACAAAACAGAAGAAAGCAAGAGAAGGGCAAGGATAACCCTCCCACCCCTCAAAACGCAGAGATGGAATGACGTGGTTTCCCTTCATACTCTCTTAGTTTACTTGCCGAATTGCGTGTCCACATCCTGGAGCAGAAGGGATATATCCCTCCTTTTCTTATTGGCATAGGTGCTGTATCCTATCGTGCTGTACGGGTCGTCGGTCTTGGGTGTGAGGTGACGCTGCAAATTGTACGTCTGGCGGTCAGGGTGACTAGCGGAAGTGCTGAAGAGGTATTGGCTCTGACCGTTTCTTCTGTCGTCGCTGCCGTAGGAAGGAACTGCCGACATCGAAGAAGGAGAGGCGGAGGAGGAATTATTGTTTCTGAGATGATGCAAATGACAGTGAGTCAATCAGCTAGCTAACCTCCCCTTCCCCCCCGCCCATACACTTTGTCATCCACGGCCACGTCATTCCCACTCTAGACTTACGAGGAACCTTGAGAATTGTTGGAAGACATGTTGAGTACAGTTGGTTTCCCCACAAAGAAAGAAGACGGGTGTCGTGTGTGATGGAGTGGAGTGGATCTGCTAAGAGTGGAGAGAGGTGCTGAAAAAAGCTGCGCGCGAAGCGTTATATATGAAATCTGTGGTGGTGTATGTGTTGGCGCTGGAACTGGATACAAAAGAAAAGAAAGAGCAGGACACCTTGGAGGTACGGGGGATTGAGTTATAAGTCCCCCCGGGAGTACTGTACATTTATATTGGATAGCAGTTCGGGACGGCATGGTTGTCATTACCAACCCTGAAACGGTGATGGAAAGCGTTTTCTCCAACTTGTGCAGAAGGCAGCTCATAGAAATGAGGCGCAGAAACCCCCAGGGTTTTCACGACGATCAGGCACATAGGGCATGCTAATTCTCATCGAATCATCTGCTTATATGACTGCATTTTCGGGGGTCGTAAAGAGGGTTTTTGCGGCTTAGCAAGGATTTGCAATGCTTGGTCTTCTCTCAACAAGCCGCAGTACGCAGATAATGCCCGGCGACAGGGTAAAAATGCGACTTTTTTTCATGGAAGAGAAGGGGAAAAAAGAAAAAAAAAAAGAAAAAAAGGCCCGCCGGGTATCGTCAAGCCACTAGGCTCCTAGGCGTATACGGAGTAAATGCAGAAGTGTGCCTAGCTCGCTAGGAGACCAGACCTATCGTCGGGACAACTTTTTCTGAGGCAATTGTGGCTTCGAACACGGCCTTGAACCCGGCTTGGCTCATGGGTAGTGAGTGCCTTTTACCCTTGACTTGACGGAGCGATATTCTTATCATCTCATGAAAGTCTAAGACTGTTGCGCGCCTTGGAGAACGATCACGCGTTTGAGAGGAAAGACAACTCGAGTGATAGAGAATAACCCGAATGACGTCTACGGTCTAGACCGGTCGATTAGCGTCTAGAACGACTTCGTCAATGAGATCGTTCGTGCACGATGTACAGCAATGCAATGCAGTTGTGCCGCAGCTGCAACTTGGCTTGCGGGGAGGAAGCTACCAATCGCCAAGTAGTAGTGATAGTGGATGATACGGGTGTCGGGCGTTTTGTGACCGGTCGAGACTCAGCGCCACGATCTTGAATCGGTGAACAGTTCACATGTGTGGTTACGGGGCGCATCGATTCAGGGCCCTCACTAGTCAAAATGATTTGATTTATCTTTTCTCTGCTAAATATATTAGCATCTGGTCGGTACTAGACAATTGGCTGGATGATCGAGACCCCACCAAAATGTGCACGGGAAAATATGAGTATCTAAATACCCTTGCCATCTTGAAGTGGCTGTAGCTTCACACTTGAGACGGTCATGTTTTCCTCACTCCAGTAGAAAGGTGGCAGGGGGTAGGCCTAGGCTGGCCGATGGTCGTTGGGAGGCTAGTGTGTGTGTTCTCGAAGCGCCCAACCCGACAGATCCTAAAGGATCGTTGATGCAGTGCGCAATGTGTATGTCTGCATAGCTAGCTCCGCTAGTCACCGGTCACCAGGGTCGATTTGGTCCAGAAGGGGTGATGGTGACCAATGCATTCAGAAGGGAAAAGAAATATAAGTAGGTTGTCATTATATTTGAAGAGAGGATCTATGTTCATCAAAAAAGGGCGCATCCAGCACACCCTTCGTAAAAAACAAAAAAAAAAAAAAAAAAAAACAGAAAAGAAAAGAAAACAAAAATTTCGCTTTCGATGAAAGGAGCTTCCAATGGAGGAAATAGTGGGAATAGTGATTTGGCCGCTTATTTGAACTGTTGTCAGGTGAAATGCTGTTCGGAGATGTATGTACAAGGATCCCTGGCTGCAGTTGATTATCACGGCATCAGACTAGTCGACATTGAATCAGCCATAGAACATAAGATAGCAATCAGGACACACACTTTCAAACTTACCACATACTGATGCAAGGCTCGCATTTCCTAGTTGTGCTTGACGTCTCCTGCTGTTTCATTCTCGAAACGTTGTGCGTTCACCATCTCGACGATGGCATCTTCCGTCTTCAAGTAGGTACGACTTCCGCGCATAAACCAGAATAAGATTGAGATTACCAACATAACGCCAAACACGGCGATCGCGTAGTTCATGTCGCTGGCGGATGGGTTCGGCGAGGTAGGGAAGAAGAAGAAGACGGTGGTAACGCAGCAATACACTAAGCTGATCCAATTGATCGGCTTGCCAAACCTGCCCAGTTGTAATTCTCCCGGCGGGAGTTTGTCGCGTCCAACAACGAGGAGGGCCACAATTGGCAGGGCATAAGAGATGGTGAGTGCAATGGTGCTGACGCTCAGGATCGCTTCGAGAACAGTGCTGGCAAAAAGATAGAGCACACCGACAAGCGCGATCAATACCCCCTGGAACCAGAGAGCCCGGACAGGGACCTTCCACACCGGATCGACATATGACAAGTAGCCACTCCAGGGTAAGCCACCATCTCGGCTAAAGCTCCAAGTAAGGCGGGAAGAGGTGGTGAGAACACTGACACCCTGACCGAGGCCATTGAATATGAAAAGAGCGACAAGGACAGCGGCGCCCTTGAGGCCGACGGTCTCTTCAAGAAGTTCGATGAAGGGTAGGCCAGTAGGCGAGTTGATCACTTGATCCAGGTCTTGAATGCAGAAAAGGCAGACGACCATGAAGATAAATCCAGTGACCGCACCAATAATGACGGAAAGATAGATGATCCTGGGAGCATTGCGACGCGGGGCGGGGATTTCTTCAACCATGTGGATTACGGAATCAAATGCGGTCAGGCCATAGGCAGCCTGCACAAGACCCGTAAACCAGACCACGCCGGAGTCCCAGCCCGTTTCGTTGATCCAACGGCCAAAGACAAAAGATGCAGGCTGGAAGGATAGATCCGACTTGACACCGACGGAGATCAGCAGAGCCAGGGATAAAATGACGAACAGACCCCCAAATCCCACCCCAACAAAGTTGTTGATCCAGGGCAAGACTTTGTCTTTGCGGCAGCTCACAACGTTAATCAGTGTCAAGAGGAAGACACAGCCGATGTACACCACAAACTGGAGCCAACCTAGGCTAGCACCAGCCCAATTCTCGTCGAACATGACTTTCATGCCGAGAATAAAGTCGGCCATGAAGGCCACTTGCGACGCCGTCAATGTCCACCATCCGAAGGTGTTGATCCAGGCACACATGTAGGAGACGAAGCGACCGGTCGGGCTTTCCCATAAACGATATACCCAGTATGCCTAAAAGAAAAAAGAAAAGAAAATTCCATGAGTCATGATTATTCTGCGGGGTTGAAGGGGGTTCTGAAAAGCTGGGGCTCACCTGTCCGAGAGCAGTGGGCATGCTACTGCAGAGTTCTCCCAGAGAGAGTGCCACACAAACATTGCAAACTGTGACCAGGCAAAGACCCCAGAGGATCGAAATGGGACCTCCGCCCGTGAGGCCACTGGCGAGATCTTGTGCGAAGACTGCATAAGTACCCAAGACACAAAAGGCAAGGCTGAGCATCGAGACCATGCTGAAACTGCGAGAGAGAGCCTGATCATGGCCAAAGGCAGCCAGATCGTGCGCATCCTGCACACTCTGGTCCACCGGCTTCATCTCCAAGTCGTCCATTGATAGTTTTCCAGGCCAGTACACCTTTCTTCTGGAAAATGGACGGATAGTTAACGGCTGGGAAAAGGGTTCCGACACTCAGGAAGCCTGGCAAAAGGAGACAATTCACGGCGAGGGCCTGCGATGCATATATGTCAGACCGGGAGAGAGCCGCCGTGTTCCGTGACGAGCAGGAGCGTCCTCCCTGCAGGGGAAAAGTCGCCCATCTCCCCTCACAAGCGAACAGTGTACTCCGTAAGGTTAGCCACGGAATTGAGATTATCGATGGTTGATAAAAATGTGTCATTTCCATTTGCCATCGGATGGAGTCTCGCCTTGAGCCCGGCACCTGGTTTTGCGGGGTCTACCGCCTGTGGTTCCAATTGTATCGGCCAGAAGGCCCCATTGTTGATCTTGATTGGGCAACCGACGAAGCGACATCTCCACTGGGTTCTGGGGAAGAAGCAATCGACTGAGAATAGAACAGCAGGTCAGTATCTCATGATGATGAAGACATTTCAAGACATCGAATCCCATACAATCTTCATCTCATAGCGCTATCAGGTACATCTAGTGCCCTGAGACCCTGGCCGAGAGCCTGAGCTCAAGCTTTTTCATCTTCACAGCCCAGTGCAGGACGGAACCCTAATCGGGAAGGTGCATGCGATACTAAGATGATAAGCTTGATAAGCCTGATAAGTGTGATAGAAGGTTTTGACACACACAAGGAAATGACATAGTTATGTTAGGTACCTTACTAATATTGCTGGTAACCAAGGTGCACAGCCTGAAATCGGAGACAGTGCAGACACGTCGAAAGAGGCAGGATGACACGACAGGTGGGGAAACACCAGTCCCTCCCTGAGCGAGGCGACAGGAGCAGAGTCGGCTATGATCGACCAGCGACGGAATATGAAATGGAGAACAGCAGTAGTTATAAGTCGGGCATGATTCGTCCCCAGCAAAGACGATGGAAGTCTTGACAACTGGAAGTTGGACGTTGTTCAAGTCGAAGTTTGGATTTGGATTTGGAAAGAGCGTTGGTCTGCTAGAGGCTACGCTAGGATAGGCTTAGCTCTTGTATCAGACCACCACCTTCTTGCGCTCGCCTCTATTTTTCCCAGTATCTTGAGATAGTAAATCTTGAGATAAGTCTTTGATAATAGATGTAAGGCTATCCTACTCAGATCCAAAACTTGGGCTTCCGGCTAACGCAACTAGAATGCTGCTCTAACTTTACGTACACTAATTGATAAGTAACTGTCTACTTAGGTACCTACCTGATAACTAATTATATATAACTATGATATATATGATATATATGATATAATATGATATGATATGAGCACTAGGAAGTGCGATCCCATAGCCTGGATAAGCAAAGATTTCTCCAAATTAAAACCACTGCCTAAAAAAATGCTGCAAGTGATGGGAAGCTAGTAGGCATGCGCTAGTCGAGAAATCATCGCCCAGAATTGCGAGGTATCATGGACGAGAAATTCAAACTCGGTCTGAGGAATGAAGGAGAAGAAGAAGAAGAAGAAAAAGAAGCGAGAGGTCATAATAGTGGAATAGGAGACATCGCTCATCCTACATTCTATCTTTAAATTTGCGTGATTTCACCTTGATATCAGAACAGAAGTTCCATCGAGTTATCTTCTATCCTTGGAAGAATACTTGGTTGTAATGTGAGGCCATAGTTAGTAGTGTTAGTTACTACCTATATATGATCTATGACTGTATCTATGTCTATGCGATTGTAAGCAGTCCCCCCCTCTCCTCGACGCAGTCAAAGTGCGGTATACTATTTTCTTCCATGCCTCGATCGGAACCTATCCACGATCTGTAGTATACTGCATTGTGACTGTGGTCCAGGCTAGGGGTTGACCGGATGTGGTCAATCTGACTGTACTGTAGATAGTATAGTGTGTATAGTATAGAATGACATTTATAAGTGGGCATGAAAACATAAGGGCATAAGTAGACTCAGTATGGGCATTCGACTAAGTGTTGACGTTAAGACCAAGATTGGGTATCAAGATTACTCTTGGATTCAAGGAAAGTTTACGGATCAAGATTACTCTTTAGATGAAGGAACAAGTAGTCAACTACCAATTTATCACATTCGACTACACTATCTATGGCTACCTAGGTACCTAGAATCTCAGTTCTAAGATGGAGGATCTTAGGGTTTAGGGCTGATAGGGGATATAATCCGAGCCACCAGATAGCCCTACAACTCCTTGCACTGTGACAGTCAGTACATAGAGAATAAGCAACCAGAGTTGCATATCTGCTTACCTCATCGCCAGTGCAGCAGGCAGTAGAACCGGTACAGTACTGCTCGCCACCATCCTCCTCAGTGATGCCTTCAAAGTAGGTAAGTAGTTGCCATCAAGAACGGAGAGGGAGTACCTACCAAGGATGTTCAGATTGTCGATCAAGCTGAACTTGGCGCAGGGCGAGTCACCCTGGCCCAGCAAGTTAGGAAGCAGGCCCTTGCCCAGCAGATTGCCCAGGATACCATTGGCGGACATCTCGTCGTAGCTGTTGCAGCAGGCGCCCTCACCTCCGCTGCACTCAGTTTTGGCCTGAGCGATGGAGATGGAGGTAGGGGAAGGCGACGAGGGCTGCTTGGCGTACGGGACGCTGCCGGCGGCCGCGACGGCAATCAGAGGGAGAAGAGCGATGATCTGCATACTGAGAAGAGTCGAAGATAAAGACTTGAAGAGTGAGGGACTTGAAGAGTGAAAGATTTGAAGAGCGAGAGACTAGAAGAGCGAGAGACTAGAAGATTGGATTGATGAGATGATGGTGGACTGATGTTTGACTGATGGTCAAGACGGCTTTATATGTTTTTTCACTGGAAATATCACATTGTTAAGATATCAACATTCGACTTGTCAGACCAGGGCAACCCTCCTCGGGTCAGATACTCACTAGATGAGACATCATACTAGGGATGGAGTATGCAGATAATCAGCTGGGATCCCAAGTAGAAAGGAAGAATAATCCATAAAATAATAAGGATCAACAGAAAGAAGAAATGATATCAGAAAGGGGATTGATATCAGATGGGAATCATATAGTAGGGATAGCATTCTGAGACAATCTGATATAACCACATCGGCAGAGCTATAAAACAGCTCAACGTTCCCTCATCCAAACTCTTCATTCTGTTCATCCGTTCTCTTCATCCAGTCTCTTCCTCCAGTCTTTTCATCCAGTCTTTTCATCTTAGCAAACTATCACTTTGCATCCTTCTAGCCTCTCAACATGCGCTTCATCGCTCCTCTCCTGTTCACTCTCGCCGTGGCCGCCCTGCCCGGCCGCGCGCCCGCCGAGTCCAACTCCCAGTCGTCCACTCTTACCATTGACCAAGCCAAAACCGCCTACGCCGGCGAAGATATTGCCTGTTGCAACAGCGTCGACAGCATGAAGGGCGACGGTATCCTGGGCAACCTGATCGGCCAAGGCATCTTGCCCAACCTGCTGGGCCAGGGCGACTCGGCCTGCGCCAAAACCTCGCTGATTGACAATCTGCAGATTCTGGGTAATTCTTTCTTCCATTTCTGTTTTTCTCTCTTCCCTCTCTTACTCATTCTAATACTCTTTCCTCTAGGCCTTACCAAGCAGACTGATCAGGGAGAGGCCTGCTCGGGCACCACAGCTGTCTGCCCCAAGGGTGAGAAGGAGGTAAGTAGCGCTTGTCCTGTTGCTTTTCATTTTCGGTGTGCTAATTGTTGTTCTAGTGCAAGGAAATCAAATAGGGAATCGTAGGATACTCCATAGATAGTAGTATACTGTATTAGTAGTGTTAGGTCCTGAATGAAGAATTCTTCTTTCAAATAATACTAGTTTCTGTAGATATGTTATTTACCTCATCTTTTTATACGCCGTATCTAAGCCCTTGGTGAAAAGAACATTCCGATCAAGATGGAAGGTGCGATCGGGTCAGTCATAATGTCATGTGATCGTCGATAGAGGAAAGCGGCAGAAAGGCCCCATAAACCGACACCGCTCTCCCCACCGCTCCTATTATGCCTCCACTCTGCCATGATGCCCCGTGGTAACTTACTCCGGAGTTACTACTAGGTAGAAACAAGGTAGCTTAGGTACTGTGTACGCTTTCTGGAAGCGTCACTACCGCCTGTGGTCATGTTGATAAACATGCCGTTCGGTCGAGCTGGTCGCCTCAAAGTGGTTCGACCTGCTTTGAGTCTCATCTTCATCGTCTCGTTGCTGTACCTTTACCGCCGATCTGCTGCCCCCTTGACAACCTGGGAGGCGACGGTTCCTCTTCAGGAAAGACAGGCCACGCTGTGGCAGAACCTCTTGCCACTGCTCGAGGACCATGCGCCATTGTGCTCCCCTCCGAGTCGTCGGGATTCCTCCGGGGCTATACCGTACAGTGCTATTCAAGCGTCGCCACGACCGGACCTTATTGTCCAGCCGGAGGTGTACCAGCAGCCCATGCAAGAGGCACACGATGGATTTGTGGCAGCCGTTCAAACTTCGACGACTCTTAAGTCTCCACATATTGTCGGAACAAGCGGCATTGTCTCTTCAGCCGGGAAGAGTTACTTGCCAGTCTTCGTCGCCTCGTTGCGGATGTTGCGGAGGACCGGATCGACTCTACCCGTCGAGCTGTTTGTCAAGGATGAGAGCGAGTATGAAAAGAAGATCTGCGAAGAGGTCCTCCCGAGCCTCAATGCGCGCTGTCTGGTCTTGTCGGACATACTGAACAACCAACGCGACAGCAGTGTTGAGATCGCGCACTACCAGATCAAGATTTTCGCCGTCCTTTTCTCGTCGTTTGAAAAGGTTATCTGGATCGACTCTGACTGTTTCCCTCTACACGACCCTGCTGAGTTGCTCACAGCCGACCCATTCGCGTCTACCGGTCTTGTTACTTTTCCGGATTTTTGGGCCTCGACGGCGTCTCCGCTATACTTCAACATCTCGCGACAGGAGCTGCCGCCGATGAGTCTCCGCGCGTCGTCGGAAACCGGGGTGTTTTTGATCTCCAAGAGATCGCATTTCCGGACGTTGCTCCTGGCTGCGTATTATAACTATTATGGTCCGTCGTACTATTTCATGCTCCTCTCCCAGGGCGCGCCGGGCGAAGGCGACAAGGAGACCTTCATTCACGCTGCTTCTGCTATGAACGAGAAATTCTATACCGTCAGCGAGCCTGTTAAGCCAATCGGCCACCCGAAGACCACCCAAGATAAGATTTCCGGATCTGCCATGGTCCAGTCGGATCCCGTGGCGGACTACAAACTCACCAGTCAGAACAAATGGCGGGTCAAAGATTCTTCAGTAGCCAAGGCCCCTCGGGCATTCTTCATCCACGCACATTACCCCAAGTTCAACCCTGCAGAACATGTGTTTGGAAATACCTGGGAAACGGCCCCGACTTTGAAGCCCGATGGTAGTGACGGTCGGGCTTGGATTGTGGCCGAAGAGACCCTTAGACGGTTCGGGTACGATGCTGAAAAGGCCTACTGGGAAGAAATCAAGTGGGTGAGCTGCAATCTCGAAGATGCTTTCGAGTCATGGAAGCGCAAGTCGGGGATTTGTGCAAGAGTGCAGAAGTACTGGCAGACTGTGTTTGCAGAGCCGCATGATGATGATCCCCAGTTCACCGATGATTGAGTCAACAACCCCTACGAGGGGAGGGCGCCCGAGCCGATGGCGGAAGCATAATACAGTGAAAAACTATTATGCCCTGCCCTCTAGTTTGCTGGGTGAATTTAGCGTGCATCTCCAAAGAAACTAATCTGGCACAGCCACACGACAAAACAAAACCTGATGGTGAAAGATTCCCGACGAAGCAACTTAAAAATCGCCTCGCCAATTATATTTGTCAATTCGAACCCGTTGCGAGGCTGTTTTCCAGGAGAACATGGTGGAAAACAGAAAACCATCGCTTCTTTCGTCCTGATGCATGAAGCAGAACGCTTTTTTTGGCGTCCTTCCCGTTGACTGCAAGCCGATCTTATCTTATTGCGCTCATTACGGACGGGACACAAACATAACTCGACAAGCCGATGACGTTGAAAATGCGAAAATAATACGACGACCCAGAGCAAACACCGAGAAGAAGTCCTAGACGCGCACAAAGACTAGTCTTAAGCCTAGTACAGACTCCAGAGTAACCACTGGGTTAATTACGGGGCATTCCTTGAAACAGGAAGTTTGCTTCCACTAATCAAACGCACGGACGAAATCGAAATATCTCCACGGCGGGATCTATTGCGCTCCGACATTCTTCGCCATGGATGAGATCCAACTTACCATGGAGTGAGATTCCCCAGCCATCGAACTGAGCTGTTGTGGGGAAGTGGTTATCGCCGAGAAACCAGGACGAACTCGGCCGAAGGCGCCCAGAAATAACAACCTGGGGAAAAGTCAGCGCAGTCCGCATTTTCTTTACTCCAGAATACTGGGAAAAGCGGGGTTTCCATGCTGCCGAGATCCGGTCCCCCCGACGATTGCATCCAAGTCCCTGCAGCTAGGTATTGGTCCAGATCAATGATGGCCGAGCCGGGTGGCTTATTAGTACTATTGCAAACACGGCTGGAAACGATACGGAGTACCCCGTACGAGATGTCGACCAATCTTCGCCAAAAAAAAAAGAAAAGGAAAAGGAAAAAGAAAGATTCCAATTCCAGCGGTCTGCATTGAAATCCATTATTTCATGTAGTAAAAACAGGTTTGGGGATGATAAGCAAATAGGTGAGGGGTCATAGAGTGAAATCTATAGTGTTATCTTAAGGGAAGAAAAGGGGTAGCAAGTGTTATGTGAAATATCCAGAGTAATTACTTTATTGCATTATTAGTGGAATAGAATCTGAGACTTTTATTTACTCAGGGAGAAGACCAATAAGAAGAAGAGATGGAACCCAGCCATATGAATCTAGAAACTCCAGGATATCACAATGAAATACAGAGAAGGGATATCAGAGAGAAGAAAAACAAAGAATTCATCACAACAATCAATGCAATCTGCAATCAATGCAAGCAATGCAATCTGCAATCAGATAAAGAAGAAGGAAAATTAATATTCCCGTTTATGCCTCCAGATGCCACCCGGAAGAAGATTCTGCTTCAAGAGAGCCATCTCCTTCTGCATAGCGCGGTTCTCCTCCTGTAACTCCTGGATGTAGGTGATGGCGTTGCTGAGGATCTCTGATTTCTTCAGCGAGGCGGCGGCCCCGGGTCTCGAGGCCGGGTTCGTCACCGAAGGGGAGGAGGATGAGCACGACGAGTTCTTCGAGACGCCGTGCGGGGTAGCCATGGCTTTCTCGAGGGCCACGAACTTGGCGTTCATGTTTGTGCGGTAGCGCTTCTCGATGATGTTGTGGGCGGCACGCTTGGCGGCATTGCGCATCGTGGGTGTTTGCGAGGGGGTGTGCGCTGTTATCGTCGTCGAGGGCGACTGGGACTCTGACTGGACGGAGGCCATCGAGTCGGACAGACTGCGACTCGTCTTCTTGGCTCTGGTCTCCCGGGGTGACCTGGGACTGGTCGAGGGCCATCTCGGTTGAGGTACCGACCGGCGGCGGGTATCTATCGGCTCGATCATGGCGCGGGGGGAGAGAGGTTCTGGCTCGGGGATGGCGGGGAGAACGGGGGAGATGTTGAGGGTCGGCGACCAGGCTTGATCGTCACTTTCGTGATCCTAAATGGTTAGCAACATTGACTGAGAGAGAGAGAGAGAGACATACTGAAGATATCGAACCACACGAGAGGACATCCTCGTTGTTGGAGATGACGAAACCACTGACACCCTGGGCAGCAAAGGGGTCGACCTGGGGGAAGTCCTTGGCGGCGAGGGGCATCATCTCATCGGAGAGATCAAGGGGAAAAGGCTCAGGCATCATGGTGTTGAGAGCGAAGAGATCGATGGCGTGGTCGTAAGACCAGTTGTCTGAGAGGGGGTCGGGCTTGTAGTCCATTATAGATGTGGGAGGGTGTGTGAGGGTGTGAGGAGGGGAGGATCAGGTGATTGACCTTGTTGTGTGTTGTGTGGCTGTCTTGGGGATAGACTGATGGTGATGTGGATGACGATGCTGGAACTTGATATTGGATGTTAGGCTGGATCTAGACATATCGACTGACAAGACCGGTTTATATAAAAAGACACAAGAATCAAAGCGTGCCGAGTTTTGCTGCCAGCTTTCTCCTGTCCCGGTGATGTAAACACGATTCTTCTCGGTGCATACAGGCCCGGGATCACCTTAGCCCAAAGCCCGGCGGCCGGCTCCGAACAGGCCCCATCGCCCGGACAAGCTAGGTAGTTCCTAGTTAGCTGGCGAGAGGAACAGAACGGGAGTCTCCAACAGCCTCGACTCGACAGCTCAACGGCGCCGTCGGCCGAATGAGGAGGGGAGAAATGGTCATCGTGGCGGCGTCAGCGGCGGTGCGCGCCAAAGGAAACGGACCCCCGCCCGGCCGAGTCTCGGATCCGAGAGGCGCTGCGATTGGCCGGAAGTGGCGGTAAAGATCTTATCCCTGCTGCAGGGCAGCCGTTGAGGCTTGATCGGGCTTAGCGCTGCGACCTATTTATATTACAGTACAATATGTAGTACAGTAATATATAGTATGAGACAATAGGGGATGCCTACGTAGCTGTGGAACTTTTACCTATAGTTACTACGATCTTTATTAGTTACTTAGTGACGGGGTACTCCTTACTACTTACTATTCATCTATATTAAATACTTCATACAGTTTCCCTTGAGGAAATAAATATATTATAGAATATACATACACGACGACTTACTACCTTACCTACTAGTCATTCCAAACTCGTGCTACTCTGTATGCAGTAGATAATCCGTAGAGTCCATACGCTCGGAGCGCCCCGAGTACAATGTCGAAAACCTGATTTTCCCGATGTCATGATCTGGATATCGACCTTCCGGAATGACCCTTGTCACAATGTCGAGACGTGAGTCTGTGTCAGGATAAGATCTATTACAGCGTTACACAAACGACGGAAAGGACATTTTCCTCAAGACTGCCAATCATAATATTGACAAAGTATCTAACTATGGTTGTTTCGTATTTCGGATCAATGACTATTCAGAGCATCAAGATTACTCCATTATGAGGTCACTACCTACCCGTAGATAGTACTAAGGTAGGCCATACCGAGGTGAAAGGGTTAGTAATCTCCCACGGCCATTAGGTACGGAGTAGCAGGTAGGTAACCTAGGGAGTTACTAGGTACGGAGTCCCTAAGATGCCTGTAGTACTAATGTCGCTCATGCACCCCAGACCCGCCCGGTGAAGACATACAGTCAGTGGTCTGACCCGGCAGGCTCGGTAGGGATCATGGATCAAGTTATCAGGCTGATCATGTGGATCAAGGTGGATCGGAGCGAGGATCTCATCCGAGTAGTGACACTTTATCTTGCCGTGGCGGTAGCCGTGGAGGAAAAACAATGTTTCGCTCGGCAGGTGTATGGTAGATCGGCAAGTCTGTATGTATGTAGTACAGGCGTAGTCTTCCGGAGGAGTTAGTCAAGTATGCAAGTAATGTACTTTTTACCTACGAAGGACTGTCTCTTCATCAATGATATCCCTAGAATGACGTTATTAATAGGTGTGTGGTTGAATAGATCCAGAAAACTTATTGGGCTTCAATATTCATGATATATTTACTCATTACTCACATTCATAGTTATCGAAATCCATACCCGTCATATCCCCATCGCCATGTCTCATTTGAGTCACATCAATCAATGTCTTTCATGTCTTATCATGTCTCATGTCATATCGGCATCTTATACCGCGTTTTTATCTTCTCCTGGCGCAAACACCTGCTGACACACAGGACACTTGAGATGCCAGCTGATATACCACCGTTCCAGACAGTCCGTGTGGAACGCATGTCGGCACGCCAAGTTGTACACCGTATCTTTCGATTCGATCGTTTCCAAACATATCGCACTGATATATGATCGTTAGTATCATGTATAACTACTGGGCAAAGGTGGTATATATATACCATCAAGTACATACCACACAAACTGACTCTTGACTTCTTCCGACAACTGCTTCTCCTTGCGCAGACTCTCCCACCACGTCTCGAATGGCTGCTTCTCCACCAGTTTGTCTAGACGTCGTCGGCGTGTCTCGGTCGGGAGGTTAATCGCCGGCTGTTCGGGTTCGGGTCCTCGTCGGTCGACATAAAAGCGGAGCCTGGAATCACCAGTTAGCATGATGTCCACCACCAATATCGCCTTGGATATAAACATACGCAGTAATAACACACAGGCCGACAAAGATGATGCAGAATGCAATCAAGATCTCCATCGGCTGCGTGCCGATCGACCTGTGGCTCATGGTCGAGTTAGTCATATTCGATAGCTATTTCATGGATGGTGATGTTATATAGAGGCATATATAGATATATATATATATATATATATTGAACTATATTATATTATGCTTAGGTTAGACGATGGAGGAATGATAGAGACCAGACGGTTGAAGAGTCGATCAAAGAGATAATGAAGTGAGGCGAGCAGGTGACCCCTCACGCGCGTGACCGTCCGTGCGACTCGAAACACACGACGAGACGTCAAAGAAGAGATCCCCTGTCCTTCCCCTCCCATCATCAACACGGTGTGTTTGGCTCGGCTCTGTTGCTTCTTTGAATCTGGTGGTCTATCTATAGATCCAAGAGAAGCTCTTTCAAGGTGGTTTGAACGTCCAAGACCCTTCCTCATCGAGTGCCGAGCTGGATACAGTATGGATAAGACCGGGGAGGGACAAAGACACGAGTTCATGGACAAAAATAGCTGGGCGATATTCCAGAAATTGGCTCTGAAACAGCCACAGGGGCTTAATCGTTGCGAAAGAAACTGATATTTGTTTATTTCCAGGAGCAAACAGAACTTCTCGACGTCTGTCTTAACCCTCGTTAGTCAGCGACGACACCGAGTGACAAAGAGGACAGCCGATTTCGCTAAGATAATATAAAATATGGATATAGGGGTATAGAGTGATCTTGATCATGATATACAAAACAGATATATATAATAATAATGGAGGGTTGGAAGATGATTTAGAGATAGAGCAGTTTACATATAAATTGACGAAGGTGAGCGGTTAAATTCCAACCCCTTCCCCCCCCAAGGAAAAATCTAACACATCCTGCTACCCTGTACTCATTTCGCATACAGATCCAGCTCATTGACAAACACCCCCCGAGGCTTGCTGAGCGTGCTTCGCCCCCGTTTCAAGAACAGACCATCGCCCTTGCTGCCCAGCACGCCGCCGTTGTCGCGATCCCACACCACTTTCCCCCGCAGGATCGTGTACCGCGGCCAATTGGCAAACTCCATTCCCTCGAACGGAGTGTAGTCGATGTCGTGGTGCAACATGGCATTGTCGAGTGCGAAAGGCGTCATGCTCGACGCTGCTCGCCCGCTCAGCGCCTTATAGTTCGCTGCTTGCTCCTGTGTCGGATACCAGATGACGAGATCTGCGTCGTGGCCGGGAGCGATGGTGCCCTTGCTTCCCCCCATCCCATACAGCTTCGCCGGGTTGGAACTGGTAAGCTCGACGAACTTTTGGATCGACAGTCGGCCCGTCAGCACTCCATGGCAGAAGAGACTAGGCATGCGTGTCTCCAAGCCTGGCAAGCCGTTGGGGATCTTCGTAAAGGTAGAGGTGCCCGCCTTCTTACCAATAGGGTGATCGAACCTATCCAACGTATCATATGAGAAAATTGGATTCCAGGACTTCATGTTCTTGTAATGAGAGAGGGTATGGCTTACTTGGAAGGTGCGTGGTCGCTGGAGAAGGTCGTGAAGGTCCCGTTCACCAGCCCTTCCCACATAGCGTCCAGATGGAGCGGATCCTCCCGCAAGGCAGGCGAGCACACACATTTGGCCCCTTCAAACCCTTCTCCCCGGAGTTTTTCGCTCGTGAAGAAGAGATACTGGGGACACGTCTCGGCGTGGACAGGCAGCAGCCGGGTCTGTGCGCGACGGACGTGCGCCGCAGCCATCTTGGAAGACATATGGACGATCAGGATGGGGATGTCCGCCAGTTCCGCCAACGAGATGATCCGGTATGTCGCCTCATCCTCGGCGATGTTGGGCCGGGAGACCGCGTGGTAGTACGGCGCTGTCAGCCGGCGGGCCTCGAGCTTGTCCGTCATCCATTCGATCATTTCAGCATTCTCGGCATGGATCATTGTGGTCATCCCCAGCCGCCGCGTCGACTCCATCACGTCGAGGATGTCGCGGTCTCTCAGCCGCAGCGGTTTGTACGTCATGTATAGCTTGACAGAGCTGATCCCCCCCTCGCGCACCAGCACCGGCATCTCCTCGTCCAGGATGCTTGGCGTCGGGTTCGTGAGGATCAGATGGAACCCGTAGTCGCAGTAGCAGTTGCCCGCCGCGCGTGCATGATAGTCCTCCACAATCGGATGGAGACTCTCGTCGGTGCGGGTCTGCGTTGCAAACGCCAGAACTGTCGTCGTGCCCCCTGCTACTGCGGAGCGTGTACCCGTCTCAAAGGTGTCTCCTGTCGGGTTGTTGTCTTGCTGCAGATGCACATGGCTGTCCACCCCGCCTGGTACGACATATGCCCCCTGAGCATCCAGCACTCCTGCACCGGGGAACAGCGCTGTCAGGTTCTGGCCTAGTAGTAGAATCTTTCCTCCGCCGATGGCAATATCTTGCTCGGGGAGGACATCGGATGCCGTGGCCTAAGGGTTAGCTACTCCCCTCGTTTCTCAAAGCAGACGATAGGAAAACGTACAATGGTGGCATTCTGAATGACCAAGTCAACACTCGCGGCGACCTTCATGGTGATCTAGATGGTGCGTGATCTGTCTGCTGTGATCGGATGTGATGATGGGAGAAGACATTTGGCCCATGTTTTCTTTCCCCCCGCCTTGGCCGACTATCTGTGATCATTCCATCTTATTCCTCTAGGTGAGTGTCTCACGCTATCATTGGAGTATGCACAGCCAGAAGATAAGATTGCAGGGTTGGTTGGTTACCATATCCAGGATCTAGATAGGCCAGTATTCCTCCCCTCATCTTATCGCCTGCGGAGAGCGATCACGCTGATAACAAGGCGATTTTGGGGAGGGGGGTAAATCAGTGAGTCTTTGGACTGGAAATCACTGAATCTGAATCCAAGTTTTAATAAGAAAACTGCTGACAGCCAGAATGCCTCGAGTCGTCCGCCTCGCTGCTGCCCAGATGGGCACCACCAATAAGTGGGATACGCGCGAACAAACAATGCAGCGGATGATCAAGCTGCTTGTTGATGCGGCCGGGCAGGGTGCGCAGGTCGTGCTCTTCCCAGAGATCGCCTTCACGACCTTCTTTCCTCGCTACCTGATCCTCGATGAGCAGGAGATCGAGTCATGGTTCGAGCACGGTGACGTGACAACCGCACCCAACACCAAGCCTCTCTTCGACGAAGCGCACAAGCTCGGCGTCGATATTTGCGTGGGTTTCGCCGAAAATACGCCCGAGAACGACCACTACAACAGTTGCGTGTACTACCACGCGAAGACAGGCTCGGTGCTGGCCAAGTACCGGAAGATCCATCTTCCCGGCGATGCAGAGCCGCTGCCGGATCCCAAGGCCATTAACCAGCTGGAAAAACGGTACTTCAAGCCGGGCAACCTGGGGTGGCAGGCATTTCGCGTGCCCGAACTGACATCATCATTATCCTCGTCTTCTTCTTCCGCTCCCCCAGACGAGCGCGGGGACCCGATCTTCGGCATGATGATCTGCAACGACCGCCGATGGGCCGAATCGTGGAGGGTCCTCGGCCTGCAGGGGGTGGAAGTCGTGCTGTGTGGCTACAACACAAACGGGTACGCGCCTGAGCTATGGGGGGTGTCGGCAGCGACGTTGGGCCGGAAAGAGGCGGAGGAGCTGTCACTCTTCCACCACCAGCTCGTCATGCAGGCCAACTCGTACACGAACGCTACGTTTTCCGTGTGCGCGGCACGCTGTGGCCTCGACGACGGCCAGTTCCCGCTGATTGCGGGATCGATGATCATCGACCCGGAAGGTCGCATTCTGGCGCAGAGCAGCACGACAGCCGACGAGCTAGTCATCGCCGACTGCGACCTCGAGCTATGCCGGCCAGGGAAACAGCGCACGTTTGACTTTGCTCGCCATAGACGCATCGAGCATTACCAACCCATCGCCACGCAGACGGGAGTCATTGAGCCATCCCGAGACACAGACGCCCGATCTGTAGAGAAAAAGGAGCCAGTTCTAAAAGGCGACACCGTCAGAGAAATCAAGAAGATCCGTGTATTGCTCTGCAACCCCAACACAACACAAAGCATGACCGACGCCTGCGTACAGAGCGTCCAGGCCTCCCTCCCCGCCGACGTAGAAGTCCACGGCCTGACGGCGTCCGCCCCCGCCCCGACAGCAGTGGAGGGACACTTCGACGCCGTGATGTCCGCCGCGAGCGCCGTGCGCGCCATCCTCCCCCTCGCAGACCGCTACGACGCCTTCCTAGTCGCCTGCTACAGCGATCATCCGCTTATCCGCATGCTGCGCGAGGAAGTCGACCAGCCCGTCGTGGGGATCATGGAGGCGAGCCTGATCGCGGCCCGTACGCTGGGAAACAGGTTCGGCGTCGTGGCCGTCTCGGCGAGGTCGCGCGTCATGCACGAAGATGCGATCAGGCACTACGGGTTGACTTCCTTTTTCGTGGGTGTGGGGAGTTGTGATATCGGCGTGCTGGATCTAGCATGCCACAACGACACCACCAATACTGGTATTAAAGTTGTTGAATCTATCGTTGCGGATGTGGCTGCCTCCCTTGTCGATCAAGGGGCAGACACGCTCACCCTCGGATGCGCGGGAATGACGACCCTCAAGACCGCTGTTGAGAAGCGTGTCGGTCCGAAAGTGCAGGTTGTTGACGGGGTGGTTGCGGGCGTGCACCATCTCGTCGGGCTGGTGCGTATGGGTTGCAAGACGGCCAAGGCGGGGATGTATATGAGTTCGCGGGCTAAGAGGATCGCGCGTGGTCAGGAATATTATTGATTGAAATCTTTTTCACTCATGGAGAGTTTATCATTGAAATAGAATATATTAGACAGAGAGGGGAGAAGTATGAAAATCGTCAATCATAACCAAAAAAGAAGAAAGAAGAAGAAAATAAGTACAAGAAGGTATCTAAGAAGGAATAGAAAGCAACGGAAAAATGTATGATCTAGATGCCTCCCGTGCCGAACAACTCCATTTTGATGCGCGCATCGGCGACGCCCTGGGCGCTGAGCGAGGTCTTCATGTCGGTCATGAACGCGGTGGGCCCGCAGACGTAGTACTCTGTCTCCGGGTTGTCGAGGTAGAGGTCGCCGGCGAGATCGAGCTTCTGCAGGTTGATGCGACCGACGTGGTGGTAGTCGACACCCTGGCGGTCGTCGGCAGCCGGGGCGGAGACGAAGAAGGTGGCATTGAGGTTGGGGAACTGCTTGTTGAGGCCGAGGATGTGGCGGGAGAAGGCGCGGGCGCCGGTGGTATGGGCGCCGTGGATGAAGTGAATCTTGCGCTCTGGGTGCGGGGCGCCCTGTGCGGTGATGGTGTTGAGCATGGAGGTCAGCGGAGTCAAGCCCACGCCGGCGGAGAGGAGGACGACCGGGGTGGCGGCCTCGCTGCTGCTGAGGAAGAAGTCACCGTACGGGTGGGAGACGTCGACGAGGTCGCCCTCGTTGACGTTGCCGTGCAGCACGTTGGACACGTAACCCGGGTGCGCCTTGTCGCCCGAGGCGAGGCCGGCCTCCTTCTTGACGCTGATGCGGTAGTAGCTGGGGTCGGGCCGGTCGCTGAGCGAGTACTGGCGCGGCTGCACGTATCCCAGCTCGGGAACGGGGACGCGAACGGAGATGTACTGGCCGGGCTGGAAGGCGGGCAGCGGCTTGCCGTCGACGGGCTCTAGATAGAAGGAGGTGATCTCGGCGGACTCGGGGGTCTTGCGGGCGACCTTGAACTGGCGCCAGTCGGTCCAGCCGTCGGCCTCGTCGTAGAGCTGCTTCTCGCGGCCGATCATAATGTCAGCCAGCTGCCAGTAGGCCGCGGCCCAGGCATCGTGGATGGCGGGAGTCAAGGCGTCTCCGAGCACTTCGGCCATGGCCTCGAGCAAGAACTTGCCGACGATCTGGTACTGTTCGGGCTGGATGTAGAGGGAGGCGTGCTTGTGGCAGATCAGCTCGACGGCCGGGCCCAGTGCACCCAGGTCATCGATGTGCGAGGCGTAGGCAAACACGGCGCCCGCCAGCGCGCGCTGTTGGTGGCCGTTGGTCTGGTTGACCATGTTGAACACCGTGCGCAGCTCCGGATGGGCGTTCAGCATGTTGCGGTAGAAGGCAGTGGTGATGGCGTTGCCATATTCCTGCAGAACAGGCACAGTGGCCTTGATCACGGTGACTTGCTCAGGTGTCAACGGCATTCTGATGATGATGATGATGATGATGATGACTCGACAGCGAGGATGCTATGCTAAGATGTTGCTATAGAATAGACAGACAGATAGACAGAACGCTTGATGGTTGAATTCCCTGTCCCTTCTTGGGGGCATCGTGATGGTATTTATTCTTCGAAAATTCTGCTTTCGAGCGCGTGGCGCGGGCCGTGGCCGGGTGTCCCTGGAGCCAGAGAAGAACTGTCATCTCCGCGGAGGTGCTGATGAAGCATTTAGACGGACGCTGCAGCTTCTTGGAGACTCAGTAATTCCTTCTTTCTGATGGGCCGAGGACATTTCTCGGCGTCGGGCGGGGAAACGCTGGCCCATCGAGCCGTGGTCTGTAGGGCCCCTGAGCCACTCGGGCGCGGTCGTGAGTTTGGACAAACGATTTACCTAACAGCAACAACGTCAGGCCACGCTGCCCACGGGAATGATGACACACCGGGGCTCTCTAGACGGAAATCTGCTTGGTAGGACTCACCAGAGACATGCCGGACTCGAATTATTCGTCCACGGCGGTGCTTAGGCGAGAGGGGGAGGGAGGGGGTGGGCCAGTTCAAGAATCTGCTGGGATTCTGTCGGCCTTTGCAGAATGACTCAGCATGACGGAGAAAAAAATCGACAGTACCAAAGAGTGGACAGGCAGTGGACAGGCAGTGGACAGCAGTGGACAGCAGTGGACACTGGACAGGCACTGTCAAACAGCAAGGCAGCAAGGCAGCAAGGCAGCAAGGCAGCAAGGCAGTCAGGCACAGATAGTCGGCTCCGAGATTCCCCATTTGGCAGGCCCTTCGTGCTAGTCTGGAAACGGCATGGTGGAAGACATTGATGAATCAGCGTGCATTAATAAGTAATGCAATCCCCTTATGCATTTCCAGCTTCCCCTCTTCTTTCGTCTCGACTCGCCCTCATTATCCAACGGGATCTTCATCTACTGTGGAGCATCTGGGAGGAACGTATGACGCTGCCTAGGGAAGTGATTGTTATTGGATTGAGAACTAGTCCAGTATAGTGCAGCTAACCGAAGGGTTCCAGTTACGTGTGGAATAGATCGCGATGAGGTCTTCCCACTTACCCGGACGACTCTGCATGGTCCAGCAGACTTCTTCAGAATGGCGGATCTATCACGATTTCACTATAAACAGCACTCTATCTATCGGAAGTGAGTTTCCCTGAGCTTTGACTGGACAGTTCACCAAGCTAAACTATACTAATTCAAGGGTCTGCCAGTGTCACTGTTACAAAGTTGATATTTTCAACTTCCGCAATCTATGCCTCATTGCTCTCTTCTTAAATATCCATGAATCATCACATATATGGGGCCCATCGCCAGAGATCCGCTCTGACCACTATCGAGAGGTCCAGACCGCCAGATTGGCCGTTTGCGGCGATGTGAAGCGGATCCAGCGTCCAGCCTTATCGATTATCAGCTGGTTATCGACTGGGAGCCAAACATTCGAAGCAGAGGCACGCGACACTCATCTAAGACATGCCGTGGTGTCTCCGGGTTTATCTCTGCTTTGGGGAGAGTGATGTCTCTATCCAACAGTCATGACGTCGAAGAAAAGAGGTTGTCCGCGATGTCACATTCGAGCCGTGCTCGCTTCAACGAGCATTTAACAGGGGAGATATTTCCGGAATTCCCACGCTTGGTGCGAATCTGCGGAGAAACTGATCGACTCTCGTTCCTTGTTCGTACGTGCGTTCGTTCGTTCGTTGTGTTGTGTTCACGCCGCTGCTAGAAAGCACATGCCATTCTTCAAGACTCACTCGGCTGCGGCCAGAGACACGGCCGCTTCTCGTTCGAGAGGCCAGCTGCCCATGCTGAACTTGCCCGACACGGCGCGCAACAACCTTGTTGCAGTGGTGGGCGAGTTCGTTGGGACCTTTCTCTTCCTCTTCTTCTCCTTCGCCGGCACTCAGGTCTCCAACACCCCGGCCCCCGCGGAAGGGGCGCCCCCGAACACATCCAACCTGCTCTACTCGGCACTATCATTTGGATTCGCCCTGACTGTCAATGTCTGGGCCTTTTACCGTGTGACCGGTGGTCTCTTTAACCCGGCGGTAGGTTTTTCTTCTTTTTTTTTTTTTTATCTCCGTGATCACCGGACCTGAGATGGATGATTTCTGAACACTGAACTTGAAAATAGGTCACTCTCGCCCTGACTCTTGTCGGCGGCATTTCTGTCCTGCGAGCTGTCCTGCTCGTCCCCACGCAGCTACTGGCTGGAATCGCAGCTGCCGGCGTCGTGTCTGCTTTGTTTCCTGGCCCAGCCAACTTTGGCACCAGTCTCGGCGGAGGGGCCTCCATCTCGCAGGGCCTTTTCATTGAGATGTTCCTCACTGCCCAACTGATCTTCATCATCATCATGCTGGCGGTTGTCAAGCACAAATCCACGTACCTTGCCCCCGTCGGCATTGGTCTGACTTTCTTTGTCACAGAAATGATTGGTACGCGTGGCCAAATACTCTATTTTGATTATCCGTAAATGTCTGTCTCACTAATGAACCAGGCGATTACTATACCGGCGGTTCTTTGAACCCCGCCCGCTCCCTCGGCCCGGCCGTGATCAACCGCAATTTCCCAGGCTACCACTGGATCTACTGGGTCGGCCCCGGACTCGGCTCGCTGCTAGCCTGTGGGTTCTACGGCCTGCTCCAGCTCTTCCATTATCACACCGTCAACCCGGGTCAAGACTTCAATGATGTCGAGGCGCGCATCAGTAGCGAAAAGGGCGACGACGGCAGCGAGCGTACCGCCAACGGTCATTCCCGGGGGCCCTCAGAGGCCACCACCGTCGAGCAGACCACCCCGCAGCCAAATGGTGCTTTCAACGGAAGCGCCGTATAGCCTGGTTTACTACTAGACTTGGTCGTTTTAGAATGAGTTGTGAAATGAGTTGCGGGTATGGAGTATGGAGTTTGGAGTATGGAGCGCTAGGATGTAATACTTATCTGTTATGAGTATTTGTGAGTATAATGTGCAGTGGGACGTATACTCGTCATGATAATGGTGATGTCTAGTTACGATATAGTATAATAATACTGTCTCTCTAATACAAATACTACTTATTGGAACATCTCCTTACTCGAGTCAGCCAAGGAATGCTGTATCACCAGCCACGCCGATCACCCAAGATACCCCTTGAATGGTTATAGGGGTTTCACTGGAAATGAAATCCCGATCCTCCTCATAATATATCCATTATCTACATTGATTCCTCAAGTAACTAGACGGAGTACTTCGTACTCTTCAACTTCAGCAAAATGGCTGTAGAATCCGCCAGCGACGCCCAGCTCCTAGGTAGTCACCCTACATAACCTAGTAGATATACTATAGAACAAAAGTAGTGAGTGACTAACAATGACAAGCGGCGATGGGCTACAAGCAAGAACTCCGGCGCCAGTACTCGACCATCCACATCTTCGCCATCACGTTCAGCATCATGGGACTGATGCCTAGCATTGCCTCTGCGTTATCTTTTTCCCTTCTTGTCGGACCGGCGGGGATGGTTTGGGTATGTTTTCCCCTTTGATTCATACCTACCACCTCAACTAATAGCTGGGATCAACTGTAGGGCTGGGTCTCTGCTACTTTTTTCATTTTCCTCGTTGGATTGTCCATGGTAAGAATCTCGAGGATACCTTAACAGATCTGTACGTGATATAACAAGGTACTAACCATAACTTATATAGGGCGACCTGGCTTCTGCACTCCCAACGGCTGGAGGGCTATACTGGTGGACGCATCATTTCGCGGCCAAGCGGTTCAAGAACCCGCTGAGCTTTCTGGTCGGGTATAGCAATACGCTCGGCTTGATTGGCGGGTTATGCTCGCTGGACTGTAAACATGAAGAAGAAACACGATCTTTGTACCAATGTTCTCAACTGATATCGTTTATGTAGACACCCTTTCATTGATGATTCTGTCCTGTGTCTCGATCCACAATGACGGCGAATGGACTGCCTCTCGCGGCGTGATCTATGCCGTCTTCGCCGCCATCCTCATTCTGCACGGCGTGGGTGCTGCGTTTCTCGGCCGGCTCATGCCTCGCATCCTGACTGTGTGTCTATATCTGAACATCGCGCTCGTCGTGGCCACGGTGGTCGCCCTACCTGTGGGGAAGAGGGTGGTCCGCCATGAACCGCTCAATTCAGCTGGGTATGTCTTTGGCCACGTGGAGAACCAGACGGGCTGGCCCGTCGGATGGGCATTCTTCCTGTCCTGGCTGGCTCCTATCTGGTCGGTGGCTTCGTTCGACTCGTGCGTGCATATGAGCGAGGAGGCGATGCATGCCGCGCGTGCGGTGCCGCTGGGGATTGTCTGGACGGCGGGCTCGGCGTGGGTGCTGGGGTTTCTCTGTGTTGCGGTGATTGCGGCGGTCATGGATACCAATGTCGACCATACATTGTCGAGTGTATTCGGCCAGCCAATGGCACAGGTAAAGATTGGAAACATGAGGTCTCCAGTGTATATTACTAAAGTATGAATTAGATATATTACGATGCTCTCGGGAAACGTGGCGCCCTCGGATTCATGGCGGCGATCATCTTTGTCCAGTTCCTCATGGGCCTCACCGTGGTAGGTCTCGATGTCACTGAACTCCAAGGCATCAACACTGACGGGCACATAGATGGTCGCGACATCCCGTCAGGCATGGGCGTTCTCCAGAGACGGCGCTCTGCCCTTCTCCAATTTCTTCCGCCACATCAGCACCCGCGTCAAGTACCAGCCTGTGCGGGTGGTAATGGGGTTGGTAGTGATGGGGCTGATTGTCGGTCTGCTTTGTCTGATTAACAACGCTGCGGCGAACGCCCTCTTCTCCCTTTTTGTAGCGAGCAACTATCTGTCTTGGGGGCTTCCCATTTTCTGCCGGCTTGTCTGGGGGCAGCATGAGTTCCAACCTGGAGAGTTTTACACGGGGGTATGGAGCAGGCCGATTGCCACCGTTGCGGTGATATATCTGGCCTTTGGGATTGTCCTGTCCATGTTTCCCACCACGGGGCCGAACCCGAGTCGTAAGTGTTCTCCTTGCATGCCTGACCTTCAGACCAACACTAATAGACCCAGCGGAAGATATGAACTACACGGTCGTCATCAACGGAATTGTCTGGGCGGGATGTTTGATCTATTATGCCCTCTTCGCCCGACGGTGGTTCACGGGGCCAAAAGTGACGGCCACGACAAGCCTAAACGCGGAGGTCAGCAAGAATCAGACAGAGACAACTTTCGATGGGGAGTGGGCGTGAAACAGAATATAGATGGTATTCCATACCATTGGCATTAAAATCGTGTCAGGGCCTAGTAATGTAGATGCATGGGAATACCATTTCACGTCAACAATAGAACTCTCCTGCTTGACCCTGTCATCTGCTGACCCGACTGGTCTATACGAGAGATACTGATAGCTGAGACCCCCTGAATAGAAACTCGGCAGAACGCTCCTGCAGAAGGATCGATTCGAATCTGTCCTGGATTGAAGGTCTATGACGAGTATCGGGACTGGTCAGCCTGATATTCAATGAACAGGATACGTTTGTGACGGATTGGGGTAGGGATGGTAACCGTAATTCAGGGGGGAAATTGTTGCTGGGAGCAGGCAGAGAACAGAAGAGAGGAGGAGGGTAGAAGAAAAGCACGTCAGGTGACAGTCCAACTTCTCTTCTCCTCTTCTCTTCTTCTCGAGTCCTTCCCACAGGAAACGTCAATCCACAATCAAAGAATGCCGTCACGCTTCCCGGGTATTTACATGCGTGTAAGTCTATTGAGTCAGTTGTGTTCTCAACAGCTAATCTCGAACAGGAATATCATTGTCGTCGTCGGGACACAATATGGATTGTCGCGGGTCTGCTGTGATATAGGAAGATAACTAAGGGATAAGTACAGGAAGGAGGTACATAAATGAGTATCTCTCCCTTTTCTTTCAAACCAATCCATACATTCTCGAATCTATCAATTTATCTCTGTTCATCATGCGCTCTGTACCGCTCCTCGCTGGCTTCTTCGCTCTAACCCACGCCAAAATCATTGTACGATAGTACCCTCTTTCTCTCGCTGTCATTCACATTAAGCTGACTTTAAGTGTAGTTGACCCTGTACAGTCAAGATAATTACCAGGGAGACAGGGGCATCTTCTCACCAAGTGATGGTTCGTGTCTTGAGTTGCCAGACCAATGGTAAGTAAGACAGTACCCAGAGTGGAAGGATATATAACCATAACCATGTATCTCCCTGTGGGTGTTTTCTATCTCTCACTATCGACAGGAAAGCGAGGGCCGTCTCTCTTACATTGAATGAAGGATACTACTGTCTTCTTTACACATAGTAAGTCGAATCTAGGAGCTAGTTGTCATTACCGTGCTTATGACAGTGAATCTGGCTGTGATGGAAACGAACAGCTGGTCCTGCACAATATGACGCAGGTGGAGGAGCCGTTTCTCAGCGTGCGATGTGGACAGGTGGACTAAAGGAAGTAGATAGAGATATGAGAATGCAAATAAGGAGAGGATATTTCATTTCATAAATCTCGTTAATGTCGATCCTACGATCCCCTCGATGCGGCCCTCCACCGTCCCGGCGAGGACGCCCACGCCGACGATCCCGCCATCGCTGGCTTCGCGCATGAAGATGCTCTGTCCGCCGTGCTGCGGCCCGCGCAGAATCAGGCGGTCCAGATACCTCTGCACCGTCTCCTTGTAGCCCGGGTAGTGTTGGATCACACCTCCGCAGAACGCGACCACCAGCTCTTCGGGTCCCTGGCGCCAAGTCGTGTCCGAGACAAGCGGGGCTGGCTCTCCCGGCTGAAAGTGATTCTCACTGCTGCTACTCTCGGCTGGCGGTGACAGCCGGATCTCCTGCGTTGCGGCTAGCAGCCCGACCGTCGCCGCAGCCACGAGAGCCGCCGACCGGATCTGGACCACATGGGCGATCGTGCGTAACGCGTTCGAATGCGCGGGCGTCCAAAAGGACCGCCTTCTCGACGAGGCAGGCGAAGGGATCTCGCGCTCCAGCGCCGCGGTTAGTTCTGCATCCGCACGCACCGGAGCGACCACCACAGAGAGGAACTCGGTCGTCAGCGCATGTTCCTCCAGAAGCACTGAGGGCATCTCCTCCCTCGCCACACCGAGCACATTGACAAAGTAATCGTACGTGATCAGGCGGACTAGCTCGCCGAGATAGTGGCCTGCAACCATGTACTCGAAGGTCTGGAATCCCGGACGGGCAGAACGGGCATCAAGCAGAGCATCCCATTTCGTGACGAGCCGCAGGTCACGCAGGGGCGGCGTCGAGTCCGCCAGACTCCACTCGGTGCTGACAAGGACATGCGTCGCGGCCGGATTTTGCGCAAGGATATGCTTGACTTTTGCCCGGTGTAGATCGGAAATCCGCATATGTACGCTGGCATTGCACCCCCCACCGACCATGAGGCCCATGACGACACGCGAGTTGGGCAGCGCGCTAATCGAGTACGCAAGCGATAGGAAGATGGCAACCGTGTCGTTGGCCATGGCGGTGATACGCAGCGGGGGGAGTTGAGTTTCATTTTTAGGGGCTTGGTCATCACCACCACCACCACCACCACCACCACTACTACTGTCATCGTCGTCGCCGCCGTCGTCGTCAGTCTCCCGGCGAGTATGCCTCTCGTATCCATCCAGTAGAGCTTGTCTCAGATTGAGATTGGAGGAGAGCGTGAATCCTTTGCCTGTGGGGGCGAGAATGGCTTCATCGGGGGAATTTTGCCTGAACCGTTAGAAATGTCCGTTTAGCTAGAGGTAAAAGTAACTCGAGCGAGAAGAAGCAGGATTCAAGAATACATCAAAGGGAAGCAGAATGATATCCCCATCACCACCTCTGCCGGCCAATCCTCCGCCCGCAGCGGCCGAACCGAGTCGCTGACCACGTCCGCAATCCGATCACCGATCCACATAAACAGATCCTCCGGATGACCCTGTTTCAGCTCGGTATCAATCGACCATGCCTTTTCAAGCGTACGTTTGACGCGGGGGCCACAACCAGCGCGGAGCCGAGACAGTGGTGATGACGATGACGATGACGATGACGATGACGATGACGATGGCGATCCCCTGCCCTTTGTTTGTTCTGTTCCAGAGAGTTCGATGAACGCGATCCGCAGGTACGACACGCCCACATACACGGCGAGATAGCGGCCTGTCTCATGGCCGGTCGGCAGCGAGGTGATGGGCGTGGGCAGGAACTGCGCCGAGGACTCGTGGAAGAGCGAGCGATACGCGGTCGACCAGCGGTAGGCGAGATCGTAGACCGTTGCCTCGGAGAGCTGGAGGGGTTGCAGGAAGGAGGCAAGCCCGGCGGGCGGGCGAGACATGGTGAGCGAGGTACTTGCCAGGGAAAACTTGACGCCATTGTTTTTTTTTTTCTTCCTATCTTTTTAGGTAGTAATGATATTCTGTTGTATCCTGGAGTTACTTCGTGATGCTTGCTGCAGCTACGACGTCGGAATGGCACCATCCGCAGCCCCGACAGGGGGCCAGGGATATTAATTGCGGAATCCAGGAATTATCCTGCCACCATCCACGCTAAAATTACTTTATTCAAGGTTATCGCTTGTTGATCGGGGGTTATCAGATCTGGAATGGTGGGTTTAATTTCACAAAGTAACTATGAAAAGAAAACGATAGGAAGTGTAGAGGACGCGCTCTGGATATCACCACTGTTGGGAATTGGATACGAAAGGGAATGAAAGGTCGACAAAAATAACAGTGAGGTATAAAGAGAGAAGAAACGACAAGAACAACATGACTTTATAAGGAAGATAGGGTACTACAGAGCAACCATCAGCCCGAAAACGCCAACAACACCAGCCAGACTGAGACTCAGCGCGGCGGTCGGAGCAGCGGCGCCAGAAGAGGAAGACGAGGAGGCGGAGCTAGTCGAGGTCGACGACGTGGAGGAGCCGGAAGCCGTGGTGGTGGCCGTGGCAGCAGAGCCGGTGTTGCTGGCGGTGTCGTGTACTGTGGCCGTGGCCTGGCCGTTGGAGCCCGTCAGGGTGGTCCAGCCTTCCGTGAAAGTCGAGTAGCGGCTCTCGGCCTCCGAGGCGACGGAGGACGCGTAGCTCTGGGCCTCCGAGTAGATGGAGGCCGCTTCCGAGGTCAGCGAGGTGTAGGCTGCGCCGCCTGCGGTCTCGGCCGCGCTGGCGAGGGACTCGGCTGCCGTGGCGGCCTCGGTAGCAACGCTCTCCGCGGCGCTGACGGCGGTCTCGCCGGCGCCTTCCGCTTCAGAGACAATGGAGTTGATGTCCACGGCGGACACGGCGGAGGCCGCGACCAGGAGAGAAGCAATGTAGGTGAACTTCATGATGCAAGGTAGTTCGTAGAGAAGAATTGTTTTCTTTAAGTTATGCTCGAGTATGTCTCAGTGAACAAGCCACGTGTGATAAGTCAGGAATGAGGTATGATTAATCGGGAATGAGGAGTCATGATGAGCTCCCTGGCGATCAAAGGGTTTTATACGCATGAGGATCCCTCCTGTTACTCAGCAGGGAAACAAGGTTCTGCGGTCCCCCAACATCGACAAGGCGCAGCTCATGCCCACTTTCAGCAATCAGCGAGGTTTTGTGGCCACCCCCAAAAAGGGTACCAGAGTTGGCTCATCCTCATTTCGACGGGGCTCCACAAGCAAGGGACCAGCAAACCACGCGAACCAAACCAGCAACAGTGGAGTTGATCTTCCATGAGAGACTGTCATTTGAGCAGGTTCCTTCACACTCCTTCCACTAAAGACTTTTCCCATCGTCATCGAAAACCATTTCTTTGCGTATTCTATAACTTCCACATGTCCGTGAAGCTTCTATGAAACGCTCGTCAGCCAAGAAACCGCTCGTCGTCAGCACGGGGCGGTGAAACAGCCAGGAACCTAGGAAATTTCCGCAGTGAGCGCTCTATGGCCGGAAATAATGATGCTGCCTGTGTGAAATCTGCTGTGTAAGCCCGGCTTACGGAGGCGTCTGATGCTCGAAGCATGCCGACTCGTCGAGCCAACTCGATGTGACGTCTGCAACGGCCCAGAATAGAAGCCGCGAAATCTGGTTGTGGGAAATACAAACAGGGCAAACACCCCGAAGTCAGTGTGCTGACTCAGCACGTACTCGAGCTGGATGTGGCTGAGCTTATGTTGCCATTTTTAGACGATGCCTTGGTGTGGCGGTGGTGATGCGCCACGTTTTCACAACAGTTTACCCTAAAAAGAACTTGAGAGAAGCCTGGAAAAAGTAGATATAAATAAATAAATCAAAAATTGGGAATCTTGATGATATCATCATATTCGTTCTATGAATGCCCCCCCTGCCCCGTCGCTGAATACAAAAGAAAAAAAAAAGGAGCAAAAATTCGAAAGAATGGTATGGACAATACATGTAGCAGTGAAAAAAGAAAAAATAGAGAATGGATATCTAACAGGACAAGCGTTCCCCCCCCCCTAAAAACCACGGTACTCAGACACATCATTGGATTGCTGTGATTGTGGTTGTGGGTGTTGGTATGGAGCCGGAAGAGGTGACGGCGCCGTAGTGTACGGTGCTCGGCCATCGTCGCTCTGAGTGCTCGCCGCCATGGCATAGCTGGAGGGAGTCTCGCGACCAGGATTGGGCGAGGCAGAGGAGAAGTTCGAATAGCCCGAGAGGCGGTTGGGATTCGAGCCAGGTTGGTTGAGCGGACGGAGCGGCTCGAGGTGCACGGCGACGTCGGCGGAACGCGGGCGATCGGCGAACATCATTGAGTAGCGGTCGAGTTTGGTGTCGCTGGTGGCGGCACTGGGGGACTTGCCTTGTGCGTCGACCAGAGGGACGACGGAATAGGTGGATCCGTCCTTCTGCAGCTTCTCGGCCTCGGCAGCCCAGCGGCGTTCACGGGCCCTCTTTCGCAGGCAGTACGTGAGGCTCGAGGCAATAAAGATGACACCGAGGCTTCCAAAGACACAGATGGCGGCGATCTCGCCGCGGCGGTTGTATGCCGCTCTGGCAGGGCTGGTGCTGGCAGTCGCCGACGCAGTCGAGCTGGTTGTCGAGGCGGTGCTGGTGGTTGTGGTCGCCGAGGTTGTCGCCGTCGCTGTTGTGGTCGCCGACGAGCTAGCGGTAGAGCTAGCCGTGGCCGTGGTGCTGGACGCTGTAGTGGCCGTCGACGTGGCCGTCGTTGCAGTAGTGGTGGTAGATGTAGAACTGCTCGACGTCGTCGTCGAAGAGGAAGTGGTTGAACTTGTGGTCGTGGTGGATGTCTCTGACGTTGTAGTGTCGGCTGTAGTCGTTGTGGTCTCGGAAGTCGTCGAATCTGTTGTCGCGCGCGCCTCTAAATCTCTTTTGCGCTGCCCTCCTACCCAGGCAGCATGCCCTTCATGCTGAACTGCGGTGATGATTGGCTGCACAGCGTCTGCCGTTCGATGAGGGCGAGCGGATCCGACTGCACACAGGGCGCCAAGCACCACAAGAAGAGATGCCCGCATCTTCACGATCAATCAAGGTACAAGAATACGGCAAATAGTGTTTTTGCCGGAAGAAAAAAACAGAAGAAGCAGTCGCCAAACTGTCGCAAAACTGAAGCGGGAGAAAAACCCATCTCGAAGTGCCCTGCACCGCACACTTAAAGAACCAACCCCCCCCCCATGGCAACAACATTAGCGACTATTGGCCATAGCCCTAAGGGATGCGTGAGTCGTAAGGGGATGACGTGCCAGATCCGTGGCTGAGATTGTATTTTCGGTCTTCGCGGATCACTGATTGGCCCTATGGACAACGGTGGAGGTTGCGCACCGGGTAGTCAACGTACTCGTTACGCGGCCAGCAGTCGAAGATGCTGGGACTCGCCGCTGATCGGGTTTCACCTGGTGAGCTGTCTCTCATCTTGTCGGTCTGGATGGCGCGGGATGCAGACTGATTTGGCTGGATCGAGACACCTGTGCCGGCGATAATAATAGCCCTTTTCCTGTCTGCTGCGCTCGAGTCCAGGTTGTGTTTGGGCGATCGTCGGTCAAGACTAAAAAGGCGAGGCTGAGCTAAGCACATCACGTGATATGGACCGTTTCTTAGTCATGGGTCTGGGCCAGGGCAAGGAACAGGAACAGCAACAGGAACAGGAACAGGAACAGGCTTGATTTCTGGCGATCTTGGTGTTATCAAAGCTGTTGATAAGCCTTTGCTGCTGAGGTTTGAACCTATCCATACCGCAGAGGCTGGATGGTTACGCTGACGATGAGATTTCTCCACAGTGAGACAGCAGTCGGCTGGGTTTCCCTCGCCGCCGACTCTGGGGAGGGGGAGGGGGGATTTCGCAATAGGGACAAAGGCATGACGAACAGCGACGCGACGGTGGCTTTTCAAGGCCAAAGCCACCTTCTGAAAACCACGGCTAGGGGACTCCGGCGTCAACGCTAAGTAATAGACACTTTCCGACCGGGAGGGCTGTGTGTTTTACTGTACAGAGTACAGATTAGACCCTGCTACGCTTTCATCAGTGTATTGATGCCTCTTTCCTAGGATACTTATCTGTCGTGTCGGTTGATTACCCTTGTCTCTCCGTCGAGAGGGAAGCTCCAGGTACTTCCCTCTTCCTGCCATTACACTAGAGAACTATGGGAGAGAGGTGGTCCAGGAAGAATAAATCCAGAGATTGAGCGCGCTCGACTTTGACCAGCGACGAGAGTGTGTTACGAGGAGCCCCCTGACTCCCTACATTTCTATAGGCGGACAAAAAGAAAAATCTAGATGGTCAGTTCCTTGAGAGGATGGCGAATAACTGCTGAGCCCATGATTCGGTTTCAGGGGCTTGGTCAATCAGACAAAGAGCAGTAACAACCTGTGGAGACCAGAGAGACCGATCTTTGATTAAGATCATTCAAAATAAGATTACAGTTGAAGTCACAGCATGACTGAAACCAGCTAGTGAGAAATCATGGTGAAACACGCCATTGATTGATCGCCAGGCTCCGACAGGGCGGTTACCATATCTGCCATTTGATTCAATAGTTTACTGAGGAATTTAGAGCTCATGTTTATGTGCAAAGTGACAGGACCCTGAATTGGAATTCTTGAATGTGTCCCGAAGTCCATTGGATGTCTTCTTTGATTGTCCAGTCGGGTGTTGCGGCTCTCTTTTGTTTACCAACTAAACGACCTACGAGGCGAATCGCCGTTATGAAGGATGGGGCGCAATAATTCGACAAAATGAGCGTCTGATCCTTGAAGCCCATGTGCTCCTGCAAACAACCTGGTGAGATGAGATGAGAAGGAGTGGGCGCTATAAATTAAAGAACGATTTGATCTTCCAACGGTCGCCTCGACTTTACAATTATCCAGCTGTGCTGATACTTCCACCCTCATTTGGATACCTTCATTCTTTCATTCCTTTAAAGATTAGACACTCCTTTTAAATGTTTTCTTCTATCGCTCTTCTTGGAGTCTTGGGCTTCCTGGCAGCAATGAGTAAGCCGGTTCTTGCTCTTCCCACGCCTACCTTGGAGGCGGCGGCCACGACCACGACCACGACCACAACCACGACCACAACCACGTACTCGGCGAATGCCTTGATCCCGTTCTACGTCTACCCTGAAGACGGGGCCTGGGCGGACCTTGAGAAAGTGTATGCAGAACCATGGACTATTATTAAGTGGCAACTGACACACATTGACACATTATAGGATCGACGCCAACCCCTACGTCTTCTTCACCATCATCGTGAACCCTGACAGCGGCCCGGGAGCTTCCAGCCTGCCCGACGCAGCCTACGTGGACGCCGTGCGGGCAGTCAACTCGTATGGCAACGCGCGTACAGTGGGCTACGTCGCGACCGACTACGGCGAGCGGGCGATCGCGGACGTCGAGGCGGACATCGCGACCTACGCCAACTGGCCGACCGTCAGCGGCGACGATGACTTTGCCGTGGACGGCATCTTTCTCGACGAGGCGGCGTCCACCTACACCGAGACGCTGGGTACCTACTACTCCAACCTCGCGTCGTACATCAAGAGCGAGTGCGGGTTGGGACCCGACAACCTCGTGATCTCCAACCCGGGCACCGTGGCGAGCTCGGAGCTCCTCTCCATCCCAGACCAGACCGTCATCTTCGAGTCAAGCTATGCCGACCTGCAGTCCGACCGCTCCGCGGACGACTTCTCCGCGCTCGACAGTGTCGACAAGTCCACCCTCGCAGCCATCGTCTACTCTGTCCCCGAGAACGTCAATCTCTCTACAGTGCTCAGCGAGGTGCTCGAAGTCGCCGACAACGTCTTCGTCACCTACTCGGATACCTATAACGAATACGACGAGTCGCTCAGCGAGATGGCCGCCGATCTCTTGGACCTGTAGCTTCCCTCCCTTTTCTCCACCGGCTAATTTAGTTGAAATAGTATTTAGAGTATTTTAGCATTCACTTTTTTGGATTTCCCTGGGGGGGGGGGGGGGAGGGGAGGGATTTCTTATATCAGTGCTTTAGAAAATAGATCAGTGAACCAGTTCAACTCCTACAAACTCACATAAGACTCTCACAGGTAGATCTGAAACGATCCCAAGCGCTACTCAGATGAGGGATCGGATATTCGGCGAATAGGGTCAGTTGCTAAGAGAGTCCGACGCACAAATCGGATACGAATCCCGCAGTTTCAGCCTTGGGGGGTCAGAGACAGAAAAGTCTGTCCTATGGAGTAGTTCTATCTTTCAATAACCAACCTAGCGATGATTTGCTAGTTACATAGTAGTGTCTTTCTGCCTGCTAGCCATTTATTCTATACGAAGTACACTGTAGTAATTAACCAGGTAAGTTGGATGCTAACTACTGAATAGTACTCCGTTATTACTCCGTAGACCCAAGGTACTCTGTACTCCTATCATTCATATTGCTCTCATCCTCCTTGCCAACGGAGATTGCCTTTAATAAAAAACCGGATGGAGGAAACATGTGGCTGACCTGTTGATGCGCACTGAATGGCCGCAATGGAAAAGAGCCAATTTCCTTAGCTCACGCCATTGTAGCGGGCAGACGGCCGAATCAACCTCGCCGTCAAGGCCTACCGAATACGACCCTGGCGTCGGATGGTGTCGCACCAGTGCTGTCGCGCATCGAATCGAAAATGGTCCTTGACAGCTGAGACGTGAATGGGCCTGCAAATCGGCTTTGTCGAGTCTCACAGGGCGCTCCGTAAGGCCCAGCTGAGAGACTCCACCCACGCGGCGATGCAGTAGTCAATTACTAACTAGTTAACTAGTTAGTGAGGAGCGAATCTGCATATCGCCACTGTTGGCTGAAGGCAACAGGCGTGTTTTCAGGTACAGGGAACCAATCTGTGGTCGGATCCCATCGAAACAATAACGGGCGAGTGCAACCGACAGTGCGGCTTCGAATCACAGCGCTCCATTCTGCTCTCTTTGTCTGTTCGGATGGTTTCATCAGCATCATTGACCAACACTATCCAGACGGAGTATGTGAGATCTCACAAACGATGAAGCGCGCTGAGCCCAACTCGCCGTTGGCTGCGTCGGCGCTAGATTTCCCTCCCTATCCGCCACTGCCTCTCGTCCAATCTTCCCATTTTTCAGCAGCTCGGTATATCACGAAATGCGGAGCTAATTCTAGCCTTGAGTCCATGCTCGCCGGGCCGGCGAGTGGGGGAGGATGCCAGCTACCAAGAGGTATGGTAGGAGGCAGTCAGCTGTCTTGTCTTCTTCAGGGCGTTGAAGGATGGACGTATATAAATGTCCCGAGGGAACCGGTGTTGGAAGTCTTCCTTCGGTACCTCACTCTCTCTTCCCTCATCGCATCGCATAGCGTCACATTGCTTTGGAAGCTGTGCTTCCTATCCATTCCCTCATTGCCTTATAGATCTATTCCATTGATTGGAACAGTCGTCCACTCCCTTGTGATCCTGTCACTCCTTTCTCGAGACCTCCAACATCACCACCATCACCATCACCACTACCACCGTCATCATGTTCCTGCAAACCGTATGCCTTGTTTCCCCCTCCACCCTGCTGGAATGGATATCAATATTGACAGCCACGGCAGATCCTCTTCGCAATCTGTGCGCTGGTCGGACTGACTGCTGCCCTTCCTTTGCCTATGCCGGTTGACGTACCTGTGACTCCGACTCCCACCAAGAACTCCCCTATCACTAAACGTGCCACTGGCGAGACTGTGACAAACACTGCCGTTGCTGTCTATACCGTCGATAACTCTGATGGGCTCTCCACTGCATCGGACAGCTACACCATGTATACTGGCGATGGTACCGTTGCCGATGGATGGCCGGCGATGGATGACTGGTAAACCCTCCTCGAGACCAGCATTTGGGATTCATAGCGCTGACAATCAATATAGGCTCTCTTTCGATGCCATGTAGGTGCCTTGATGGGGTGCTGGGAGATTGGCCTTAGCAGGAGCTAACAGGTTTGTGCAGGTTCGAAGCCAACAGAGAGAACATGCGATCGTCCTGCGAGAACGATTTCGATCTCGCCAACAACTCCGAAGAGGAAATGGGATACCTCCGTGCCGCGATCGACAAGATTGCCGCTGAAACCTATGTCGATCACCGTCTGATTCTCGCCGTCATCATCCAGGAGTCCGCGGGCTGTGTGCGCGTCCCTGCCACTGTGGGCAGCGTTTCCAACCCAGGTTTGATGCAGGACCACGACGGCACCGGCACCTGCAACAACGACGGCGATGTCAATACTCCTTGTCCAGCTGAGGAGATTGAGCAAATGGTCTCTGACGGAAGTGAGTAAATCTATCCCTGAACGCCGAACGGGTCTGATTGGGGGGGGGGAATCCCACCAACTCGACTGCCATACCTGAGCCTTGTTAACTGATTCAATCTAGCTGCCGGCACTGCAACCGGAGACGGATTGGCCAACTGCCTGAACGAAGCCGACACAGACGACGTGTCTGCTTTCTACCGCGCTGCACGCATCTATAACTCCGGATCGGTCGCCAGCGACGGCGACCTGGGTTCCGGAGATGCCACTCATTGCTATGCCTCAGACATTGCCAATAGGCTGACTGGCTGGGTAGATGCTACATGCACCTGCACACTGGATGACTAGTGGTTCTCCTTAACCACTGTTTCCACTTTATACTCCTACACGTCTAGACAAAACGTGACTGCTGTCTAGAGGTGAGGAACATTTCCATTCATGTAGCAATATTCTTTTCCTTTTTTCAAAAAAAGCGACCCTTTTGGATATCGTTGGAGACACCATTGCCACATTCGGAAGTCCAGTCCGTGTTGTATATCTGAACCTTGGTTGTGTCGCATATCACGGATTCCCCGATGAGCTCATAGACACGCCAGACCTTTATGCGAGGGACGCACTCTCTAGCCATTTATTTCTTTGCAATACCATCTGTACATTTAGCCTCTGAACTTGCTCCTTCTTTCTAGCGGATCTTCCAAGTGGTAAATCTGTGAATGGTGATAGGGAGGGACTCGAGACTCGAGACCAAGACTCCAGATTCGCTGTGACGCTTTTCTAGTCTCCTCGAGATGTCCCAAGAAGCAGAAGAATCCACTTACCAGGATAAGCCAAAAGAATCGAAGGAACGGTCAAACGAAGAACTTACTATTGGTAACAGCCAAGAAGAAGCTTCAGAGCGCCAGGGTCGTGCTCGTGTCCGATGGAGAAGCACAACAGAGATTCCCTACGAGGCACCCCCGCCCGATGTCACTCCCCAGGATGAAGCAAACGAGCGGCAGAAGATCAAGGAACAAGGCGAGACTCACCCGCCAACCATCCCATACTCGCATGAGGGAGCTGATATTGCCGATACGCCCCTGAGTCAGCGGACTGGACCCCAGGCGGACGAGGGGGGAGCACACCCACCGGAAGAGGAATCTGCTGCGAGACGCATTCTCGCCCACCCTATCCCGCTAACGGAGCAGTTCCTCTCTTCGACCAAGGCCCGGCTGAAGGCCACCAAGGAATCAATCAAGGAGCAAACACTTCGGATCGGCGATCGGCTGGGTCGCGAACGCGAGGGTGGGGATAGCTTGCACGGGGCAACGCACCACAGGGATTGGGCGGCTGGCGGTGAAGTACCTGAATCTGATTTCACAGACAATAAGCACAAGACCAATGATGATAGAAGGGAGCATCAAAAGACGTCCAGCTCCGAGGCGCACCGTCTGGTGCGTGAACTAACCCAGGACCAATCTGGTAAACGGCGGAACCTGCGAGGTGCGCCCTATCCAAACGAAGGCAAAGTCGACAAGGGGGTATACCAGGGAGGTGGTATCGACACAAGTCTCCGTTACCGATCTGGTGGAGGAGGCATTCTGTCGCAGCTGATCAAGCTACAGGGAGCGCAGAATGGGCAATCTAGCAGCACCTCATCCGCCACTCCAGGGTCTCCCACGCCTTCGGGCGCCACGACGCCGAAAAAGCAGCGGCCCAAATGGTATCAAAAGCACGAGAACCTGTCGACTTCCACGCTGGGGGCATCGGGAACGCTGAGTGGAGCTAGTACGCCGGTCTCAAGCGAGATGATGTCTGTTGCGACGAAACGACGCGGCGGCCGCAAGGGGGATCGCAAGATGCGACTGGAAGATGAAATCCGCATCACGGTACACATTGCCGAAATCATTGCCCGCCAGCGGTACATAATGCAGCTGTGCAAAGCACTCATGTCGTTCGGCGCACCGACACACCGACTGGAGGAGTACATGCAGATGACAGCAAAGGTCCTTGAGGTGGACAGTCAATACCTCTACTTCCCAGGCTGCATGGTGATGTCTTTCGACGATCCATCGACGCGCACCACAGAGGTCAAACTGGTGCGGGTCTCACAGGGAATTGATCTCGCAAGGCTAGCCGACACACATTCAGTGTACAAGAACGTGGTGCACGACATCATCGGCGTTGAAGAGGCCATCCAGGAGCTAGAAGATATCCAAAGGCGCGGGCCACGGTACAGCAAGCCGATTGTGGTGGTCACATACGGACTGGCGAGCGCAACTGTCGGTCCATTTGCGTTCGGGGCGCGACCCATCGACATGCCCATCATCTTCATCAACGGATGCATCCTCGGGGCAATGCAACACATCTGGGCATCAAACTCGGTGCTTTATTCAAACGTGTTCGAAGTGTCAGCGTCAATCCTCATGTCGTTCCTGGCGCGCATGTTTGGCAGCATCCATGGACCAATGATGGACGGCACTCGGGAGAGACTCTTTTGCTTCTCAGCGATTGCCGAGTCGTCGATCGCACTCATTCTCCCCGGATTTCTGGTGCTGTGCAGCAGCCTGGAGCTCCAGTCCCACCAACTGATTGCAGGCTCCATCCGGATCGTGTATGCAATCATCTATTCACTTTTTTTAGGATACGGCATCACAGTTGGGACGACAATCTATGGACTGATCGACCCCAATGCGACATCCGAAATTACTTGCCCCAAAAAGGGGGCATTCAAGAATCCATACATCCAGCGATTCCCGTTCGTGGCATTGATGGTGATCTGGCTGATTATCATCAATCAGGGTAAGTGGAAGCAGGGCCCGATGATGATGTTCATCGCCCTGTCTGGGTACATTAGCAACTACTTTAGCACCAAACGCCTCGGCTCAAACTCACAGGTGGCCAATACGGTCGGGGCGTTTGTCATTGGCATCATGGGCAATCTGTACAGTCGACTCTGGCATGGGCATGCGGCAACGGCCATTTTGCCAGCCATCTTTGTGCTGGTTCCGTCAGGACTCGCAGCAACCGGATCCCTTATTTCGGGCGTACAATCGGCAAACGAGATCCGCACGAATATCTCAACATCCACTGGCGCAAGCACGCAGCCGGGAGCAGGTCTGACGTCGAGCGGGTCGCTGTTCACGCTGGCAGTGGGCATGATCCAGGTAGCCATCGGCATCACGATCGGTCTGTTTGTGGCGGCATTGATTGTGTACCCATTTGGCAAGCGAAGGAGTGGTCTGTTCAGCTTCTAGGGCCCTGGTCAGAAGTAATCCCGAATAGAATCCTCAATTGCATCCATAATACATTATCGTACTTTCGTGGTAGCGAGGATACGGCGGTGGGCTTCAGTAGGCCTACCAATCCTCAGTCTTTGCAGGCCCGGCTGTTTTAACGAGCTCTAGCTTGAGAGAGATGATGAGAGATCAGAAAGAAAGAATTCAAAGCACCACAGAGGGTTGAAATGGGGCTTTGATGGTTTCTTTGAGCTACATAGAGGAAACGAGAGAAAGAAGTCCGGGGGTTGGGGGGAGGTTCAGGTTGTGGCCTCGTCTGAATTAGTAGGCAGCCCAATCTCCATGGGCAGATACGCATACATTCTCAGCGCATATTTGCATTTAGAACTGCGAGATAATATAGTAGATAATCCTTAGTACTAGTAGTATAAAATCAGAAGGATTGTATAAGCTACTAAGCTATGTGCTGTCAACATATCCCTGCCCATTCCCAGTTGTAACCTCACGACCAGCCGGTCCGACGGAGCCAGCACAGAGCGCAGCGACCTTTTCTTGAAAAAAAAAAGAAAGAAAAGAAAACAAAAGCAAAAGAACAATTTGCCCAGAGAATGACATTCCGGGTCATCTTACTGGTAGAGTCATAATGAACGGTTATCGCATGTCATCTGATCTATGGTCAAAATCTTCTGGCACCAGTCTAAAGTAGACACTAGCCTTAACGTTATGGTCTGAGTTCCTCACAGCTCTTCTTCGCTTTCTTCATCATAGCACTCATTCCTTGCATGCTCTTTGATGCTTTCCTCGAGGGCTTCGCGGATATCAGCCCCAAGAATCATCCCCGAATCTTTATCCTGGGCGGCATCATATTCTGACTCGAAGGTGTTTCCTTCGATCAAAGACTGTGGCAGCTCAGTACCGGAAATGCAGCGTCCCAATGCCACAAGGGTTGACCTGCGCAGGTAGGGGCCCAGCGTGGGCCAAAAGCGCCCGGTTTCTACCTTGCTAGTGAAGCCCCAATAATTGTTTCTCTTCGCATTCAAATACGAGACGACGAAACGGAAGTAAAGGTAGCGACGTCGTGGCCGGTTGTCAGTCAGAAACTTGAGTTCCGTATTATCGATATCCTACCGTATTGTCAGTGGAACGTCAATCAATAACTGAAAATCTATTATATGGACTTACCGCGAATTTGATCACTGTTCCGTCTGGTCTTCTCCAAACAATGTTTTTCTTGCGTGTCTCATCGATGAGAATACATTTCCAACGTGTAGGTACAGTCGTCTCTCCGGGGATTGGCATAATCACAATAGCCCCAGAATCTAGCGCATCTTCTATTGTGTGGAGGAGGGTAATGCCTATCAAGATCAATATTAGTGTCATAGGTCATCTTTATAATACATGGATATATGATTACCGTTTCTAGGGTCTGACAGTACGACTTCTCCAGCACCAAAGAGATGAGAAACTTCCTCTTTGGTCAGGCTTTTTGGGACCAAGTGTGCAGCCTTGACGCTCCTGCAGGGGTACCAGCCCCCCAGGACATGACACCAGGCAGAATGATCCTCAAGTTCCTCGATACCGTAGTAAGAATAGACTGATTTTTTGAAAGCACTTTGGTCGAAAGGCTGATGCTTTTGTTTTGCTCGTGCGGCCATAACGCGGGGAACAATAGTTTCAGCATATGCCCTCTCAAAAAAGTCCTGGCCAGGCTCATGAGACCGATGCTTCTTTACCTCCACCTGCTCCTCAAGATCCTCTAGTAGAAGTTGACGTTGGCGTTTCAAGACCTTAAGGTTAGAAGAGGCAGTGCGAAAGGGCTCCAGGAAGGGCTCAAGCTCTTTCTGGAACTCAGAATCAGATAGAAGCTTGGCTGTCTTAGCCTCATCAAGGCCATCCCGGATGCAACGTATGTAGTCAACCTCGCTTTCCCATGCTTTGACCTTGGCATCAAAGAAGTCTGAGGTAGCGGAGTCAATGGACATTCTGGATAGATCCGAGGCAGCGCTGACTGCGCGTTGCTGGTGACGGTTCAAAGCATCCCGGCGTCCAGTTTGCAGAAGGGAGGAAAGTCGTTCGGGAATCGGAGGTCTCTCACACATTTTGCACACGTTATGGAAAATCACATACAATGAGCGTACCCGTGGAGTTCAGTCAGAAAAGAAGCTATAAGGACGAAGAAGACGAAGAAGACGAAGAAGACGAAGAAGACGAAGAAGACGAAGAAGACGAAGAAGACGAAGAAGACGAAGAAGACGAAGAAGACGA